GCTAGCGCTCGCGCACCCGTGATCATGATCATCAGATTCACTGCTGTTTTCCCTGCACCGTGAGCACAAACACACAGCGATGCACCACCATGGTTGACACACAGGCCGAGACATGCATTCTTGCCAATCTCAGCCAAGCATCTTTCTGAAATGCACAAACTTGTCCACATCGATCCATCCAGCGAAAAGCCGAGCCAGCGTCCACCTCAAATTCAACCAGCAAACTATACTGCATGTAAAGGTTCCCACATGCACTTGCACACACCCTAGCAAACCAGCAGCCCCAGTGAGGGCACCACGAGTACTTCAGCGAGGAATGTCGGCTCCAGAAGATGCTGCATCCACCCTTTTTGTTGACCTGAACCCACTAAAGGAAACAAATGGGAAAACATATATACATGTAATGACAAGCCACCATGGTTCAAAACACAAGTCCTTGTAGCGACCAGCAAGGGATTGAGGCACACAGGCGCTGTTGACATAGAAGCTCTCCGTGTACAAGACAACCCCAATGGTCGAACCTTCCTTAATGCCCGCAGGGCGCTTCACGGTGTAGCTCCTTGGACAGGGGTTGGAGTTGCAAGCGTCATTGGTGTTTCTGGTTAGTACTCATGTACATATAGGCCAAGCGTCATCTGCAGGAATGGCTCACCCGGGACATTGAAATCCTCCATGTTTTCGGCGCCCCTCAACTTCTGCAGGGCATCCTTTGCCCTCGCAGCCCGCTTCCATGTAAGAGCAGGATCCTCCTCAGGCACAATTTGCTAGGAATTGTTTGACCAACCAAGTTGCAACTGTCAAAAGCACACTCTCAAGCTTTGATGTCAAGTGGCATTGTGCTTCACCCTGCTGGGTTTTGCTGCAGCCTTGGCCCCTGCTTTGGCTGCTGCTTTCTTGGCTGCTGCTTTCTTGGGCGATGCTTTGGCTGCTGCTTTCTTGTTCGCTGCTTTGGCTGCTGCTTTCTTGGGCACTGCTTTGGCTGCTGCTTTCTTGGGCGATGCTTTGGCTGCTGCTTTCATGGGCGATGCTTTGGCTGCTGCTTTCATGGGCGATGCTTTGGCTGCTGCTTTCACGGGCGATGCTTTGGCTGCTGCTTTCATGGGCGATGCTTTGGCTGCTGCTTTTTTGTTCAAAGCTTTTGCTTTGGCCTTGGCCTTTGCTGTGGCCTTGGCCTTGGGTTTTGCAACCGCGTCGGCCCGTGCTTTTACTTTGGGTTTGGGCGCTTTTGGGCTGCTGGCTGCAGACTCACGCTCACTGCCATCATCGCAATCGGCCGGCGCCTCCTTCCGCTTGAGGCCACGGCCTCGTCCACAGCTGCGACCACGGCCACGACCTCGGCCACCTTTTTTCGCAGCTTCCTTCACCTTAGCTAGCTACAGTCAAATCTTAACATGTCTCCATGATTGATGTGTGGGTTTTCCCCAAGATCCTGAATGTTCATGTTCGACTAGCTTTAGTGTGAAATCCTTGTGACAACATGAGTCTTGCCAAGTAACCTTCTTGCGAACCTCAGCCTTCTCCGCCAGCAGGCCACTGTAATCCGCAGGCTCCACACTAGGTGTAGGCACCCATGTCGGCAGTGGCTTCCTGTCTTTCATGAGAGGTTCACGCTCCTGGCTGGGGAAGCATGGTGCAGTGTAGGGCCTCATGATTGACTAGTACGTTGAAACTGGCCTCATGATGTCCAGGGCCCTCAGCAGGCTCACCAAGATGCACGGGGCCATCCACAGGATCCGCAGGTGTGCCCTGAAAGGGGCCCAGGTTGACACAATTTGCTCAACACCATTTAATTTTGACCCCCTTCATCACACCAAAGGGTGGTTGTGAAAGGGCTGGCACACACACACACACATCTCAACAGCCTCGTCCTGTTCAGCATCTTGTGCATGTTGCCCTTGGCCACAAGTGGTCTCATGATCACCGTCCTGCCAGTACCACCAGCTAGATGCATATACTTGCACATTTGTACAGCTACAGTGAACTCTAATTCGGGGTAGGTCGGGTTCCGTGACACAACATGTTCACCCTGACGCACACATGCATGGACAGTTCAAGCAAACTCTCAACACCCTCGTCCTCTGGCCCATCATCTTGGTCGTGTTGCCCTTGGTCCTGCCAGTTCTGTGATTCGATGTCTTATTCACAGCATGTGTGTGTGTTACATGCCAAACAGTCATGACTGTTCAAACTGTCCTCATCCTGAGTATGTTGCACTTGGTCAGCCATCATAGATGTGTCACTGTCCTGCCAGTGCCAGGGACAAATTTGTGAATGTGGGGAGGGGCACATGGCCACAGCATTCAGCGCTCCTTCACCACCGTCACCGAGGCATCGCTGGCTTCGCAGCCCAGGCCGGTGGCAGGCATGTCCTGCAGGGCACCATTGGACCATGGGGCTTTGCAATATTGAGTGCTACACGCCTTCTTCTCTTGCTCAACTTGTTCATCCTCAGATAAGGGATTTCAAAAAAGATCATGTGACAAAAACCAGGCCCAACCTTCCTAATACAGGCAAGACACCAGAATTGGCTCCGCAGAAGAGGCAGAGGTCAGGGTGCTTTCCACCTCAATCGTTGCAACATGGTCACCTTTTTGCGTTTCTCCCCCCCAAAGCCACCTCAGCATCCTCCTCAAAGCAATCAAGTTCCGCCATCTGTTCCTAACAACAAGTTCAGCTGACATTCCACAACACAACGCAATGTAGCATAATGAGATGCAACCAACAGCAGTCTCCTCCTCCTCATGTTGAGGCACTGCCTCATCAGGATCCTGAGAAGAATTCAGTGAACAATGAACCACATGTATAGTATACATGATCAGTGTTCAATCCACACATGATATAAGCTGTCCTCTGTTTCATCGCCCAGTTCATTGCAGCCCCCCACCGCAGGAGGAAGCTCCCGAAGCATTGCAACTATCGACTTCAGCACAAAGACCCGCTCATTCCTGCATTCATAGTTGAAGTATCCGGGTTAACACGTTGTGAAGTCAAGCAAATTGCATGTATCAATCTCCTGGATGCCCGGGTCCGGTGCGTGATGCGGATCAAGTGGCTGGCAAAGGTCTTGAGCTTCCCTGCTTCAGAAGATGCCCACTCCTAGCAAGGATCAACCCAAGTCAGATCAACCAATCAGAAAGTGTTTGCCCAAATGTTCACCAATTCAATGCTTGCATGTAGCTCAATGTCCTTCACCTTTCCTTTGCCCCCTTTGCGCTTGTACAGCTCATCGACAAACAAGTTCATGGTTACAGCCACCACCACCATGGCTGCCTGCAAGCTGTTTACAGTAGCCATGCATTTGGGGAATCAAAAAAGGGTCCCAGTTCGCAAAATGACCCAAATGTTCAAACTCCAAAAACATTGCAACAGTTGCCCCGTGGTTAAGGCATTGATTTTGCTGATGAGTGATTAATTGGCCCCCCAAAAATGAAATGCAACATGGCATATGGCTCCCAGCCTTGTGGTCTTCCACCCCAGGCAAAGCAGAGGCAGCAAATGCCAGCAAGTACTCCTTCAGCAGGTCATACTCATTGACCAAATCCTGCTCATGAACCTTAGGCAAATTGTGCAAGTCTGGTTTGCATCACACCTTGCCCCCTCATAGCCTGGTGGTCAGCTTTCAAGCCTAGTTATGAGAACGCATATGGGGTGTAAAGTTATCTTGTTCTTTTTTGGTAGGCAATGGTGTTGATAGATATCCAGTAGTGCATATGAGAGGCCACTGCTCGGTCTTTCTGCTGCCAGCAAATGATCTGCCTGTCCTTGGATAGACATGTCACAGCCATCAGGGGAAAGCTGAGTTGAACTAATATAGTTGGGAAACATCATCTTGCATGATTGACACCAGCTCCGGCCCCTTCACCTGGAGGACAATCCGGGCAATCTGTTCAGCTTGGTCCTTAAAAGCACAACTCATGAGTCATCTGGGAGCTGTTGAAAAAACATATGACTCAAATTTGTGTGCAGTTCAAAGCGGCTGTCACCCGGACCCTGATGGGCTTGAACAAGTGCTTCAGCTCCTCAACCTTCTCATCCGGGGTCAGCTTCACCAGCTCCATTGCCCGCGCCAGGCGTGATGCTCCAAGTGGACCAAGTGGAGCAAAAAATGGCTTTGCGGCCGCTGTCACGGTGCATATTGCATGAGCAAACATCTGGGTTGCTTTTGACCCCTTTGCAAAAATGCCATGGATAATTGATTGTTTTCCAGAAAATAAAGCCCAAAGATCCAACCCAATAGCAATCAAGGGCACATGCACACAATCAAATTGGGGCACCTCGCCGCATGGCAGCCCGAAGCAGCCCCATTGCCGCCAACCCACTAGTGCCTTTTAAGCCAAATTCCTGCATTCACGGTTTTGGCGACCAAGTCCATGCTCCAGCAATTGCCCCCCAAAATGCATGATATTTGCGCGTTTTGCCAAACACCTCAAATTCACGGTTCTGGACCCTCTGGGATTCATTGGTCCGAAACGTGCCCCTGCATTAATTTGGGGCCATGCCAGTGAAGGCAAAGAACGTCTTGAAACCCCTTAGCGTTGATTTCCTTGTGAACCCACCAAGGGGATTCGGAGGGTGGAATCAGTTGACCCTACCTTAACGTAAACCTGCAGGAATTGAACCTAGTTCATCTTGTCAATCAAAGGCAAAGATGTCTCTGCCCAAAATTGACCCAACATCTTTCAATCACTGGGCCTTCTTCTCGAGACCCAAGTGGGTACAAATCAAAATGCAAACCAGATCCATCCACCACTTTGAAACCACGGGAAACCATTGTTCATTGGTATTTGCAGGAAAATCATCATTCCAGGGCCTCTTAGGGGAGGTAGGATTTCGTCCATCCACAGTAGGGGCCCCCAAGCTGGTGGTATTGTCTTCGGTTTCCCTGCAAAAAAATACCCTCAGAAAAACGCCCTGCTTCCCCTGCCTAATTGCCTAACCCCGCAGGATTCGGAATTTCAGCTGGACCCGAGCTGGACGCCTCCACATCTCCTCCGAGCCGCGATTCTTCGCCACCTTGGAGCGCCCCGTGATCTCTGCCAGGCGCTGAAAGTACGCCGCCTCGCTCGCCAGGTGAGTGGCCGACGGCTCGGCGCGAGCCGTGCCAGGGTACCCTCGGGAGCCAAGAAAAAGGGCGCTCTAAAGCCCATGGCTCCTCGAATAGCGACGCCAGGGTTGTCACTTCATGGGGGTCCTTGTTGAAGAACAATCACCCCTGGGCTCAAGTCCACCTGGGGCAACCAAACTGTGACCTTGGACAATGTCACTTGGCTGAAGTTAGGGCCCCAGCAAAAAAGCAACTATATTTTTTGCCTGGCTCGCAAAAAGACCAAGGGGACCCAAAAAACGATCAACAAGGGCAGCTAATTCTGCGGGAAGGTCAGGGCTCGAATGGAATCCGAGGTCTAAGGTGCGATGTGGGGTTTGCGCGCGTTGCGTTGGCCGACGAGTGGTTCACTCGCCCGGCATCACTAAAGAGGGAGGCTGCGTCTGTGCCTTCAAAAATCATGCCCACTCAAGGGTCCCATTTCGTAGCAATATCCTTGAAATCGAACACCCTTACAAGGCGAGCTCGCCTCCAGTTTGGCGCCAGGCTCCTGCAGTTGCGTACTTCCAGCCCAAACCACTTTTTCTCTGAGGAAAATAGCCGCGAGTGCGTCTACCAAAATTTTCGAGGATACGGTTTTGAGGGAGTGAGAAGCCTCTCAGATGTCAGTTGATGGGTTCTGCTTTCACGCGCTAATCAAAAGCCCTTGGCAAAGACCCGCAGGATACATTCTCATACCAGGGTCGGGCCAACAGCTTTGAACGTGCTAAACACCTTGACCGACTTTGTTCAAGCATCCCTCAAACTTGCGCCTGGCGTAGCAAACAATGACACCAACCTAATACCTCCGACGAGAGCCTCCCTATAGCGATGGCTGATGGGTGAACTGAGCGTTCCTGTCATGGGTCCCTTCCCCAAATCGACGCCTGTACGCCATGAGGCTTGGTGTTTTAATTCAGCTTCTGTGGATGACCCCTGCACAATTGAAACCTTAGACTTCGGAACGAAGTCTAACTCGTTCGTCCGAGTCGCCAGGATCCATACGTAGTACGCGGCAGTAATGACCTGGGACTCAAGCCCTCGACGACGCAGGATGCCCGTGTTTTGTGTTTTTTGTTCTTTCCCTATTGAACATCGCAGCCATATAATGGACAGCAGCTCTAAACTCTGTGCACATGTTCGCAACAGCCGCCAAGGTATGTCACTCACCAATTTTTGAGTACATGTGCTGCTTCCTTGCTATGGCCACTGAATGGGTCCTGACCCGACTAACCAAAGGGTTCTCAGAATCTTTCCGCGGGTGCCATTGCAAATGACCCACGAAAGGGATGCCCTACAAACTACGAGTAAACCAACCACGAACCACAGGGCTTCCTTTGTTTCGTGCTCGCAGAAATTTCGGGCCTCCAACTCTTCTAGGGAGCTTTGTACACATGCTTGAATTTTACGTTGCTGGACTGTCCTCAGATCCCCCGCTAAAAGTTTATATAACTTATAGTGAAACTAGATGCAAACCCCCACCACCAAGCACCACAAAGCCAAAAAGCGCCAAGCAACCGGACAGGGAGCCACCAACTGGAAACCCAGCCACTAAACCACCAAACACTACGCTAAAAAGCTCAGGAACTCCATGGCTGAAGCCAAGGGAAGGTTTTTGTTGGTTCCCTTGATGCGAGGCCAGGGCATCCGTTAAAGGCCAGGGCATCCGACGGCTTTTCTCGGGCGCAGGCCACCAGAAGCCCGCCGAAGGCCTGGCGAAGCCGAGGTCGCGAATGCGCGCGGGAGGTCAGCGACCGGGGTAAGCCAATGGAAGCCATCCCAAGCAGCTTTATGCCTAGCTCGGTCCAAATGCTGCGATCTGCAGGCAAGCTGCCATACAGTTACGTAAGATAAGCAACCCCATCTTCCTCGCTAATCGTCATTGCTATCGCACTGAATGAACACCCACTCTAATCGGCAAAGGCGGTTTTTGAATCGAGTAGCAAGGGACATATGGTTCCCCAGTAGTGCTCAACAAGGGCCCTCCATTAGGAGGTCTGTTCACAAAAGGATGTGCCTCAGGTTCCCTAGAACGAATGTGGTCTGATTGCCACCTTGAGTGACTGAACTGACACGAAAGGGACCCCCTCAAGCAGCATCAGCATCCGAGCTCAACCTAAGGAGTCCCCTTAGGCTACTGGCGAATTCGATGGGTGGTTTAGGACGCCCTCTACAACCAGGAGTTCAACCCCATCACAAATCTAAACCACCAATTGAAGGCAATGCCCATGATTGGACCCTGTAACGAGCATTGATTTCATGTAGCTCCCTGATCCCAAATGTGGCCTCCTGCTGTAATGTTGTCTTCCCATGTTTTCGGCAGACCTCTGAGGAAGCTGCGCTGGCCAAACCTCCCTGAAATCGATCCCAAATTTTGTGAGCCCTCTGTGCGATACTTCCTCTTTCGAGGGGCTCACAACGCAAAGATCGCAACGATGGCAACGCTAGCCAAAAGGAGGCAAATTTGGGCGTGAACTCTGTACGGCTGCCTGGCTTTTGGGGACATGCATTAATAAGCAGGGATTGGCCAGTTGACCGGAAAATTGAACGAGCGTGGACTCTGGGTGGTTCGTACCCCCATCTCCTAACAAAGTTTTGGTCTTGATTAGCTCAAACAGTCCATGGCTCGTTTCGGCGGGATATGAGGGTCGTGCCTCAGATGGCTATGCATCATCGGGCCCTCTCAAACCCAGTGAACCTGTTTACTTCCACCAGAAGGGGCCCAATGAAATTTTACCCTACATGCGGGTGCATGTCTGCATGTCAAAACAGGAAAAAAAGAGAAATGGTGACCGAATCCTGGCTGATACGCCTAGAACGCTCATTTTGCAAGCTTGTTTGTCCATTCTCAGGCCTAAGGTTCCCACTATTTTATTTTTGGGTGGTAGGGGATCCGCACAACTCGTTCTTGACGGCTGTTAAGAGATGGGGCTGTCCATGAAAGGACCAATCTGCATTGGAGGGGCCATGACCCTTCTCGGCTTATCCGGTGGTCCTGGTGGAAAAAGGTTGCCGTTTTCGAGGCTATTCCTAAGTGGGCAAGCCACCAAACAAGAAGGAAATCAGGACCCCAACGTATTTCAGCCACTGTCGGAACAATCTCTTCTTGGCTTTCTTTTGAAAGGAGAATCAAACAAAACAATGTCTTCAAATGGGCCCAGTTTTCCTTTGAAACCGCCAAAAAGGGGTACCCCGAAAAAGACAGACGATGATGGGCCCAATTTGAGCCATGACCCTAGGTCAATCATGTTGGAAACTCTTTGTGGCCATGGGTTCTGTCGTCATTGGGATTGCTAAAAATGTGGGTGCCATTTTCCAGGTAGCCGAAAGGAACACATCGCATCGCTATTTTCCAACCTGCCGTGACGGTTTGCGCCTGCCATTTCGAGCCCTTGTCACTCTGGTGGAGCATTGTAACCGCCACCGCTGCCACGTACCTGAATCCGAAATCCCATCGGGTTCCGAAGTGGTGGTGCGCAGCCCGGCGGTTTGGAGTTTCGGCGGTTTCTTTCAAACCCAAACCATTTTAGGGTAACCTGAAAGCCTAGCGAAACCATGCACCCGAAATCCAAGTTGGGTGTGCCTACTTGGTGAAGCCCTGGTTCTGGGTGTTGTCAAACCGAAGCAAACCGGCCCTGCATGTTCGGAGTTCGTGGATCTCAGAGCCGATCTGACAGCTTTCGGCTGGGGAGGAAACATCGAGGAATCCAATGGGAACCGACAACGCCCGGGCAAGCTGACTGGGCTGGGGGGAGCCACTTTCCCCCGACCTGGGATCATAGAATCTCCTCAGGCCCTCAATTACTTCGGAGAGGGCGTGGGATCCTGGCAGGAGGGCAAGGGGTGAACATCTTTCCAGCTACGATAGCGCATTCCATGCCTATGACTACTTCGTCCAAACTCGATTTCTTTCAATGCCCGTTGCCGCGACATACTTCAGCTTAAATAGTGTGCCCCAACTGGGAAAAGGCCAGAGCCCGCCCGCCCCCCCCCACCCGCCCTGCTTCCCCTGCACCCGCTGAGGGAACATGTGAAAATGTACGGGGAAGGGCCGCTGATTCTGGTCACCCGCCTTCCATACATTACCACCGACTTGAACGTCTGTACCCGCACAACGCTGAACACAACCCCCAGCGAATCAATCGGGGAAAGCACCTTTGAGCCCCAAATCCGCAGCCCGATATTTGTTGCTTAAAGTATGGAGGATGGGAACGGGGTGATGTGTTAATAAAAGGCATCGTTGGCTATTCAAAGCCGAGGGTTTGTGCCCAAAGTGCATCTCACGTTCCGCTTGTCGCGCTCAACAAGGAACTGTGCCCCCTTTGAAACCAAACAGCGGTCATGAGTCGCACGGCCTGGGAGATGTTTAGTCCTATCAAGCTTCATGGATCCCTTGGAAGCTGAGAGTGGCTCCAGCAACGCGCGACCATAGGAAGAGCTTTTGCTTGAAGCATTTGCAAGCACGGTGTGCTCAAATAATTTTTGCCTACTGGAGGCTAAGAACTAAGAAGTACGTGGCTTGCAGCCACTCCACCCTCTCAGTGCTAGCGAGGCAGTGGACAACAAAAAGACATGAGGACCTGCCCCACAGGGTGTCTGGGCCAAAGGGTAACTTCTGAGCCTGCCATTGCCCTGAACCCAAGCGAGCGGCATACCCTTCTCCGCGTAGTGAAGCAAGGTCCGCTCGTTGGCGAAGACAGCCTTCGGGTCCAAGTTCTCCATATCCTGCGTTCGGCTGACCCCCCCCCACCCCCCCAAACCCGGCAGTGGCAAGGGCAAAAAAGGGTACCAATTCTTTGGTAGCTGATCTTGCAAGCAAGCCCCCTCCAAAGAAAGTGCAGGCAAGCCCCCAAAGAAAGAAGCACCACTGGAGGTTCTTCAAACACGTTTAAGCAAGCGTTGTGTCAACTTCTCTTGGCCTCCCTCCAGAGGGGGGGGGGGGGGGCCTGGTTGTTGAAAGCTTTGGCCAAGGATACGTGATGGCCCTTACCTGATGGCTGCGTGCTCACCATGGCTGCGTGAAGTTGTCTAGTGGTGGACCAAATGGAGAGTCATAGGTAGGTCTACACCTCGGAGTGCCTGTGCTGATGGCGGGAACCTTTCTGACCATACCGACCGAGCACTTCCAAAACAAGCAGTCCGAGCTGAAAAACCAAGCAGCAGGGATACAAGTTGCTTGTGAGTCAAACAATTAGATCCGGCTGCACTTTCAACGTACTCCAGACTGTGGTATCAAGATTGGTTGCCAACAAGACTCAAGAGAGCATATGCGCATTTTGAGTGCACCCTTTTAATTAGCGCTTGCTATTTTGGGGTTCGCTTACAATACAGATGTATATGATGGCTAGCGGCTGCATCAGCAAGAGCCACCCCGTATCCTCTCCAAACTTGGTCGATAGCACGTTGAATTTTGACCGCTTTTCGAAGGCCACTCCGAAGAAGTCAGGAACAGGGCTGTGGGAAACGACCACTTCTCTGATACAAAAAAGGGCTTCCCAAAGACTAACCCGCCATATAAAGAGGGGATTCCCTCTTATCACAGAAGTGAGGATAAACCCCTTATTTCCACAACCCTGGTCAGGAACCCGCCCCTTTTTTCTGCCTTATCTTGGTTGACGTTGGAAGGGGAGCAAACAAAAATGTTGTTGAAGTTAAGTGGGGCCTTCCCACTAAACCACAAGAAGCAAAATGTAAAACGCTTCCAACAACAACCATGTTATGGGATTCCAAAGCCAAAGCCTAGTTGACCCGCTTTCTGCTTCTCCTTGAGGAAGTGGCCCTCACCGTGCGGTGCCACGACCTTCGTGATTTTCGGCACCTCGGCTTCGTGCTTTGCCAGGCTTCTCCACTGGTCTAGGTTGGTACACACCCCTTTTGCATACTCTTCTAGGATGGCTTCAGCCCCCAGGCGAAAAATATTAGCAAAACCCTGAAATTTGGAGCGCCCACTGCTGCATCAGTGGAAACCATCAGGATCCAACACTGGTCACTTTCCACAAGACATAATGTATGTGCCCACTGCGTTCCAGCATTCACGCAAACACTTCGCAGGCAATAACTATGACAAAAAGCACAAGCACACAACAGGTAGGCGCGCACGCTGGCATGTTCCATCATGGCACTGCGCCAGGACAGGATGACGGCAAAGCTACGCAAGCAACTGCCCAGCACATCAAAACAGAACACGACCATCGGCGCAAGCGCGTGCTACATTGACATATACATTGATTTGTGCGCTCGCGCGACAGCAACGCGTTGCATATTTCTGCCGCGGGCGTGTGTTGAGTGGGTTAGTCAACAAGGAATCTAATCACATGCCTAGCCTACCAGGACATGCAATCTTTACAAAGCTCGCGTTGCCACACTGTTATGGTTGCAACGAAGGCTTGACAAGGGCATTAAGAAGTACGACCAAGTAGCTTTCAGTTTTCTCTATCTTTACCCTCGGCCACACCCCGACCCACACACACACACAGCAGGGCATGCCAAAAACGGCACTGCTGCCGCTAAGGCTGATCAGCTCGTCCAGGGCCTGGCCGCAGAGCTTCACTCACTCAAGATACTACTGATGGGATTACATGAGGCTTTCAAACTTCTGGTGCTTTTGATGGGTTGATGGGTGCTTTGAGCGAGTAAAGGGCAGCAGGGAAACCAGTTCGCTTGTTGGGCCCGGGTTGCAACACGGCATGCAAAGCTTCTTCCAAAGCCACCTGGGCCTCCACGCGCAGCAAAATCTTTTGAATGGCGCAAGGGGCACTTGTTCAATAGCCAGCCGGGCTGACATTGACCCGAGCCCACGCCAACTGACATCTTCTTATGGCCCCGGCTACTTTCAGCATGGCCATGTTTCCCAAAAAACAAGCGGAGGGCGGAGAACTAAAGGAAGGCGGCAGGCGGCAGGCTGTTCACTGCATGCGGGAGACGGCTACTGGTCACTGAAGTGAGGCATGCTGCAACTGCGGCACACGGTGGATGCGGCGGATCTGTGTAAAGAGCTTCCACAAAGCAGCATGATTCGTCAGGGTCTCCTCCAGCTTGATCACAATTGCAGGCCCGGGCCGCCCTCGCCTGCGCTTCCACCTGGCTGCGACAGCTTTTGCCTTTGGCTTGGGTTTGGCCTTTGCGCCACGCTTGTACTCATCCATGGATCGGAACCATTGCCAGCCATTGGACATTTGAATTAACTGCTTGACAAATTCTTCGCAATGCACAGATTCTGCTTCCTCGAAATCACAAACGATGACAAAGTCGTCAGCCAAACTTTTCTTGTGGCATATGATGCCCTCTAGGCGTCCTCCTTCAGCAAACTTGCACCAATTTTGCTTGGAGATGCAGGCTAGACCGAAGGCTGCAATTGTGCAAGCAATCTTGCACATCTGAGACCTGAGCACGCGTGCAACTCTCACCCATTGCAATGACCTTCGTCCCAACAAATTGCAAACACACAAGAATCAGAATCATAATACTTAACCAAACATGAAAATCCGCCAAGGCTGGAAAAGGCACGTTCCTCCTCGCTTCGAAGCCAGTTCATCCAGACTATCTAGAATTACAAGATGAGACTGGGCACAGAACGTCATAAAACCTCCGTCATGATCACCCACACGGCGCACACGGAAGTCGATTCCTTGAATGTCAGGCATTGGACATGCTTCCTGGCAGGCATCTACAAGCTTCAAACGCTTCAAGCTGAGCAAGAACTTTGCCATGTCCTCACTTGGGTCGGTAGTCGCATCACGTTGGGAGAAATTGTTGCCTCTCTCCAGCTTGGGCTTCTTGAAGGCCGGCCCTCTTGGGTTCGAATGTCGATGCCGAGCAGCTTCTCGATTGTTGCTCTTGATCAACTGGCTGCGAGTTCGAAAGCGCACCAAGCCTGGGGCGTCAGCTGCTGGTCGTTCGCCTGTGCACTCAGCGGCTTCGCGTTGCGTCAGGCCAGGCAACACAGACGATGCTTCGCCTTGCGCGTTGTCACGGTCTCGTTCAGAGCGTGCGCGCATGGCCCTGAGTTGCCGAGCACGAAAGGCCCTATCACTGTCATCGCGACTTCTCTGGGCTCCAGGGCAACCCTTCCTGCGACCTTGGCTGTAAACTCGAAACCGTGCCCCATGCCGTAACCTCCACGCCTGCAGAAATTCTCGAGCAAACTTGGTCATCTCCAAGCCCTGTGCAGACTGCTTGGCAATCTCTTCAGCGCATGATGGTCCGTCCAGCTTGACTTCCAAGAGGTCACTATAGGAAGTTCCAGTGCCCTCCAGAGGGCCTGCATGGCTCTGCAACAAACGCTTGCCGTGTGCGTGTGCTCGCTCAACTCGACAGCTCCCATCTTCCTGGGCAAGGTAGAAAGAGATGAGCTCATGCCAAGCCGAACATCCAGAAGAACTCAGGCGCTCCTCTGCCCAGCCAGTTCGGTTGTCAGAGATGTCTCTGGCGCGAGCCACGAGTCGGTGCAGTGAGGACATAAAGTCGCGAAAGGCTCGGTGAATGGTCTGATCATGAGTGATCTTGAGGCCCTCTCGCAGCAGCTTGCGGACGCGGATTTCAGCTGAAACCTCGAAGGTTTGCCATGTCTGGACACCAGCCGCTTGTTCAGCTGCTGCCTCATTGACTGAAAAAACACTGAAGCACATCTCAAGGCTTGAAGGAGGAAATTCACACTGAAGTCTTTCCAGCATCAGCTGGACCACAGTGGCGCACGCCTGCAAGGCCTCTGAGTAGTCACGTTTTCTGGTCTTGGGGTCCCACAAGAAATGCTGACTTTCTCCATAGAAGATGGGCCCTGCTTGCATGGCTTGGCGTACCACGCAATGCGTACAACTCTCCTCATCTCCCGGCTGCATCTCGAGGATGCGGCCATCCAGGAACAGCCTCCTCAACCTGTCAAGGCCAAATGCGCTCTGCGCAACGCACATGCTGTGAGTCACATGAGCCAACCGATCACCCTTGCAACTTGTCAGACGGTAGACGTCAACATGTTTTAAAAGGCAACTTTAGACTTAGGTGATATGAAGAACGTTGATTGATTCCCATAAAGCAAGCCAATCGTCATTGAAAGAAACTCTGTAACACTGGCGCTGCCTGTCTGAGAAGTCACGTATCTGACTGCGAGTCTCGGCGCAGTCATGCCAGTCGGCATCGAAGAGCCGAAGAAATGACGCTGTCATCGCGGAAAGATCAGAGAACAAGCCCAGAAGAACGACAAACTGCGTTGACATGGATTTCAAGGCCTTCGCGCAGCGGTCTCGAAATTCCCGAGACTGTCGAGCATCTGAGGCTTGTGCTGCCAAAAACAAGGCTACTGGCAACAAATTGCGACACAGTCGCCGCGTGGGTTCTGAACTGGTATCAAACCTGATGGAGCTGTAAGAGAAGGCTTTGCTGACATTTCCTGAAGTCGCTTCCTGCAAAGCCCTCTCAGCTTGATCTGCCACTCAGTAGAGTAGGACAAGCTGGGCACCAGGCCATCTTTCCCAAAGACAATTTCGTGAAAGCGGCTGAGTGTCGGCTCGTTCTCCACGGGCTTGTGCAGCGCAATCCTCTGCAAAATGTGGGGTGAGTTGCCATAACTATAACATTCTGTTTCGAAACTGACTGACTCATGATAGCCCCCCCCCCTCTCCAACACTTGAACAATGTCCTCACCGCGTGAGCGGTGTCTCGCCACTTCACGGACAGATTCGGCATGTGGTCAACTAAAAAGCAGGAGACTTTCGCCATCGCTGCCGCGCCGTCCACTGCCACGGACCGGACCTTCTTCAAAGTGTCCTGGAACCCTTGGGCATCGGGCGCGCCAGTGATATCAGTGAACATGGTGGCCAAAGCCTGCACAACCTCCTCCTAAGCTTTAAGTGACTGCATCGTGAGATGCGAATAAACTTATCATTAATGTACAACAAGTCCAGGCGGGAGGCGGTAAGTTCAAACCAACAAACAAAATAGTTGATCAGACATCCCATCAAAGCGTCCGCTTTGTGTTTGCTCCAATCCTCATCGAGCTCTTCGAGCTTAGGCGTGCCAATCGACCAGGCTTGCACCAGCCCACTTTGGTGCCCAAGGACATCGCCTCAGCAAAGCTATGTAAAGCCTTTTTGCCCAAGGGTTTAAGTGGGCAGCTGGCCTGTTGCAAAATAACTCCGGTTCAACTCAGCCGCGTTGTACACTAGCCCAATATGGTCAAGGCACACCGATAACGGCACACAACATGTGGAGCACGCTCGTCAAACGTGAGCGTTATGCTGTGACACTGCTTCAAGACTGCCACCTTGCGAGCCCTCACCACTTCGGCCATGACTTTGACCATTGAGGAAGCTGCTTTCCGTGTAACATCCTAGCAGGATTTGCCAGTGCGTGTGCAAGACAATGGACATGAAGTATTTCAAAAAAAGAGAGTGGCTGTGTTGAATGTAAGCTGACAACAAGGCAACAACCAATTGTCCTGACGAGACTGCTGCAAGAATGTCTCAGTGAGGCTCAAGGAACTCATGGTCTTGAAGGATACTGGGTTGGTGATCCAGCTCCAAAGCCTCACCATGTCTGGCAGCTGCGGCACATGTCCTGCCAAGAGCTTGTTGTCAAGTGTGGACTCAGCCAAGAGCTTCAAGGGGCTGGAAGTCGGGGAGTAATAGGCAATGATTGCGGCCTTGTGGATGTTGCTTTGCGCGTGCAATCGAAGACATGACGATTGCAAACTCGCCAGGCCCTCGACTTGGCACATTGCCTTAAGTGACAGTGCCTTCAATCTTGCTAAAGCCAAAGCAGAACTTTGGCAAGCAGAGCAACCCATCACCACTGAAAGGAAAACATGAGACCATTAAGCTTAGTGACCCATTTTGTCCGACCGCGCGCCCACTTCAACTTTACTTCCGGTTTGTTGGCGCAAAACCACATGCAATAGACGCATCCCATGCCGAACCGCCAGCCGTCATGCTGTGCCAGGTGCCGAGGCTTACAAATCAGCCAACTGACCCTCTCCCCTGTTCGAGGATCCAGGTCACTGCCAGGTCCAGCGGCCCAAGACTTGGAAAAGTGCCGAAATCTGCATTGCACGCATGTCTCAGCCCACTTGGACGGATCTCGGTGGAGCTTTGCGTGCTCCTTGAACGGGTCAGCAGCCGAAGGCGTGGCCAGGACCACAGCTGTAGAGGATCCGTGTTTTCTGGCCTGTTTTCTCTTTGGGGGCAGTTCTCCTCTTTTGGCTGGCGCCTCCTGAGCCTGCCTGAGATTTTCGTGCTGGGCGCTGCTTCCGTGTCTGCCTGCCTGAATTCTTTCTACGGGTCTGAGCTGCCTTTGGAGCAGCATTGCGACTGGCGGAACTTTTCCTTGGCTAGTGGTCAAGTCTAGAGTCTAAGCAAAAAGCCCTAATTAAAATTATTATGTGGCAGATTTCTTCGTCGTACCTTTTAACGTCGCTAGCCTTCGACCGAAACTAACAAAATCGAGAGTCCTCTTCCTTGCGGCAGGCGCCGGCTGACTGCTCGCAGCCTTTTGTCGGTGCGAGAGCTTCAGCAAGCCACTCGTCCCCAACATCTGTTGACCAGTCGGAGTGAAGCCTATGTGCTTGGGTGGTGCTTGGTTAGTGATTCAGCCAGCAAGTCTATTTGTCAGTCAGTAAGTGCATCCTTCAAACAGTTAGCCAGCGAACGCGTGCCATTGACTGCCGTGAGTTCGTGTTCTTTGTCATAATTGCAGTGCTCATCATGCAAGCTGAAAGCCGCATCCACACATCAAAGAGACCTGTCATCTGAACCAATCAAATCAGTCCTGTGGCAATGGGCAAGACATGCGAAAGAAGCACGCACGCTCAATCCCACCAACAGACACACACACACATTGGCACATGATCAAGCTGCACGGCAATCGGAAGACGCACATGGCCATCAGGCAACAACACATCGGTAGTCGTGCAAGCTCAAACCAAGCCCAACCGCCACTTGCTGATTCTGATTTACGCAACTACTTTGAGGGTTCATTTGCAGCTATAGAAGTTCACGCAGTTATACCAGTTATGTGGACAGTTAAAACAGTTAAAACAGTTATTTTTTGAGAAGGATGCGAGCGAAAAACTAACTGTTTTAACTGTTTTAACTGTTTTAGCTAACTGGAGATATCTGGTTGTAACTTTTTGACGCCAAACTGCGTGTTTAAGTGTTCAGAGCCAGGAGCGTGCAAAAAAAGGCTAGTTCTTTCCGAAAATTGAGTGGATTTGGAGATTATTCAATATATTAATTTACATTTATCTGATATAGAAGTACCTTTGTCGATTGCACGCGGCATCGCCGCATGATGTATTAAGAAGTCATATTTTTCACTTCAAGCATAGCGCCCGGTCACTCGACTCCCACAGCCCACCCGCAGCTGCGAGGAAGCCAGCGTCCACCACGAAGCAAGCTCGCCGCGCGCAGTCGACTCCGGAAGCACGCGCCCTCGCCGCAAACAAAATACACACGCGGCACCCTGCCGCAACGAGGGAGCGAAAACGTGCGAAGCACGCGGCCTCGCCGCAGACAAAACGAGCGGCGCCCTGCGCAAACGAGGGAACGAAAACGTGTATAACACACGCGGCCTTGCCGCAGACAAAATGAGCAGCAGCCTGCCGCGACGAGCGAACGAAAACACGCGGCGACTGGCCGCAGCGAGCGAGCGAGGAACAAGCGGGCAAGGAAAAGGAGACATGCACATACACCAGTCCAAGCGTCCAGCCGCAACTCCTTCACCAGAAGCAAGAGCTCAGCATCACACGCGAAGCAGGTCTCCACAAGAAAGGCCCGTGCTGCGTCGAGCTCGGTGAGAACATCGCTTTTGCAGACCGTCACGTGCGACGTGGTCGCCATTTTCGCAACGCGCAGCTTGGCCCCGGCGCTCAGTTTAGACCAGGGAGATTCCCCACCAGCTACTGCTGCTCACCTACTGCCTTTGAAATTCGTAGCCTGCCATCCCACCAGATTATATACACCAAACAGATTTCCCACCAGCTACTGCTGCTCACCTGCCGCCTTTGTGTCCTGCCATCCCACGAGTTTAGACCAGGAAAATTTCTCACCAGCTACTGCTGCTCACCTACTGCCTCTGAAATTTGTATCCTGTCATCCCACAAGTTTGGACCAGGCAGATTCTCTTACCAGCTGCTGCTGCTCATTTACTCCTTTGTACCCTGCCATTCCACAAGTTTTGGCCAGGCAGATTTCTCACCAGCTACTTCTGCTCATCTGCACCCTGTCCGAAAGTTTCGGCAAAAAACATGGAACTTTGAGTCTCGAAAAAAACCCACGACACGCCACAAAACTGGCCCGATCGTAGCTAGAGAGATGTCTCTTAGAGGAAAGGTAGTAGCAGCGACACACAGGCTTGTCTGCAAAGGGCCATGAAGACCAGAAAGCCCACGACACACCACGACACACCACGACACATCACACAAATTCTGAAAAATACAAACTGTGTCGTGGTGTGTCGTGGCGTGTCGTGGGTTTTCTGGGCCGCGCGCTTTTCGTGGTGTGTCGTGGGTGTGTCGCTACTACTTTTCCTCTAAGACACATCCCTCTAGCTGTGATCCGGGCCAGTTTTCTGAAAGTGTCGTGGTGTGTCGTGGCGTGTCGTGGGTTTTTTTTTCGGGGCTCAAAGTTCCATTTTTGTTGCCGAAAATTTCGGACAAGGGGCAGATGAGCAGCAGTAGCTGGTGAGGCCTAAACTTGTGGGATGGCAGGGTACAAAGGGAATAGATGAGCAGCAGCAGCTGGTAAGAGAATCTGCCTGGTCCAAACTTGTGGGATGACAGGAATTTCAGAGGCAGTAGGTGAGCAGCAGTAGCTGGTGGAAAGGCTGTTTGGTCTAAACTGGTGGGATGGCAGGATGCAAATTTCAACAGCAGTAGTTGAGCAGCAGTAGCTGGTGGGAAATCTCCCTGGTCTAAACTGGTGGGATAACAGGGGACAAATTTCAAAGGCAGTAGGTGAGCAGCAGTAGCTGGTGGGAAATCTCCCTGGTCTAAACTGGTGGGAAGGCAGGATACAAATTTCAAAGGCAGTAGGTGAGCAGCAGTACTGGTGGGAAATCTCCCTGGTCTAAACTGGTGGGATAACAGGGCACAAATTTCAAAGGCAGTAGGTGAGCAGCAGTAGCTGGTGGGAAATCTCCCTGGTCTAAACTGGTGGGATGGCAGGATACAAATTTCAAAGGCAGTAGGTGAGCAGCAGTAGCTGGAGAGGATACAAACTTCAAAGGCAATAGGTGAGCAGCAGTAGCTGGTGAGAAATTTGCCTGGTGGGATGGCAGGATGCAAATTTGAAAGGCAGTAGGTGAGCAGCAGTAGCTGGCAAGAAATCTCCCTGGTCTAAACTGGTGGGATGGCAGGATACAAATTTCAACTGCAGTAGGTGAGGGCCAGTAGCTGGCGGGAAGTCTGTTTGGCCTAAACTGGTTGGATGGCAGGATATAATTTTGAAAGGCAGTAGGTGAGCAGCAGTAGCTGGTGGGAAATATCCCTGGTCTAAACTGGTGGGGTGGCAGGATACAAATTTCAAAGGCAGTAGGTGAGCAGCAGTAGCTGGTGGGAAATCTGTTTGGTCTAAACTGGTGGGATGGCAGGATGCAAATTTGAAAGGCAGTAGGTGGGCAGCAGTAGCTGGTGAGAAATATCCCTGGCCAAAACTCGTGGGATGGCAGGACACAAAGGCAGCCGGTGAGCAGCAGTAGCTGGTGAAAAATCTCCCTGGTGTCTAAACTCGTGGAATGGCTCGAGCGGCACTGCCGCCTGCAAACATCCAAGTCTCATAATTTCGATACGTGTATACAAGGTTTCAATGTTATTTAGCGGTTATCTGTGCAAATATATCAATACTTGCACAACATTATGTATTCTACAACTGTGGGCTTGAAAAGCTAGGAAATCACTAAAAAATATAACTGTTTTAACTGCTTTAACTGCTTTCAACCCTAAAAAATAACTGTTTTAACTGTTTTAACTGTTTTGAATTTCACGCGGCTCGTCAGCACTAAAGCAGTTATCCCAGTTAGCAACTGATGCAACTGGTGACCAACTGAACCAACTGCTGCAACCATGACTTATAACTCCTAACGAACCCTAATAGTTTGGAATCCTAAACCAACCGAATCCCCAAGGGATGGCATCGAAATTATCTTTGGAATCCTAAACCAACCGAATCCCAAAGGGATGGCCTCAATTAGAGACCCCAAACAGTTGAGGACCGGGCAAGCACAATGCCCAAGAAATGTTTGACCCAGGACCCCCCAAGTGGATTCCCTTTGGAATCCTAAACCAACCGAATCCCCAAGGGATGGCATCGAAATTATCTTTGGAATCCTAAACCAACCGAATCCCAAAGGGATGGCCTCAATTAGAGACCCCAAACAGTTGAGGACCGGGCAAGCACAATGCCCAAGAAATGTTTGACCCACGTGTCCTTTCGCCCGAACCCGCGAGGTTCTTCCTGAAGTCCAACGACGGGTCTAGGCTTGTGATCGATGGCCAGCAGGCGAGTCACCGAGTCACCGAGTGCAGAACGGCTCGCAGAACGAATCGGCGAATCAGCGAATCAGCGAATTTTAGCAGGTTGAAACCATTCAAATAGACGCGAGTCAAGCCTCCTTACAAAATCTCCATGTTGCAAGCATTTGAAACATGTGGCTTTTTTCAACACCAAGACAAAGTTGGACACCTCCATTTCCAAGTTGCAATGTTCAGGTGTTGTTCATGCATCCGGTCCCTGTTTAGTCGGGTCGCTAGGGATTGAGACCTGAAATTTGGTTTAAGCAACTCCCCTCAAACCTGGAGAATGTCAGAACCACAAGTCGGGTACTCATTGCCATCAATACCCGTGCTTTTTGTCCTTGGCGCGGTGCCTTTTTCAGGTTGGTTGAAAAGGCCAAAAAGAACGCGCCCAAATTGTTGGGGCATCGTGCGTCATACGCTTTCGGAACCCATGGATCGCCCAAGAAGGGTCCTCTTGTTTGGTTTTTCCTTTCATGGCAATAGAGGTCCCAATACCTTGTGGGTACCGTTCATTGGGGCTGGGGCCCATCTTGCTTTTCCTGCTCACCCGAGGTTTGCCAGAACCACGCCGAATGTGCGTTCTGGTGTTGGGATAGACAGCACATGCTGCAAACTCACTCACTCCCTGAGTTCCTCAACTTCGTTCTTTGTTTGGTGAACAACACGTTGAGACTTTTGTTTGGCCAATCCACTCAGGAAGTGAAGCCTCTCTAATGTTGCCAACTCTGAGTTTTTTCCTCGATGGGATCTGCAAGGATGCAGCTCGCCTGTTCAATCCGCTTGGACCTTTGCATTTTGTTTCCCTGGCTGGTCTACTTTTGGTCACCCAAACGATCAGCTGTGTTTCCTGGTGATTTGCCTTTGATTTGCAGAAAACGCAGAGTACTAAATCAAGAAAGGACACCGTGTCAGATTCTGCCAGCTTACATTGCCTTTGGTTTCCTTTAACAACATATCAGATTCTGCCAGCTTACATTGCCTTTCCTTTAACAACACAGAGTATCAACTCAGAAAGACAGACAGATGTTCACCTCAGTTGCCCAAAGCCGACCTTTTGACCTTTTGGTGTCTCCTTTTTGGTCTAGTTTTGGTCATGGCCCCAAAAGGCTAACCTTTTATTTCTGGGTCCTTTGGGCAAGTGAGTCACAGGTGCCTTTTGTAGTTTGCTTGGAAATGGCACTGCCTGGTTCGAATGTCCTTTACCGGTGCCATCGTTTTCAAGAGGACTGCCGGGGCTTTTGTCTGAGCATTGATCGAGTGAAGGCGCCAAAACCTACCCGGACGCCGGAGACCCCAAGAACATAGGAGGTTTTTTTGAGGTACATGTTGTTGGTGCCTTTAAAGGAAAACCAAAGGGAACGCCACCATGTTGGGGGACCACTAAAAAAGGACGGCCCATGTTTCAGCTGCCAGGTGATCGACAACGGAGGCTACCACAGCACCAACGAGGAGCTGCAGATTCGTGCCATTCTTGCTTTTAAAGGGAATATCTCACTGGACATAATATGTTCTCTCATGTTTTGCAGGGGACATGCACCGCACATGGGGAGGGTGTTGTTTTCAGGGTACCTCTTGTTTGGAGGTTTTAAAGGGCAACCAAAAGGCCACCCAACATTTTTTGTTGGTCGGGGGGGGGGGATCCCCCAAAAAAGACAGACCCTTAAATGGGGTTGGGCTTCTGGATGATTTGGATTCCACTTCCCTTTTTCAGGTAAGACTTAGACCAAACCCCCGGGCTCCAACTCGCCAGTTGAAGGGGGGCTGATTTTTTGTATCCAACTGCTTGGCGGCTTCGTTCGCGCGATGCAAAGGTCTCGTTTCGGGTATGTGGCGCAAAAATAGGGCACCTCAGGGGGGTCTTTTTGCCACCTTTTGTGGACAATTGACCCACTCCCTCGTAGTGGAGGATTCCTTTTTGACGGGGTCGGCAATTTTCTCACAAAAGGTAGCAAAAAGACCCCCCCAAGAAAGGGTGGCTTTTCGTCGGGTTTCCCTTTCAACCCAACCCCAAAATGGGAATTACCCTCAAAAGACGCGAGCCACCCATGCGTTTGGCTCACTTCCAAGAACTGCGGGAGTTCCTTTCCCACCCATCGTTTTTTGGGGGGAACTGAGCAAACCAAAGACTTCCACGCCTTCTTCGCGCTTCGCTTCGCCCCGCGCCGACGGCCGCAGGAGTCGGGGGAGCTGAACCTGACGGCGGGAAGCCACACGCTGCTGGTGGAGTACTTTCAGGGCACGAGCACCTCGAACATCGAGTTCAAGTGGCAAGGCCTGCGCGCGCCGGGCGCGCTTCGCGGCCGCGAAGCGGCCGCGAAGCGGGCGCAGGAAGCCGACAGCTGTGGATGAGGGCGAAGTCCAGACATCGCACAAGCTAAGAAACCACGGTGGAATCCATGGTTTGTTGGTCACCCTGTTGGATGCTTCATGTCGACCCCGGAAGAAACCTGTCCGACCTCTCCTGTGACTTGTGCTATGGTTGTCAGGGACCCCCCCCCAAAGAGGGGACCCCGGAAAAAGAATTTGGCGGTTTCCCTTGGCTATCTATATCCGGCATCCGGAACAGGGAATGGGCTTAGGGATTCGGAGCCCCAAAATAGGTGGTTGCCCCTTGGTTTCCCTTAAAGCCAAGAAACGGACGAACCGCACGATGGGTGCCTTTCCCCCTCCCTCCCCCGCCCCCCCCAAAAAAAAACAAGAAGACAGAGCAAGGATGAACCGCACCAGAAAAATGTGTTCTTCGTCTTAAAAGAAGAGGACGAGCCGTTTGGGGAACTCGTTGCTTCCGGCTGAAAGTCGCAGGCCCGGACAGTGGAGAGGTGAAGCAACTGGTGCCTGGCTCGGTGTTCTCCACCAAGCCGGCCTCGAAGTGCCCGGACTGCGGCAGCCCTGGGGAGGCCGGGAGGCCGTTCGCCGCTCACTTAGAGGAAGCCTAGGGAGTGAATATAGGAGTTTCAAAGCAGGTAAGATGGGGTGGGGGGGGGGTACCATTTTCATAATAGTGCGTTTTCCTGGTTTTGTCGCTTTTGTCATTAATTGTTCCTGAACCTGTCCACTGACTTGAAACCCGCCAGAGGGTTGGGGGGACCCGCAATAGGAAGATCGTCTTCCATCCCGAACGTGGATGTGTGGGTAAGCAAAAATGTGTTTAGACGAACTATGCTTTGCTTTCTGTGCCCAGATGGCCAAGCTGCAGATATGCTTTTTGGTGTTGGTGGTTTGATTGGCAAAGGAAAACTATCCATTTTGAAGAGTTTGGGGGTCCGAATCCCTATTTTGACACATACCCAAACGACCCAAATGGGTGTGGACAAGGTAATTTGTTTTTGGATCTCACCAGGGTAGAATTTATTAAGAGGTCGGTTTAAAGGGACCCAAAAGGAAAGCCACCATTTGGGAGGTCCGAATAGTCCGAATCCCTACTTTTGATACATACCAAGTGGGATTAACCTTCAAATCTTCGCACTTTGACCCTCCCTTTTGCAAGCCGCGAGAGGGTCCCTTTTCAAGGGAAATGTTTCCAGAACCACTCAGGTTCCATGGCAAGAATGCGGTATTCATCTTTTCGGATGACCTCAGCTAGAAACGGCAAAAGGAATCCAAGCATAGGGTGATCAGGCTTCAGGGCAAAGTGGGTGGGTATTTGGTGGGTCCGGAAAACAGAACATTGTTTAGCCACTTTATTCCTGTGGTGATTCTTCAGTCTTTCCAGGAGAGTTTCCACCTGCTACACTCACGCATATCCTGAGGTGTAGTAGCACAGACAAGTGAGCAGCGTCATAAACCCTGACAATACAAAGTAGTAAAGGGGGGTGTCCTATAGAATCCCCGCGAAAGCCAAAACGCAGGCCGCGAAAGCTTGCGAAAGCTTATTGCGAAAGTAACTAAAGAAGGTCCCGCCGCGAAAAGACGCGCGAAAGCCTGCATGCTAGTGATGATGCGGTGTGACAGTCCGTCGCGAAAGCAATTCTAAAGAAAACGAAGCCCGCGAAAGCCATGCATGGGGTCGCGATGTAGCATCGCGAAAGCATCCGCGAAAGCAAGTTCATACCGCTTTTTACAAACAAGAGTATTCGGCACGGCTCAAGTGGCTGTGGCTCAAAATAATGGTCAAACATGGACGAATGGAAACATGGACCAAAACATGGGCCAACACATGGACCAAATCTTTCCTGGTAAGCGGAAACATGGACCAAAACCTGCGGTTTGCCCCAAAACCCGATCGTTTCGTTAATTTTGAGCCACAGGTGACGCGGGGAAAATTCGAGGAAACAAACCCATTTGGCCAGGTGGCCAACCAGCCAAACCTGGGCCACCAGTTCAGGCGGGCAACTCGGAGTTGGCCGGTCTCTCGAGGGTCCCTTTGGCGTTAAAGGGCACCCGACAAAAATGGATAAAAGGGAAACACGTGCTGCCGAGCAGATAAGGCAGAATCGGATCTGGACCTCTCGAGGTTTCTCGGTTCTTCTGATTTTCCTCTTCAGATCTTAGCCATCCACATTTCGGGGGTCCGCCGGTCTGAGGGTGGTTGTATCTGGGATTACACCCTTGGGACATCACCCAGAATGCTTGAAAACAACACGGTTTTTGGTCCGGACATGTGCCTAAATGGGGTCAATACCCTTAGAGCCAGGTTCTTCACCACGGAGGACCACATCGACTCGGACTTGGACAACCACTTCTTCGACCGCATGGATCGGGAGCTATCGAAGTCTGCGGTATGGACCGCCAAGGCGGAGCTTGGGGCAAGCGGAGCCCAGACCAGTTTTTGGTAGAGGGGTTCGACTAGCTGCTGTTAGGGGGTTGTGTAAGGGAACCAAAAGACACCAAACCATGTTGGGGGGGTTCCCCAACTTGGGTTTTTTGATAGGAGAGGGCTCCCTTCAGGGACAAAAAAGGAAACCAAGCCACCAAAAGGAACAGGAAACCAAAAGGAGTGTGGGAAACGGCTGTTGGGGTTGGGAGCCAAAAGGAAACATACCATTTAGGAAGATGGACGGACGGACGCATCAGACTTGATGTCAAAGACCAGCCATGAAAAGGTGGATTGACCCCCTTTTGGTAGGGAAACCGAAAGGACACCACCAAGAACTACGTTTCAGAGTAATTCGAGGCGTGACATGGAGATTGGGGTCATCTTCATACAAAGCGATGGGTGGTTTTAGGGCTCACTCCTTGAGTTTCTGGACGGGTTGCCATTGTACTTGCCGCTAGCCATGGCCCCGGAAGTGAGTTGGGGGGGTGGTCCCAGTTTTGCCAGAAGCTTAGCTTTCCAACTGGTTGCCTTTTTGGATTGCTCCTCATTGCTCCTCAAGAGCAACATCAGATCAGTGATCGCAGGTCGGATCAGCCAAGTTTCTGCATGTTCAATATAGGATGCCGTACAATCCTCATCGTTTACTCCTAAAAGCATGCCAGAATTGGGATTTAAAGCACCCCGCAACGCCATTCTAAAGTATGCAGGCCCTCATATTAAACCAAGCACACCTCCAAGTGAAATGGCGTTTGGGCAGGCGACGAAATCAACCAGTTTCACCCTCTGGATATAAGCTGAGTCGCCTGCGAAGGGCTGTCGTGTGCCTTGTTTTTGACCATCAGCCAGACACTCTCAAATAGCTCACTTCCAGAGTTCCGTTGCGCACTTGAGTCACTTGTTTTTCTGTTTGAGTGGCGCTTGCTCACAAGTTTGGTTACTTCTTTGGCCCATGGCGTTGAAGTGGGTTGGGCTTGTTCCCAGTTCTGCCGGACCCAGCGAGTTCGGGCTCGGTGGACGTCGGCAGGCCATGGGGGCGGAGGACCAGCTGCGGCAGCGGGTGGCATGGGCCCTGAGCCACTCGGAGCTTTGGGAGTGGGGTCCGGATCACGCGGCTGAGCTACCGAAAACCTTCCTAGGCCCCTTTGGGCCCCTCAATGGAAGAGTATCCAAGGACCCTTATGAGGTCTTCCCCGAGACACAGGGAAAAGAACCAAATGGGAAGAGAGCCGCAATGCTGATTTTTGAGTTGCAGGTGAAGCAGCTCGTTTCGCTTGGTTTTTGTGAGCCCAAGTTTCCCTATGTGTCCCTCGAAGGCACCCTGGATTTAGGAAAAAGGAGAAAAGACCTCCGCGAGGTTCCTTTTGTGTTCCTATGTTTTTCAGGGTGAAAGTGGAAGAGAGTCAAGGAGTCGCCACCATTTTTTGGGCTGTTTGAAGGGACCCTAGCTAGACCCATTTGGCATATCATACGGTCAATAATCAGCTTGGACTGTCTGGCCAATCCACTCAAGAAGGGAGGTTTGTTTGCGTCGTGAGCTGATTGATAACTGAGGAGTCTTTGTTAAACTTGTGTCAGAGCACCAAATTAGCTTCGCGGCGTGTATCATCCCATGTGTTAGACATCATTTGGGATCACCCTCTGTATGTTTGTAGTTTGTTGCTTCCGCAAAAAGGGTGGGGAGCCAATTAGTGGGAATGAGTTCCAACTATATATACATATAGGTGTGGTAAGAGGCCCTTGTGTTACATGGTTCTGGGTAGGTTCCTCAAATATCAGATTTTGATCATGGTTCTTCTGCGACAAGTCCGCTTGTGGTGTGGTCGACCACAGGGCCCTTTTGTTGGTGATGTTTAGGGCGGCTTTGAGGTAGTCCAAAGAGGGTCCCTAATTCACACATCCATCCCTGAGTTATTCTTCTTCTCCCGGTTGCCAAAGAGAAGCCAGGAAAAACAAAGAAACCAACCGGAAGCTACCTGTGTCAATGGGCCCCATGCCCTGAAATCCCTTGGTGCCTTTCTTCATTTCCTCGAAGCCCCTTGCCATCAAAACCCGGGAATCCAATAGACAGGTGCCTGCCCATCCCGCAAGAGTCAGCCATTTTTTTTTCAGAATGAATAACTTGTCATATCAATGGAAGCCATAATCGAATTAGTTTCAGAACCCTTCAATGACTACCAAATGGTTTGCTAAGTCACCTATTTTGGGCTATTGTGGGGCCGTTTGACAGCCAGTGGGGGCTTCTGGAATAAATGTGCATGTGTCCAAATAGGGAGACCCCGAAAATGATTGGTATCCTTGCAGTTTCCCTTTCAACCACCCCCAAAACGGGTATCATCCAAGCAAGACACACTCAAATACTTGCAGGTTTTTAGTTGCGACTCTTGCCGGGTGGGGCTGGGGGGCGTTTTTTTTTTTTTTTTTTTTTTTTTCCCGAGGCCAAATCTTCGTGGTCTCCGCCAATGGCTTCGGTGGAGACTCGCGGACCGAGGTTTGGCTGCCGCTTCGGCTGAGAATCTGGGTCTGCCCCCTTTTTGATGGGTTCAGGAACACCACCATTTTGGGGAGTCCCCGCAGAAAGGACACGCCCATCTGAGTGCGGCCACAGATCGGGGAGATCAAGGCAGCCAGGGATACGAAAAACAAATCCAGCTCGAGATCCCAATTGCCCTCATGCTCGGTTGGGCGTGCCCTCTTTCCCCACCCGGCAGAGTCTTGGGGCGTTGTTAGATTTTATTCGTGGCGTGCGGCCGACAGAGCCGAGATTTACCGCTTCGACAGAGCCCCTGGGCCAGGCCGAAGCATGGTCTTTTTGGGGGCCTCTTAGAGGCCCAGATTGTTTTTTTTTTTTTTTTTTTTTACAGGTTTGCGTAGATGCGTAGGTGCGATCGAAAATGCCGTCATGTTTGGAAGTTCGGTTTTGGTGCCAGCATTCAGCATCCAGAACATGTTTGTCCCTCTCATCCACCAGGGCCGTCGTATTGCGGTGCGGAATAAAAATGGACCAAATCAGAGCAGCCAGAAGGTCAAAAAGTCGATTCGGCCCAAGGGGCAAGTGAGCGATGTGGGTTGATTGCAAGCTGTTGTTCAAAGAATAAGATGGCTTTCTTCGAGGATATTGAAAGATGTGCAAGATCAGGGGAAATATAACTAGGTCCCCCAGTGTTGCCCTTCTCTCCCCTTTCTTGGGGGAGGGTTCCCCTACTAAAATAGACAAAAACAAAAAAAGTTGGTAGCCTTATTGTAACCTCTCTACTGGAGGACCTAGAAGGGACGCCGGCCGAATCTGGCCGAGGAACTATTACGACATGTTCCTGCGCCACGCCTTCGGAAACTTCCGTGACCTGCTGCAAGAGGCGCGGTCCGGGCGTCATGAATCCGGACAGAGGAAAATGGGTGTGGCTCAAAATTAGACAGGAGGGGTTACGCAGGGTTTGGTCCATGTTTCTACTTACCAGAGTTCCATTTTGGCACCGGTTTTTTGAGAGAGAGCCAAATGTGTGCTTCTGTTTTGGCGTCGGTACCCAGTTGTTGTGGTTTTACAGGGAAAACCTACAGCTCAACCGACGCCATTTTTTTGGTGTAAACATTGGGGCCCAAATGAGTCTTCGAGGGGATACCTTTCAGGCGCTATGTTTGTTTTCGGGTCGCAATAATTCGGGCAGCTTGGGTGGCTGCTGTAATGTTGACGTAGTATGAAAAATCCCGCATATTAGTCCGGTCTGGGTGACACCCCCCAATACTAATCAATTCACAACTCAGAAATTACCCCCCAAATAAAAAATGGATCCAAAAAAAAACACCCCAATTAAACCGGTCCCTCCCCCAGATGGCTGCTGCTATCTTATTTTCTCCACTGCTTCTTGAGCTCATTCCAATGTAAGCTGCTTATTGGTGCTAGCTGATGCTGCTGATGTTGAGGATTGTGGACTCATGCTGCTTGCCATGCTTTCTCTGGATGGTGTCCTGAAAAGGTGCTTTGGCTCAAATGGGCTCATGCTTTCTTCTGATACTGCCGCCTTGCTTAGGGCTCTCATCTCCACCTCCTACTCTCATCTTGAAGCTTGGTGGATGCTTTTGAGCCTGCCCAAACCACAAAACAAAAAGTGTTCTGAGATGATTGATTTCTTCTTGAATCCTTTACTAAAAAAAGTCAAGTTTAGAAGGTTTCAAGGGGTACCCCACATTCGCCCCTTACACCTCCAATTAATACCCCCCCCCCCTAATTAGTGCGGTCCATCGGCCCCACCCCCCAAAAAAAGACAACCAGGCCTTCTCAATACTAAATCAAATGGAAACCCAATTCCAGATCTTAAAAGGAGGCTCCAGCAATACTAAATCAAATGGAAACTCAATTCCAGATCTCAAAAGGAAGCTCCAGCAATACTAAATCAAATGGAAACTCAATTCCAGATCTCAAAAGGAAGCTCCAGACATACTAAATCAAATGGAAACTCAACTCCAGATCTCAAAAGGAAGCCCCAGCAATACTAAATCAAATGGAAACTCAATTCCAGATCTCAAAAGGAAGCTCCAGCAATACTAAATCAAATGGAATCTCAATTCCAGATCTCAAAAGGAAGCTCCAGCAATACTAAATCAAATGGAAACTCAATTCCAGATCTCAAAAGGAAGCTCCAGCAATACTAAATCAAATGAAAACTCAATTCCAGATCTCAAAAGGAAGCTCCAGCAATACTAAATCAAATGGAATCTCAATTCCAGATCTCAAAAGGAAGCTCCAGCAATACTAAATCAAATGGAATCTCAATTCCAGATCTCAAAAGGAAGCTGCAGCATTACTAAATCAAATGGGGACTGAATTCCAGATCTCAAAAGGAGCTCCAGCAATACTAAATCAAATGGAAAATCAATTCCAGAAGCTCCAGCAATACTAAATAAAATGGAGACTCAATTCCAGATCACAAAAAAAAGCTCCAGCAATACTAAATCAAGTGGAAACTCAATTCCAGATCTCAACAGGAAGCTCCAGCAATACTAAATCAAATGGAAACTCAATTCCAGATTATTTTGGGGGGTGGGGGCAAAAATCCTTCCAAAATCTTGCCCCCCCAAACCTTTCTGACCTTCAAGGGGGGGGGGGGTACGGACGAATACGGGGTCAACATTACAAGCCCTACCTAACCTATTGCTTGGTATGTCATTTGGGGCTGTTTGCAAGTTTTATCGCAACAGGTGACCTACAACCCGTTGATGGGTGAATATCTCACCAACACCGGCAGCTCCTCCTACGACCACAATGGGCGGTTCCCCAACGAGAACTACGCACGCGAGATCATGCCCCTTTGGTCGAACTGGGTATCCAGATATCGGGCGAAGCTTTCTGTTTTCCAGTCTGGTTTAGAAAGAACTAGGCTTCACTTACAAGGCACATGACCAACCTCTTCATACGGATTCAGAATAGCAAGAAGAGCAGTTGCAATCTTGTGACTAGGGGCCATTCTGGACAGCAACTCTCGGATGGCATGGATCTGACTCACTGCACCCTTTTCTGGATCAACGCCACTCCACGTCCTTTTGCTGAAAGCTCCTTTGGCAAAGTCGCCCTTAGGAAGGAGTTTAGACCATAAAAAAGGAAGCTTCTTTGGGCTTCCCTTTCAAAGAGGGCCAGTCCAGCCCTGAAATGGAGGTTTCGCAAAATAGGGGAGCCCCCAATTGGGTTGCTTCCGTTGGCTTTCCTTTGATTCTTCAAACAAGAATCAACAGGGGCCCAGCAAAGCCATGTGTTCGAAGGTCCACCACAAAGGGGTTCACCAGGTTTGAGACGCCAAACAGGTCCGCCAAAAGGGGGTCGGTCACAAGGCAGCTCTTCACCATCGGCCTGGACATGTTGCACCCCAACGGCACCGCAAAAGTCACCGCAGCTGGGGACAAGGCGCGCGGAACCGGCGCTCCTAATTTTGAAAAAACACAAACAAAGAGATGAGGCGGCTCTTCATCACCCAAAGGAAAACCACCCCATGTTTTAGGATTCGCATTTGGAGACAAACCCACCTCTACTTGAGCAACGGCCCATATTTGCTCTCATTTACTGCAGTAAAGGGAATCACATGGGGCACTGTCACCAAACTAGAGCTAAGAAACGGATGGTTGGGGGCCACAAGTGTTTTGGGGCATCTTCTCTAAAAGCATAACCCCCCCCCCCCCCCTTGAGACATGCTATAACACTGCTATTAGAGTGTTAATTATAACACTGTTAAAGTATTTGGCTCCCAAAAGGGTTCCCCACTGACTGGCGGCGCGACAAGTCCTGGAACAAGACCCCCCCCGCCCCTTTTTCCCGCAGCTTCCCTAAAGCTTCCGGAAGCTTCCGCAAGGCTTCCGGAAGCTTCCCCAAGGCTTCCGGAAGCTTCCCACCTATTTGGCCCAAAGGGAGGGGGGGGGGGGAAGGGGGCGGGGGTGAGGCTTCTTAATGATCAGGGGGCCCGTTCCAAAAACAAATAATTGGCTCCGATGTGTGTGAGCCAAAGCGCGAGCGATCGGCTGTTTGTGTCCCCGCATCCTACAAGTTCGAGCCTTCTTGTGATCGAATCCATTCAACGGGTCACCCAATTTTGCGTCTGCCCTTTTTGGGGGACCCCCCAAAATGGCTTCAGTTTTCCTGTTGGCTTCACTTAAAGCACAACACAACACGCACACAAAGCGCCCCCCCGATAGAATCGCATTGGACATGTGTTCAAGGTGCCCACCTACGGCATGGAGGAGATCGTGAGCTTCTCCAAGGCGGAAAAAGAATTGGGGAGCTCGGGGCTCCTGGCGGATTCAGATGGGGAAGTGGGGAGCTGAGCTGTGAGCCCCGATGTTGTTGCGCCAGGTTTTGTGCAAGGACTCCTTCTTGGATGCGGATGAGCCAGACATGAGCCATATTTTTGTTGGTGCAACAAATCGATTCTGTTTGATCGCTTCAAAGAGAAACTGGGAGCCAGACATGAGCTTATATTGTTTGCGCAACGGGTCGATTTTGTTGGATGCATCGCCAAGGGAAACTCGAAAGGGAAGCAAAAAGCGATCGATCCACATTGTTTGGGGGTCGTAGGCGAACTCAGACAATTTGTGCGTATTCAAGTATAGCGGGGAGGGGGGGGGACTGACCGTGAGATCCTCGGTCAAAACAAGGGGATGCCCTATTTTTAGGGATAGACAATTGCTGTACCCATAAGTTTCTCTTACAATCATGTCTCAGGCGTTTTAACGTACCCTTGTTTGGTGTTCCCAAATCGCCCCTTTGGACATCATTGGACCCTTTGGAAACGATTTGCTTTTCTATAAATGCCAACACAAAAGTCCAAGCACCTCCAAGCGAAACCGCCCGTTTCGAAACAAAAACGCCGCCTGTTTCGGAGGTCTTCACGGGATTCAAGCAGCGCCCCTTCCGCGCGAACATTGAGAACTACGACGACGACAACTTGATTGACCCGTGGCTTTGCTGGATGCTGGCTGACATGGGAGTGGCTTTCTTTGGGTGTGATTGGCCTCCGCTTCGCACTTGGGACGGACGAAACCCTAGTGACTTAGTGATTCCATTTACTTGAATCGTAACCAAGGGCTTGCCAGCCTGTAAACACCAAAAGGAAAATGGCTGGTTACCTACTATATATGTTCCAGTCCCCAGGCCACCAACCCCCCTCTCCTCTCCCCCCCCCCCCGAGTCCCACTGCCGGGGGTATCTTATCCCAAAAGGGAACGGATAACCTTGTGGTAGTAGAGGATCGTATATGTGGTCCCTGGATCTATTCCGCAGGAAATCCAATATGTCAATATGGAGTGCAAGAGAATGGATAGTCCCTGGTGGCTCTGATTACTGTGTTTCACGGTAAGCGGCCTGCAATAAGTCCTTTTATGACTATCGCATGAATGGTGCAATTTGTACAAGAAAAGGGCCTTGAGCCAGACGGTTTCATGGAGATCAAGGTATAAATCAACCACAAAACAGACACCAGCACTGAATTACTATGTAATTTTTGGCTTCTTGGCCTTTGGCCGTAGCCTTTGTTTTATGCCGTAGCCATTGAAATTGTTTCATCCTTTTTGCTGCGCGGATGAAAAGTCTTGGTGACAACTGGAAAAAAGGTTTGTACTCTTGATGTGAGATACCTAGCTGTATCAAAAGGGGATGCAAAACGCTTTGTACACGCGGGATCGAAGTGAAACTATTGATCTCTCACTGAAAATAGTCTTGTCGTCGAGGAGGATCAATTGGTCGTGATTCGTTGTGACTTTTTCGTGTGAACTCTCACAATTGAGCTTCTTAGAATCTTCGTCCTGGCAAATCATGAAGACCAAAGGAGGTCTGGATGGTTACCAAAGGAGGCAGTCGCAATAGCTCATCATTTCTTGTTGTACTAATGATAGCTGCTGTCAGACTGACTGCCGTAATCGTAATCTCTCCAGGTCGAACCGCTGTAGTGCTTCCATCCCTGATCGCCGTACGAGTATTGGTTCCATGGCTTCCATGCTGTCTCCTGGTTCTTGCCCTTGAGGAACTTCTTGGTCCGAGAATTGTCGGTCTGCTGATCATTCTTCTGCTTGTCTTGGAATACTCAGTCCTGACATGAATCTTTCGTGTGTCGACCAGGTCGAACACTTCATTATCAAGCCAAGATTTGCACTCGAGAAGCTTTGCTTCAAGGAATTGCTTCTGATAAGCTCTTGTCTCAGTGGCTGTCGCTTCCTTCCGCTTCTTACCAATGAGTGCGAATGTGGATGAAGCCTTCAAGGATTCTTGCTTTGATGAGTACAAGACTAGGAGTGCTCGGTCATCGTCCGTCATGTTCTTGCAAAGCCGGCCAACATGATTCTTGTTTGTGTATTTCAGGAAGGACAGGGATTCCTCTGTTTCTTGGAACCGTAAAGGATCCGGTATTAGCACAGATCTTCTGTTCGGCTGTCATGCATGACCAATGTGCTTCGTCAATGACGAGGTCGGCTTCCTGATCATCATATGCTGTTGTCCCCTCATATTTCAGATTCTCCGTCTGATTCTCCTTCTTCTTGGTCAGTGTACTGCATGGTTCCCTGTGAACTTCCAGTGCCGGATGAAGTTGGAACGTGAGGAATGATTCTTCCTCACTAGAAGGCTCAGGTGAATCATCATCATCGTCTGGTTTCTTCTTCTTCTCAGCCTTGTGCTTTGGATTAGAGTTGGATGATGCTGCAGGTTCATTGCTGGGAGAAGGCTCTGGTGACTTCTTCTTCCCAGTCTTCTGCTTCTTAGTATTAGGTGAACTACCCTGCAAAGGTGCAGTTGTTTCTTCGTCTTGCTCAAGATGGGGCAGTTCAAGCTCTTCATCATTGTCTTCTGCTTCGGGGTTCGTCAGAATTGCAGGTGGTGAAGGTACCACGACAGTCGGAAGAATCGGTTGTGACTGAGACGGCAGACATCAATTCCCAGCCCTTTGCCGTTCAGCGGGGTGTCCCCCACTCAGCTTCTCGTCTGGCGGCAGCGGTGGATCTACTGGACTGTGGATACACCTGGTGCTGGCGGCATGGGATGATCGGGTTGATCCTTCTGATCAGGCTGATGTGGGGGACCTGGAGGAGGATCTGACATGCGCTCGTCCGGTGTGAGTTGGAGGTCTTTGATCAGGCATGGGTTGGTTCGGTTGATCTGGTGAATGCTGTTCCTCCGCGGGATCCATTGGATCCACCTTGATGGGCGCTGAACGGAGGGCGGGCGCATCGGAAAAGGAGTGATGGACTGATGAAAACATCACTGCATGCCACGTCTTCGGATCATAGTTTTCCCAATTGCACTTGGATGCTGGCAAGGCCCAGCTGTCTCAGCTTCTTGCAACCATTCCACATGCTCTGACATCGCCAGTCGTTAGGATCTTGTTTGTAGATTAATATCAATCCCAGTTCTTGGAGGTGGTCTTCTGAACTTTTGGACTAGCTGATCTTGGATGACCAGTGGTTGAACATTCTGGTTGAATGGGAGGTCCTGGGTTCTAACAGCGGTGCTGCTTGCTAGTCATGTTGAGCTCCTTGTCAATGGCTTCCATCTCCTTCCTCAGAATGTCTACCTGCCTGTTGGTGAATGGCTCGAAAATGTCCTCGTTGTTTTCACATTGAGGTGACGAAGGATGATGCGCGCGAGGTCCGGACAGAACTGGGAAGGATACACTTGCGCCAGTTTCGTTCTGCTTCCGAAAGTTCCGGCGTTTCCCTCGAGGGGTTGATGTTCATGTTTCACCGAGCTGGTGAAGTTCGTACACTTTCTGAAGATTGGTCTCATTACCTCGGAAGGTAAGCAGTGCATCAAGCTTGTGGACTTGAGACTTCTGAGTCCGGATTCAGGATATGCGCAGAAATGAAGGAATCCCCAGGTCACGGAGGGATCTGAAAATAGTTGCTGCACGCATTGCAAAGACCAGATCCTGGATGTGTGAGGATGTTCAACTGATACCGCGCAATGGATGCCACGAACTCAACCAGCGCTTCCGCTTTTCCAGACCTTCTATTGGTCTTGTTGGATGTTCTGCATATCTGACCGTGGTCCACAGACTGGTGCCATGAAGATGAGATCAGGTGCTTGCTCCTTGATGATCTCCATGACCATGTGTCGTCCCTTGCATGTCATCACGTCAAATCCGTTGCGGATGTCAGCGAGCGGGAGTCCCAACCTTTAAACCTGTAAGCGCGCAGCATTGACTGAATCACTAGGTGCCGCAGGCTTGGCAGCCGTCTTCCCCGCAATGCGCAATGGCTCAGAGGATGGCTTAGGAGTTGGTATGGATGATTCCCTCCTGAAGTCGGCTGAAGCCGCTTTGCTCCTTCTGCAAGTATCCTTTCTCATCTGGTAGAAGAACATCATGTTGACCTTGATGAGTTGGGTTCCGAGATCAAGTCCAACCATTGCTCCTTCCAAGGAAATGACCTTCCCTTTTAGCCAAATTCCTCCCTTGCTTCCATCGGAACGGATCTTGCATTTGTCTTCCTGCCAGTAAAAGACCTTGTCCTTAAACTCATTCGGAAATTCTGAGCAAGGTCTCGTCGGATGTCTTCGGATTGACGGGCTTCTTGGAATGCCTGCTTGGACAGCTCATTGATTTGGATGGCTGCAAGCTCTTCTTCATTCCTGTCGATTGTCAATTAATTGAGTAGGAGATGAGGTCCTTCATGGGTTCGATGGCCTGAGTAAAACGCTGGATCGCATGCCAGCTGCCCATGGATCTGGTACAACCGTTGTCCAGCGTCGCATAGGTCGGATTGTGTTGAGGGTTGATGACAGCTGCCATCAGCTTTGTTGCCAAAAAGCTATGGTTGGTTGGAACGGACAAATTGTTCTGAAACTGTACCGGATTGGATCAGCTTCTCGTGGATGGCCTTTTTCTCATGCTGCTTGTTTGCGTCATGGAATGCCATCTATGCGTGTCCGGCGCTGGATGTCTCATGGGATGAGTACCAGCCTTGTTCGTTCCAATTCCATGATTGATCCCAATCATTGGTCTGTCCAACCGGCAAAGGTAGGCTCTTGGAGTTCAGAAACTTGTGGGGTGGCAGGACTCTGGCAGGACGCTCCTCCAACTTCTCTGCGACGGCTGCGAACGTTTTGGATTTCCCTTCGTCATGTCCGGCTTTTCCTTTGCCATTGTCATAGAATGGATAACCTTTGTTTCCATCAAAGGGATACTGGAATTGAAGGGTTTGAAGCCACCTCGTCGGTGACTGCCCTTTTGTTTCCTGAGTTTCCTTTTCCTTTCTTCTTTTTGAATTCCGCCCAGACACCTTTCTCGCAATGAACGCATCGTTCTCCTCGGACCCGAAACGTCTCTTCGTCATTGTTCGACATGAATCCTTCTTGTCCTTCTTCATCCTCAGCCCAAAAGCCTTCTTCTCCTTCGTACACACCTTGCTTGATGATGAAGAATGTGTTGCTTCGGTTGCCTCCTTGAGGTCGGATGGATCTTGGGTTGAAGTTCTGGTCGTGATGAAAAGGTCGTATTGCGTCTTCCGCATCTCATAGGTGTAGTTCTCAAGTGTGATAGCTCTCAGAGACATTGCACTTGTCAGCCTTTCTCTCTGGTGGTCTGAGCTCGCTCTGGATGACGAAAAACTGCGCTATGAGATTATCTTCGAGGGAAATGCGTCCCGTTGTCTTTGCTGCATTCCCTGGATGAATTGTCTGAGGACTACTGGATCGTCCTCTTGGAGCACAGCAGGAGGCGGGGCTCTGGCACCGGCGGCTTGCTGATGTCGAGCCAGGTTTCTCTGGTTTGCGTCATGTATTGACTGTCGAAATTCTGGTGCCGTGTATACGGGCATCAGGTCCATCCAGGCTGCCTTCGATCTCAGGAGAAGGATTTGAATTTCGATGTGAATATGAGGAACTCGATGTTCTGCCTCCTGTGATTGAAGAAGCTGAGGAGCCTGTAAAGATACACGTTCGTGGTACTGTTCAGGAAGTACTGCTTCAGCGTGTTCTTGAAATAGTTGACTCCTTCTCCAGGATCTTGCAAACGGTCGTTCTGGAGAACTGCCTTGCACATGTAAGCATCTCCAATGAGTCTGCTCTTGAGGAGAGGCCTATCCAATCATCTACGAGTTCTTCATACCGAACCAGCTGACTTTTCTGTCGTATGATGGCGGCTGCTTGGACGTCTCCCTGGCAAACTGGACGGTTCGTCCCAGCAGCGGCTGCAGCGTGGCCCTGGCCACCCACACCGTGGGGGCAGTGAGCGTGGACGGCTACACCCTGACCCTGACAGTGCTTGGCGGTCATCGATAAATTGACTGTCTTCAGTATAGCCGGATGATCGGGCTGCGCTTGAATAGGCCTCCAGAAGCCTTCTCCATCGGATGTGCATCTTTGCACACAAATTGCCACTGGCGGTATCTTATCCCAGAATAGAACGTATACCTTGCGGCAGCAGAGGATCGTATATGCCAATATGTCAATATGGAGCGCAGGAGAATGGATAGTCCCTGATAGCTCTGATTACTGTGTTTCACCCCTTCAAGGGTACCCGCTGCTAGTCCCCAGACCCCTCCTTGAGCCCCTGAACTCATACCTTTGCATGTCGACACGTAGGAGAACTCAACCCATAACCAACCCAAACCCCAACCCTAAACCTTTCCTACCCCTAACACTTAACCCTAACCCCAACCAACCCTAAATCAACAATCAACAATCAACCTTAAACCAACCTAAAACCATCCTAAACCCAAAACCATCCTAAACCCACTGTAAACCAACCCTTAACCTACCCTTAACCTACCCTTAACCAACCCTAAACTAACCCTATACCCACCGAAAACCAACCATCAACCCAGCCCTAAGCCAACCCTAAACCCACCCGAAACCCACCTTAAACCAACCCTAAACCAACCCCAAACAAACCCAAACCCCCACACCCCCCACCCCCCGCACCCCACCCCCGCAAAGGGGGGTCCACGACCTGGAACATATATAGGGGTACACCGCGCTTTCCCTAGACACGACTTGATATGGCCTTTTGGCAGTACCCACGACCATCGATTCAAAACTGATTAGGCGCGAGGTCCGTCTCATGCGGAAACCTTGGGTGGTTTCCCAATTTGGTTTGCCTTGAACACTAAGCAAAGTATCAGTAACCAATTCTTCACGCGGCTTGGGGAGAACCGTGCGTGGACACCTGGCGCCCAGATCCACCCTTGAGTGTCCGCCATTGGACGACAAACCAAGCCCCAGTCAGGCCAGCTGGCCAGTCTGTCGAGCCGTTTACATTGAGGTTGAAGATGAGCGCGGGGCGCCACGACAAGCACCCGAAGATGGACTTGTACGGAGGCTACCTGGGGGACGGCTATCCCATGTGCTCGGAGCCTCCGGCGAACATTCATGACTGGTCTTGTGTGCTGTTTTCTTGCTTGTTTGTGTGTGTGTTCTCCAAAACGAACAGCCAGAAACCAAACAAAAACACAGTTTGCAAGTTTGCTTTTGATTCCAACTGCTTATGTTCCGGCATTGTCGACATTTCCATTGTTTGATGTTCCGTGTTTGTTGCCATCTCTGTTTTGTTGCTTCCGGCTGAACTGCACCAAAACCTTGACATTTGTATTGGTCGCACAGAATCCGCATACACACTCTGAGTTCCCCAAAGCCGATCGACCTGAAATGACCCTTTTTTCAGATTCGCTGATTTGGACAGCCTTTTATGCTTGGGTTTTTGGGCACTTCCCGAGGACTTCGTGGGCCTGGTATCCAAGGGCTCCAAGTCGTTTGGTCGCAGAAATCGAAAGATGCCTTGGAGATGTGCGGTGCGATGGCCTGGAACCCTTGGCTTTTTGTGGGGGTTTCTCTTTGAAGGCAACCACCAAAAAGTTGATACCCCAAGGATTGAGTTGTTTTTTGGCTTTCAGAGGATGCCCATTCAGACTGGGGGATACGCATTCCCGATTCATCACGGGGCTGCGATTCGGCCGATCAACCCCCAAGTTCGACATTTCCAGGGTGCTCTGAGGCGACAGTTGCCTTTGCTGCGTCTTTCTGCCTTAGGATTTGATCAACGGGTTCCAATTTTGCCAAGCGAGGAGGTGGATTGCTCTCATCGGCACTCGAATCACATTCTCGGGATTCGGGACCGGGATGGCCCCATCCTCACCTGAGGCACCCAAAGTGCCGTTTTTTTTTAGGTATACGATAAACAAAAAAAACACTCAAACTACCGATTTCTGCTCGACCCCGCAAAAAACGCTCGCCCACGAAAAACGCTCGACCACATCCCTTCTTCCATCCAGAGAACGGCGGGCATTGTTACGTTTTTGAACTTGCACTTGTTTGCGGATATTTGCGCTCGTTTTGCGGATATTTGCGCTCGTTTTGCACTTCGAGTTCTGCTCGCTCCTTTCGAAAATTCAGCGACCGATCATCTTGGAGGACCGACCCGCCCGGTTTGGGAAAAACGCTCGATGCAGGAAAACGTCTACATTTACCGTATTTTGGTGACGACCCCCTGGTTTTGCAATATGTTTGGGCTAAGGGCAGAAGTTTAGGTAACGACCAGTCTCTCCGGATCACGTCTCGTTTATGTCTAACAAACGAGACGTGATCCGGAGAAACTGGTCGTTACCTAAACTTCTGCCCTTAGCCCAAACATATTGCAAAACCAGGGGGTATTCATAGACCCTAAGGTCTCATGAAGTTGGCTGGTCTTTGGTGTGACCAACTTGCCCCTTAGACCTTTTGGTTTCCGCTAAACCTACAACAGGCGTGCAAGGAGTTTTTGCTCAGCGGCGGCTTGGAGCAACCCATTCAAGGGATAGCACCACAGAGCAGAACCAGTAGCATGTTTTTTCCCATGGCTTGGTTTGGGTCTTGCAAGGTTTTCGAGCCATTTGGCTTTTTGGAACCTTCAAGATTGGCTTTCTCGTTTCAATGGAAAGGGGAAATCCAGTGACCCAGGTCTTCTGGTATGAGTTCTCCCGAAAATTGATCAATGCTTGATTTGGGGAAATCCCTGAAGCCCCTTTTTTTTGGGGGTGTTTTCCCGGATGAAACCGGATCCAAACGGTTAGGTTCCTCTACCACACTGGGTTTCTGGACAACGCCCTGGAGCTGCCAGCTGACTCCCAGCTCCGCACCGCCCTGCGCCGCGGCAAGAGAAAAACGGATCGACCTTGTATTTCCTTTCCTTTGATCGACAATTACCGCCAGGGACCAATGAATCGCTTGCCCTTTGACCGCCGATATGGTTTCTCAAAATCAGGGCGCCTCAAGTTGGTTTCCCTTTGGTCTCTCTTCGAACCGCCAAAAAGGACCCTTATCTTGAGAAACACCCATACATCCCCCGAATTAGTTTGCTGCAACGTCGGCAGGCGGTTGATCCCAGAATTCATAGCTTTCCATCCACTGTTATTAACGACCATGCCCTGCAAATTGTACTGTGTACCAACTGTACCCAATGTATGCTAGCAGATGGTTAACCCGCCACACTCAACCCTGTGTGCTTTTAGTTTCTCCCTCACCATTTTGACAAAACCAAAGAAGAAGACAGAACCATTCAACCGCCACATTGCTTGGCCCTGTCTCCTGTTTGCTGAAACGAGGTGCGCCTCGGACGGTGCCGGGTGCGTGTACCCAGCGGCAGTTGAGCTGACGGAGGACTTGGTCTGCGGCGGCGCGGAGTGCGGCGCCACGGTGCGCGCCGTAAAGGCGCGGGGAACAAAAAACGGCGTGGGATCAATCGGTGTTGCGACGGTTTTTTCTTTTTTTCTTTCTTTTCAAAGAAAAACCTATTTATGCATATATATATATATGCTACCCCCCTTCGAATGGATCCTGGTTTTGCTTGGGATGATAAATCCAGAATCTCGAGATTTAAAATCTGGAAATTTCCAATTGTGGGTCCCCAAAGCCTCACAATTTGGGAGTCCTCCGAAATGTCCCAATACAATACCCTTTCCACATAGGATCTCACTTCAACTAGAATTGGAATTTTGAATATATTTTGGTTAGGATATAAGGTTCAACAATGTATTTATGCTCAACATTGCTCAACTGCAGCTTATGCAAGCAAATCCTTTCCAAATAGGAGCTACATGAGAATATAAGTGTAGTTTCGGGCAAACTCCAACTAACCTTTAACAAAAGAAGTTAGATAGGAGTTTATTCCCAAGTATAATCTAAGTGTTAGATATTATCTAGTACGAACACAACTCAATGTCGAAAATAACAATTAAATAGAGACTACTTCTCAAATATAGTTCATATCAAGTATGGCTAAACTTTTAAGGGACTTCTACAAGGACATTTGAAATACGATTTGCAGCATAAGAAAGGTCCGGAATTAAAGTTGTTAGACGGTGTTCCAAAAGGAAATTTCAAGGGAAGAGAGGTTCAAGTTCTAAAACTATTTCGAAACAGGGATTCTAGCTGAATCCGTTATATTTAAAGTTCTATTTGCACAGGAAAACAAAATTCATTCTATCTCAAAAGGTGGAGGTAGTAGATGAGCAAATGTGGAGAGGTAGTTCAAGAGGGGGGTGACGGCATATGTATACATATATATATATATGTGTGCATACATACATATATAGTACCCCCAGTGATCCTGCGCCTTTTCAAAAAACAGTGAAATACAGTGCTTTTGAGCAATACACCTACATTTGTTTACCTCCTGGAAAAGGGTCAACAAGCTTCACAGCTAACATGAAGCAAACCGCTCACCAAAAGCACTTGAAAGTTTGTCTAACTAATAATTTGAAAGTGTTTGCACTGGATCGCTAAGCACTTGAAAGTATTTTGCCACTGGATTGACAAAAAACAAGATTCAATATTACACAGAAAACTTTCCTGAGAATTGTCAATCCTGGCCAAACCCAAACAACATTGAAGTTATTCTCACACTTGAAAGTGCTTTACCACTGGATTGAGAATTCAATTTCGAGGATTGCACAAACAACAACTTTCCTGAGAATCATCTATCAAGTTGTTCTAAAACTTCGAGCGTATTTTACCACTGGATTGAAGATTCAAGATTGACATATTTCACGGAAAGCTTTTCCGGGAATCTTACTGACCACCGAGAGTATTGGGACAAACCTGGAATTGTCAAAAGTTTAATAATATATATATATATGGAATTCAAGATTCAAGATTCCCAGAATATATGTTCTCAAATCATTGAATCTTGAATCCACGTTTGTTTTGTTTTTTAATGAGTTGTTCTAATACTCTTGGATGTATTGAAACTCTTTCAGTTTGCAGATGCTGATTTCATCGCTCTTGTCGCAAATGCATGCATGCATGCATGCATGCATATTATATATATATATATATATATACATGGCACACCCCTAATTTTGACACAAATTCCAAGAAGCAAAACGGCAGAAAACACCGGAAAAGTACAGGTCAAACGCACCAAACCAGGGTCCATGGGGGGGAAACCATATATATATACATATCGAAGGTAATGTTTACATCGTACCCTCAACTCCTCAACTCCTCAAGTCTACTAGGTCCCCCAGTAGTGTCCCCCTTTTACAGTTTCTTTTTTGGGGGGAGGGTTCCCCTACTAAAGTAGACTACAGAAAAAAGGGTACTCTTTTTCTAACCTCTCTACTGGAGGACCTAGTATATATCTCAAAGGGCACGCACCATTTACCATTGATTACGCACCATTTGCCGTTGATCCTTTTCACTTGAGCAGCGGGTTCCCAGCACTTTTGGCATTTTCTTTGATTTGTTTGTTTGTTTGGCTCTGTTCATTTTTACTGGGTTACAAAGAACAAAGCTTTCTTCTACCATACCAAGAGTTGTAGAGTCTAGAGAAAAAGCAAGGAAAGCGGGAACGAATCACATTTCTCCTCAAGCTCTCTATCGCGACGCTCTGGTGGACATTGATATATCAACCACGGTTCTCATCCTTCTTCTGTGTGCGTTGGGCTCCCCCCTTGCCAGTTGAACCCCGGTCGCTTTTCGTCATTCTATGCCATTCTAGTATAATTCCAAGCTTGAAATTATGGCCCAAACAAGGGACCTGCAACATGATGAGCTTGTTTTAGCCCCAGATGAGCTCGCCATGAAATGGGCCTATCATTTACAACTCGTAGCTCGTGCCTTTGTCGAAATCATCGGCGGCAGTATTCAGGTGCACCATTTGCGTCTGGACATCTCCATTAAACATTACCAGTACCCAACCACTGCTTTCTGGACAGTACTTGGGATTTCTGACGTGGTTGAAAAGAAAACAATTGTTGGAGGGTGCTGCTATGAACATGTTTGTTCTTCCCCATACCCCGAGGCAAGGGCAGGAAATTGCCATCAAATGCTCCAGAGATGGGTGGGTCAAGAATAGCTACGACCAAAAGTATGGATGCTCTTGGCTTGCCTGTAAACAACCCGCGCCCAAAGCAAACATCGAAAAAACTCCCTGGGAGTTTCTACCATGATTTCAATCTCACACACACACACACCCATTGGCCCATATCAGTGTGTCTCCAACTGTCGATGGAAGTTCCAACCCCCAAACACCGAGTGGCCAAGGGGGACAAGGGGCCCCCAGTTGATGGTGGTTTTCTCTCACAAAAACAACAACAACGAAATGGCCCACTGGAAAAAGGGCGCTCCGGCGTTGGCCAAAACAAGAAGGCTTTTGACGGGTACCATCTCCAACATCCAAAGTCGCCAAAACACCCACAAAGAACAAAGTTTGTCGAAAGAAAAAAACCCACTGGAGGTGTCCCATTTTGCGAATTTCCGGAAACTCGTAACCCCGTTTTTTTACCAACTCAGCTGGGCCAAAAGGTGGCGATTGAACACTTTCCCCCCAACAAAAGAAATAGGTGTTCGTTAAACAGGGTTCGCTATATTTCCCTTTTTGGCCTTTTTGGCCCATGAAAGGTGAGTATCCCTTGATGTTTTAAGGGGAAATATAGGGAGCCCTGTTAAAAAAGGGGAACCCCGGAACCCCTAAAATGATTGGTTTCCTTTTGGTTCCCTTTAAACCAAAGTTGAGAGGGGTACTATCGGGGAAGAAACAAGCCATACGGGAGAATCGCAAAATGGCTTGTTTTTGTTCCGGGAAGCAAAAAAGAAGGAGCAGTACATGGTTGTCGTTGAGAACCATTTTACATGTTTGCTTATTGTGGTTTGGTGGGAAATCCCCGCTTAACTGCTAAAATTTATTTTTGTTGCTCCCCTTCCAACGTCAACCAAGAGTATAGTGCAGTCCTGTGCGTGTGTTTGTTGTCGTTTTAGCGTTTAGCTCCTTCGCAGCGTGTTTGGCATCTTGCCTGCGAGGTTGACGGCCGGTTCTACCGCTATGTCCCGCCCCCATGCGTGCACCGCAGCTGCAAGACGCCCGTTGACAGCCTTTGGCTCATGTTCGCCAGACCGCACGAGAGGTTGCGAGAGATGTGTCTTGAAATGGGGCAACCAACCAAACTGGTTTCGACTTAAAGGCAGCCCAAAGAGGACAAATTTAAATGGAAAAGAACACAGAACCAACTATTTGCAGCCCTTTCGAGATCCTGGCTGTGCTGCCCCTAAAAATCAGCCTCTCGGGGTCAGGACCAGTAACTCGTTGACTATTGGATGCCCGTAGTCGTAGGCTTGGGCGGGTATGGTGCACGCCTGTTATGCAAGCAGATGTGTTTTGGCCTCTCGTTCCATAGCATACATCCCTGTTTGCATATATGTAACCATGTACAAACAGGCGGATATGTCTAGACCCCATTTTACCACATTCCTTAGAGTGAGGAGTGTATTCCATTCTTCCCCCAAGACACAAAAAAAGCTCGAAGCGCTGAGGCAGAATTACGTGAGCCCCTTGGTGGTGAACGGAAGCAGCTACTACCCGCTGGGCCCTGGCCAGTACTGCCCCGAAGGCAGCCTTGACGCTCGGAGGATGTCATAAGATATATATCCGAATCATCTGGGTTGGGTACCCCGGTAATGGGAACCCTGGCTCTAAGTAGAACCCCTGGTTGGGTTGTTCTTGGATGTTGTTGGGCTGCTGGGTTGTTGGGCTACTGGCCAGCATTATGGTGCACACTTACTCACTTGTCCAAAGCCGACCTTTTGACCCTTTGGTTCTTCTGGTTTGGTACTTGTTTGGTCACGGCCCCAAAAGGTAACCCTTTATTTCTGGGTCGTTTGGGTAATTGAGCTTGAGGTATATGTTCTGCCTATTTGTGGCCAGCTCAACTAGCGGGGAATGAGCTTACCATGAAGGTCCTGTACTGGTGGTCCCTCATTTTAGAGATTGCTTTTCGAGGTATAGCACTCGCTAGCTTTGGTGGGTGGATACTTAAAGATGATAGCCAGATCACCTCACAAGTAGGGTTTGCCATCTTACCCATGGCGAAGGGTCCTCTCATAGAGGCGTTCCCTGTTGTTTGGTCCGGCGAGCTAACAAGATTCATCGAGTTGTTTGATATTTTCAGGTTCCAGCGATCAACCTTTAGGCCTGGCCCCAGAAGGTCGGCCTTTTATGTTCATGTCCTTGGGCCGGGTGAAGCATCGAGAACACGTGAGACAAGCTGGTGTGATAGGGTCAACTCATCGAAAAGGAAATGGTGTAGGTACTTGGATCACTTCTTGAGCGCGCCACTGCTTTTTTGCTGCATGATGAGCTGTTAGCGGCCTGAAAATTGGGACATTGGGATCCCCTCTCCGCGCCTCCACAACGGGTGCTTTGATCCTTGGATCAGACCTTCTGAGAAGGCTCCTTCAGAACCTTTCCTGGAGGGCATGTGTGCAAACGAAGCCATGAAGCCAACCAGGGCGGGTTGGGGGGGGCTGAATATTCACAAACATAGTTGGTCTATGATCCTGAGGCAATGCGTGCTCAAGTATTCCACACCATGAACTCGAACATTTTGACCCTAGTAAAAGGGATATCTCGATCGATCACCGCTCACGCCGAGGTCACCGACTACGCAGAGTGCGAGGCGGCGATTCTGGCGGCGCCTTGGTTGTGACCTGTTTTGCTGGTGGGATGATTCGAAAGGGGATTCAAACGGGTGCTTCTCAAACTAAGGATCACGTAACATTGTTGGTGCCCTGCAGGTGTCCCTTTAAACACCAGCTAAAGCGGGTCCGAATCCAATCTTGACAGACACCCTAATATGGTTTCAAGCCCATTTCGAGCATTCCCTGATTTTGAGCGGCACCCATGTCGCTCTTGCAATGCTCCATTGCAATTGCGTTTTGGCGTCCTTTTGTTTGTTTCTCCTGCTGAATTGACAAGGCATATCAACCAGGCACTTTTCTGGCTGCGGGTTGCTCTTGTTCTATGCATATAGAACATATATACATATATATATATATACACATATACATAATTATAGGTGCACATGAACAAAGACACATGTCACCTTTGGGAAAGACACAATCTCAACCTTTTAAATCATTCTTGCTGAAATGAACAACTCATGTTGATGTCAGTATTTCAGTACCCCCCCTGAACAAAACAGAGCCGCAGCCAGGACCCCCTCAATTGAAGGGGAATCTATCACTATACTTGATAAAAAAAAGGCCGCAACAGGGAGGGGCTTTGCCTTCACGCAGAAAGCACGGGGGGGGGGGGGCACCGATCCCCCGCTTTCAGCGCCCCCAGATCGCGTTTAGCGGCGGCACGGGAGGTGCACGGCGGCCACGACGGCAACCCAAAGACCTCGGCCACGCAGTGGGCGCCCAAGGGATGCAGCTGGAGGTCCAACCGCATGCGCCGACGACCGCAAGGGGCGGGGAGGGGAGAGGGCGACTGGGGGGAGGGGTGCGGAAGCCAAGGGGAAGGGTGAGGCTTTCTTTGGGGGTCAACGAAAAGACCGGGCAAACTGAAGGTGTTGTTCTTCTTCTGGTTTTTTTTGTTTGATTTGGTTTGTTTTGGGGGGGGTCTTTCTTTTTGCGGCTACCTTTTTAGCAAGCCAACATTGGACAGCTGTGCTAATGGGCTCAGGGATGCAAATAGAAGAGATCATGCAAATTGTTTTTGTTTTTTGCATAAACATAAGTGGCTAAATGATTACTCAATACATGTCTATGTTGAGTTTGAAGTACCCTACAGCCCCAAATTAATATGTTTTTTGGGGGCTCGGCACCCCTTTAAGCCCTTCTGAGGCGAACATTTGTGGCTACCTTCAATTTTGCACCAAGCATGGGGTCCCATGGTGTCCTCGATGATTTTTATACGGCGTCTTGCGTTTGGAACCCAACATGGTCTCACTCCATGAGTTCCAGGACCATGAGTTACATGCTTTGTTGCATTTTGCCAAGGGATGCCAGGACTTTAACTGTTTGCCAACGAATTTGGGTTTTCCGAATTAAACCACGAAAAGTTAAAAACTGTTAGCAGGGGAGCGGAAAGCAACCGAGCATTTGGGGAAGAACCATTGTAGCGCCAAACAAATAGTTCTGACATGATCTGGTCAATACGCTGAAGAAGTGAGTGTTTGAGGTACCCCTCCCCCCCACCAGTGTGGGGGTTGTTTTGAAAGGGAAGCCAAAAGGAAAACCACAAAGTTTGGGAGGTCCTCACTTCCCCGGTCAATATTTGCTGGCATCTACATGGGGCACGCTCACCGAAAGTTTTCATGAGGAAATAGGTGCTGACCAAATTTTGAATTGGCCATTCTTGGGTTTCTTGTTGAGGTACTCACCTACCAGTTGCTCGACTTGAGTCACTTTGGTTTGCAAAAGGTTTGGATTGCCAACCCCGCCCCTTCGGCGCCACAAGAAAGGGTTCCTTGCGGATCGGATTCGGGAAGGTACATCAACCCGCACGAGACGGGGCGCGCCAGCGGCGGCAGCTACCTGCCCATTTGCAAGGCAAGCTTGCCAACCCACTAGGCCAACGCAAGCTCCAGCATCATTGCGGCCTGACTTTGGCGTGACCTTTGCCCCTTAGATCCATGTGGAACATGTATTCTGGGTGTGTCTTTGTTCGTGGGTATCTTTTTAGACTTGTTTTAAAAGGAAACCTGGTGTCCCCTGCTTTAGCTGCATATTAATGTAGCTTCCATCAAAGCTACACAAGATTTAACATTCTGCTCAGGGGGAAGAGCAACCCACACATGGTTTAATTGCGGAATGCTTGAGTCGAAGCCGCTTTGTGCGCACGTGAGTCTAAAACGGGCCTCAGTATGTCCCGCAGTCAACTCCCCCCAAAAAAAACAACAGCCAATCAAACGGGGATCACCAAACCGGATGTTTGATTGATCAAACGTTGACGAACGTTGAGGCATCTGAAGAAGTGTTGGTGTACCCTGGGGTTGGGCGAGAATCAAAGGACGCCCAACTCATTGATTCCCCTTCTGCCAGGTAGCGCAACGGAGTCTTGGGTACCACCGTACCACCTGGAACTGGCCACCTAGGCAAACCTCAGTTGTTCAAAGCCGACCTTTTGACTTTCGGTTTTCCAATTTTGGGCCATATTTAGTCATGGCCCCAGAAGGTTAACCTTTTAGTTGCAGGTCCTTTGGGCAACTGAGAAACCTTAAAAGGCGGTTGTTTTAACAGCGGCGAGTGGCAAACCCTATCCAGAGTGCTTGGTTGAACAGTTTCAAAACCAAGGCGTGTCTGATGCATACATGAATCCCAGCGCTGAACTATGCGGAAAATTGGCCTTGTGGGATAAGTGATTCCCTCAAACCCTCGACCGCAAGTCCAAATCCACTCTAAACCCCCACCCGCCCACTCTGAACCCCAACCCCCAACTTCAACCCCCAACCCCCAACCCCCTACCCCCAACCCCCAACCCCCAACCCCCTACCCCCTACCCCCTACCCCCTACCCCCAACCCAACCCCAGGCCCAACCAAAGCCGGCCTTTCCGCAGGCCTACGTTTGGGTGCACACGGACGGCCGCGTGAGCATCGAGGGCAGCGAGGCCAACAACTTCAAGGTGCACTGGACCGGCCCCGTGCCAGCCCCTCGCCACGCATTCTTCGTCTCTCAGTTCTTCAGCGGCACCGATTATGGTCTTTTTCTCTTTTTTCTCCGGTGGCCCCACTCAAAATGGTCCAAGCGGTTCCCTTTTTTTCTTCCAGGGTCACTCAACAACTGAGTTATGGATTCCGCATGAGATTGCAACCCCATACTATGGATGGACAAAATCCATGTCGCACCACCAAAGAACTAAGATGACTTGTTTCACCTTTTCAACCAATGTGTCTAAGGTGGTGCAGGGTTTCGTCCATCCGCAGTGGGTGGGTGTGGCTTGTTGGGAGTTGCTCTCCTTGTTTGGCGGGTTTTAAACTGGGGCGGACACCCAAGGTAAACCACTTTTTTTGTTGGGGGGGGTCTATTTTAAAGCACACCCAGATGTCCTTTTTGGGGTTGGAAAGCGATGGGTTCCACTGGATTAGGTTGGTGTGACTTCTTTTAGGGCCATCGGATGTCCACAAAGGACACCTGTTGTAGCAAATATGTTCTTTTCGGACGCGGACTTCCCTTTGAAAAAAGGCCATAGGTTCAAAGATGAGTGTGTTTTGTTGAGGGCCTCCAATGAAGTCACATATCCACGTTAATGGATGTATACAATCAGCCAGAGAATCAACTGGGAATAAATCGCTCCAACTGATCAGCTGGACTGTCACTTGGGATTGGGCCTTGGCGCCAGCTTGGGGCGTGGGGCTCAACGAAAGTGAGGCTCCCACCGGTGCTAAGACTTTAAGACTTTAAGAGTCAGATATTTTTTCCGGAACGAGCACGCGGAAACAATGTAGGTTGCTTGGGGCTTGGGGACACACACGCACACACACACACACACCTCCAGTTTTGATCTGTTTAAGTTCGGGGGATTGTGTGTCGGAGGGGATTCCACTAGATCCATGAAAGTGGGTGGCTCTCAGACTTGGCTATTTGGCGCCTGGGGCGGTGGGGGGGGGCTCCATTACTTTGGGAGGCAACCCCCCCATGAACTCCTTGTTGTATGGGGGGTGGTGCTAAAGGTCCCCTCTTCAATCCGATTTCTTCTCAACGTGATGGGTTCGCTCCACTGTGTCCGTTCTGCAGAGATTCTGATTTGTGCGGTGCCCATAGACCTTCAGTGTTGCTAGTCAGATATATCCGGAACGAGCACGCGGAAACGATGGTAGGTTGCTTTGAGATTCTGATTTCTGCGGCGACCTCTGCCAAGTTGGGTGTCCGCCTGGTTGGGGGAGTCCTGGGGGTGCAAGATGAATCCTTCTGCCCATTTGTTTTGTTATTATTATTATACGGCGAGCTCACCATGATAAGGGGTATGACGAGCTCACCAGAAAGGTTTCTTAGAATTGGGGATCCAATTCTTAGCTCAGCTTTTGGAGTTATCGCGATTAATAAACTCCCATAGACTCGAGCTTGCTGCCAGGGTTCATCTATGTCCTATACCTGAAGCCTGGAACGATGGACCTCATTTAGTGATACTTGACATTTTGAGGGGGCAATCAGGAAACTGGGAAAGCCATTTGACTTCCATTTGCTTCAGATTTTTTATTTTTTTTTAAAATCTTCCCTGGTTTCAAAGGGAATCGAATTGATTACGGGACACAGCGAAGTTGAGGTTTTGGGGTCCCGCAGGCCGGGCAGCAGCTCATCTCCGTGAGCAGCGCCGCGGTCTTCAACGCCGTGCCGTCCAAAGCCGAGGTCTTGGCGCCCTCGGCCGAAGCGACCGCCGCGCTCGGGTCTCGGGGCTCTCGGGGCTCTCGGGGCTTGGGGGTGGCGGGGCTGAAGGGGGGCTGGGGGGGGGGGTGAAGGGGGGGGTGTTGGGGGGGTGTTGGGGGGGTGGGGTGGGGGGGGGGTCCGGGAGGTTTTAATATGTATCTCTTTTTAAGGGTAGTTCGCCTTTTTGGGGTGGTGTCCTGGAGGTTTATTTCAGGGATTGTGTCTTTTCCTAGGTAGCCTTTGGGTGGTTTTCACGGGACACTAAAAGCGAAAACCACCACTGTTGGGGGGGATCCCCTAAAGAAAACACATCCATATTGTTTCCTGAGTTCAGATCAGGTAGCCCTTAGTTGGTGGTTTGGTTTGGTGGTGTGTGGATTTGGATTTGAACCCCTGTTCTGGAGGGTAAAGCAACACCACCAAACTACTGGGCTCCAAACCACCCAGAAAGAAGCTGATAGTTTCCTAGTTGTGTTCCCCTGCTTCATTTTTGAAGCTTTATTTCTTGGACGTATGTGTTTGTTCCGTTGGGGTGCGGAAGTCACTGTCCGTATTTCCACCTTCTTTTCTTGTGGGGAGGGGTCCGCGTCGCCTTTCGGTGGCTTTTTGGTTTCGTGCCCTCAGCTGAAAGCGGGTGTGCCCTAAGAGGATCTGAAGGGTTCCGATGAAGTCTTCCTGTCGGGATGGGGTTAGCGCATCACAGGTGTTTGTTTTTGCCATCGAAATCCTGGGCCTCTGGTTGGACGGGGGTCCTTGTAACGAACCATGGTAGATGAAGGTAGGAGATAGTCCTAGCATGTCCCAACCATGCGGAATCATGCGGATTTCCGGTCAATCAACTAGATGGATTTGGAAAGACGGGAGGCCCCCTTTCATACCAGGCTTTTGTTTGACAGTCTCATGGGAAAGCCCTAAGGGCTCATTCTGTTCATGGGTCCTTTCATTCTAGGGCCTTCCATTTCCATTCTTTCCAGGAATCCTTCTAGAAAACCTCCAACCCAGGAACATGGCTGTTTGAACAGAACGATGGTTGAACAGAATGGACAAGGAACCAACCCCTGGATTCATGAGTGTTTCTGATATTTTGGGTACCCTAGCTTGGTTCCTGTTGTTCCCTCCAAATCCATAGGGCCGATTCCTTTGGAAGCCCCGCCAAAAAATAGAAACAAGGTCAGATGGGTAGCTCGTCTTTTTGGGACGGCTTCGCTTTGAAAAGGAAGCGAAAGGGAAACTACAGTTTGGGGGAGTGGTCTGTCATCTCAAGGGGTTCTTTCTGAAAGCAAAAACTTCTAAACATGCCCAAATCGAATTCCAGGCCGGAGCGGTTGGTCACTAAGAAAAGGCACGTCCACATGTCAGTTGGCTTAGGCCCTGCCGGTGGGCGCGCCCAAACCTTCGGTGGCCTGCAGCGTGTGCGGCGATGTCCAGGATCGACCGGTTGATCGATCGATCAGAGGGCCAGTTGCGGTCCTTGTCAAAAGCGTCCCCTGTTTCTTTGGTCGACCCCTGATGTTTACTCCCAGCCTCATTTCTGTTGGGGGGGGAGTTCTCGGGAAGTTATGCAGATGCTTGGGGGTGGGGGGAAATCTCCAAGTTTTCACGGAGTAATTACGAGCTGAGCGAAGATTCAACAATTGACCCACCAAAAACTGCGTGAGATGCCTGTGCAAGCACAGAAAGTGTTCTTTTGGGTCGACCTTGCAAACGTCCACAAAGGATACACGATTTGTTTACGTCAAAGGGCCCATGTACCACGACTACCTTGCGACAGCTCCGCACTCGCTATCGGCGCAGCGCGGATGTTCTTCAAAGACAGGCAAGCTCCAGTGGTTCCAACACAGGTCGGACGCTGAATCCTAACAGCTTTCGCCTCGGCTAGGGACAAGTCCGGCTCCGACAACAGCCAGGAAGCTTCGGATATGTTCATTTGCTAGCAAGAAGCCAGAGGGGTAAGGTGTGAATGTATCGTAGATACCATGAGCTTTATTTGGTGTTGAGTATTGAAGGGCCACAAACATTCAATATGCAAAACGAGGGATAGGGTTAATTAGTTGTTGCTACACGCAAAAGGGTGTGTGTTTGAGGGTAGGCTGGTTTACAGGGACCGAACTCCCACGATTTGTTTGGGTGGGGTTTCCCCAGTTTCAAGAACCTTAGTTCAGTGTTGTCGCCAAGCATAAATTCAACCTAAGCAAGGGTTTCTATAACCTCTCAAAATCTGAAGCACCCCCACGAGAGCACCGGACCCTGCATAGTTGGAAATGTTCAGGAAAAGAATGAGTGGTGTTCCTTTGGTTTTGTTCTTGAATTGGCAACTACTTTTAAGAGTTGGAACCAACCACGAGTGGTTGGACCGAAATGATGTGAAAGGTTCCCTCAATGTATACACCGAAATGATATCAAAAGGTTCCCGAATCAAACAGATCACGTCCAAAAAGCACCAAACAGGATTCCCCCGATTCCCCCAAATCACCCGTCATACCCAGTCTCGCCTTTTCACAGGTCTTCCACCCCGCGAATGACGGCCCAGCCATCGGCAGCAGTGCCGTCTTCGGCGTGGAGGGCCGCTACTTCCGCAATCTGCGGCACTCGGTGGACCTGGGGGCGGCCTCCTTCCGTCGCTTGGCTCGCGCGTTGGCGCGTGTTGGCGCGAGCTTCGGGAAGATCGGTCGGGGGTTGGGAGAGGTGGTTCTGCAGATATTTTCCTTTGGTCCCCCAGCAATTGGTGCCCTTTTAACGTTTCTGTTTTGGGGGGGTTGCTTCCTTATTTCCTTTTTTTTTTGGGGGGGGGAAGGGTGGCCCTTTGAAGTCAACCAAGCAGAAAAAGGATGCCCGTTTTTTGTTCTTCCCATGGCCACTGAGCATCTGAGAGTTGGTTCTGCATAATATGTTATTGCGAGCTCGCCGATTCGGGTGGTAGAAGGAGCGAAAGCCATGTTAAAGTTCTGTAGTGCTCGCAGATCTCTTGTTTATTTCAACAATTGCAGATTGGTTGCTGGCGAAAACTATTTGGGAATGGCGTGATTTTTGGGGTCTGCGATTTTGTTAGTTAGTTGGGTGCATGTATGAGTAGGGACAAGATTGATTGTTCTGTTTTCCGGCGGGCTCCAAATGCAGGAGATGGTCATGGGCTCAAGAAGGACTCTAGACCATTAGTTAGGGAAGCATGACCATGACTATGACCCACAAGGAGTTGGTTACCTGTGTGTGTGTGTGTGGTTTGAAGTTTGAAATGTGTTTCCCGCTGCACTATAGCGCTGCAGCTAACTATAGCGCTACACTTTCTGGGGGTTGTTGACCCCGGAAAAAGAAAGAAAGAACAACAAAAAACCAAAGAAACAAACCAAAACAAAAATCGTTTTGTTCGCCCCGCATGTACTCCTTGTGGCGGTGTGCTGACATGGCCGTAGGGCCTACACCCTGGGGGTCCTCAAATCGGAAGTGTTGGCTTCCTTTGAGCCATTCAGCAGGCTTGTGGTTGATCCCTCGGGGGTTTTTGCCAACCACTTCTGTGCTACAAGTTGGAATCTCCCCCAAAAAATATGGGGGGTTCGTCTTTGGGGGTTAGGCCCTTTTTGTATCACAGAAGTGGATTCCATCCCCCACAGCCCTGTTCAGGAGAGAAGCAACCGCAGCCCACGGGCAATATTGGCCGGGTATTTGTTTGCGGTGGGTCGTTCATACCAGGCGTTCTTCTCACGGCCATACAATCAGCCGTTCCCGAAGATTTCTGGGGCCCTTCGCCATGAATTCCAGGGTGACTAGTGACCAGCTGAGGATGAAAGGTCATGACCATAGCTCCCCTCTCTGAATCAGCCACAGGGGTTCCCGGAGGCCCCGCGGTGCGCATGGTCCGCACGTTTGTGGAAACAGCCCCCAGTCCCCCCCAAAAGAACAAAAATATAAGTAGAACTACCAAGGATCACCGGAGGGCTCAGCAGACCTCAAGAAGGCCCCACGGTGATGTTTAAGCCAACGATGGGGGAAATACGGAGCCCTATTTCATTGTCAGATATTTCTCACAATGAGTGCCAGTGTTTGTTGTTGGATTCCTTGCGCCGAATCCATGGACTGCGGAGAGAAAGCCCTTTGAGACTGCAAGAAGAGAGTGCTCAACAGGGGCCGAACTGGTGGAATCCATTGTGGTAAGCCGCCGATTCGATCCTTCTTGGTTAGCCAATTTTAAGTGAGTTTCTGGTATGATGTCAAGAAAGCTATGTGTTTTTGTGGAGGCTAATTTCCCATATTTCGGCCATCCTGGATCTAAGTAGAACCCCTGGTTATGTTGATCGATGATCGGGTGCCCCCTTCAGCCGGGATTCGCACCACATTTGGGAGGAAACCAAAAGGAATGGGATGTAGTTGGAACCTCCTCACTTTGGGAGGGGCCCATACTCCATCATACTCCCCAATGGGACGGGTGTGGAAAAAGGATTCGGCATTTCAGGTAGACTTCGCCAAAAGGCTCATAGTTGGGACCTCCGCCCTAGGTAGCCAAGTTGCGATCGCTTCTTTCAGTCTCGCTGGTTTTTGGATGGTAAAGTGGATGGAAAAAAGCGATCGCAACTGGATCGATCCAGGACCTCACTTTTGGGGCGCCCAGTAGTGCCCTTTTACCTTTTTTTTTTAGGGGGAGGGTTCCCCTACTAAGATAGACTGCAGAAAGAGTTGGCACCCTTATTCTAACCTCTCTACTGGAGGGGTCGCAGAAGCCGAGGCAACCCCCCGGTCTTCCTCAAGGCTCAGAAGGGTCTGCTGGCGGAAGAGGCGGCCCTGGCTGAGGTGGAGTGCTTGCTGGACCAACTCTTCCAGCCACTGGGCGCACGCCACGTTTTTTCGGGGTTGTCCAATCCGAGTTTGGATACCCTCCAACTCCAACTAGCATGGCAACTGACGGGGGCTCCCTTCAAAAGGAAATGAATCTTCCAGGTACCTCCCCACAGGTGCCATGTTAGTTGGAGGTGCCTTTTTCTGGGGCTGAACCTGTGTCAGGTTGGCACTTGCACCTATCAGTTCTGGGGATGTGTTCCAGCCGAGAAGTTTTCTTTTTGGGGCTCGGAGAAAGAGCCGCCTCAAAAATATGCTAGATGTTAGGTCCCCTAAACTCTGGGGGTTGGTCAAACCGAGTTTGGGGGTGAGAGGTTTGTTTAAAATAAAGATCCGCCTCAAAGGTTTGCCAGGGTATATTTTAGGTCCAAGTTTGCGGGGGAGAGAGTGAGTTGTTTTAGACCCATCCCCCCAAAAAAAAGCTTATTGGATGTTCGGGCGATGTGAAGCAGAGTCTGAGATGAGTTGTCCTGCGTGCCGAAGCTTGTGGGCCAAGTTTTAGACCAGGGCGGTCTTCTGGGCGTTCAGCAATCCGCAAGATCCTCTTGGGGTTCTGTAAATTAGTTTGTTTTTGTGTTTTTGTTCAAGAAGTTTCGGCCGTTTTTGAGATTTTCGTTTTTAATTCTCGTGGTGTTAATCGATTAGTTCTCGCCCCCTTTGTTGTTTCTTTCCAGGGAAGGAGTGGGAGTGGCCAAGTGTCCATTTTTGAGCAGCCCAGCTTACCTTTAACTTTTCACTTTTTGCCAACATGATGGACAAGTCAAGCTTTCACCTTCATTTTTGAACAGCCCCTGCACCTTCACCTTTAACCTTCCCCCCACGGCCTGCAAAAAGTCAACCACTTGTGGCCACTTGGACGGAATGTGTTTCCAACTCCGGGCGCCGGCCGCAAAAGCTGGGGGTCGGCGAAGAGGACCTGAGAATTCTCCGGCGGCTGTTGGCGCTCTCTTGTTTTCCCCGGGGAGGGGGGGAAGGGAAGTGGAGGAAATGAGCAGGGGGTATCTGATGTCTATTTTGCCGCACAACAAGCACGCGGATCGCAAACGTGAGGTTCCATGCAGCCAGTCACTCAGTTGAGCTTGTTGTTTGAAATAGACCAAAGGACAACTACCAAAATTGGGGGGGAGAGAGCGCGAAGGCTTTTGGGGTACTCACTTCCCAAACAGTTGCTCTCATCTACAACATGGGGCACACGCACGGGTGAGAGCAACCCAGGGCTCACCTGGAGGTAAAACAAGCTCCCTCATGTTGTGGTTCCTTGCGTGGGTTCCTTTCCAGTTGGGGACCTATGGCAAATTGCAAATTCAATCTCGCTTGCCCAATGCCGTGTTGTTTACAAGGCACATATCGGAAGCCTTGACTTTATCGTTGAGGCTTGATTCCTTTCATGCGAGAGGGTCCCAAGGATACATAACATATTTTAGGCCAATCCAATAAGCTGATTCAGGGCTTCCCCATGTAATCCAGCTGGTTTTGTATTGGTGAACTCCCAAAACATGGTCAGTGTCGTACTTACACTTCACACCAACCCCAAAAAGGGTACCCTCAATAAAAGACACATGCATCCTTCTGCAACCTCAAGCCCCTAACGGCCACCAAAAAGGAGATGGACAACTCCCCCTTTCAGGAACCCTTAAAAAAGAACCCCCAACTTTCTTGGGGATCGCTGTCCCACCTCGGATTTGACCCGGAATTTTAATAGGGAACCCCCAGCTAAATGATGTCCACCATTTCGGGTCTCTTTAAAAAAACTCAGATCCATTTCGGGGTTTCTTGAACATCGCCTCCCCCCCGAAGTTGAAAACTGATGGATAAGTCTGGGTGAATTATAGCGACCTCACACGACCTCACCCCAAATGGTGGTTTATGTGGGGAATATCCCCCCAACCACCTTATTTCTGGTTGGCGAAATCTTATAATTCACCTAGATAAGTTGTCCTTCGGGTTGACGCCATCCCCCAGGTCCGGTTCCGCCTCCCCCTCCTCCCCCTCCTCCCCCCCTCCTCCCCCTCCCTCCCAGGCACAACAACACGGCGGTCTTCATCGGCAAGCGCCTCATCCAGCGCTTCGGCACCTCCAACCCCTCGGCCGCCTACGTGGAAGCGGTGGCCAAGGCCTTCCGCACCGGGGCCATCGCCTCCGGTGAGGCCGGGAGGGCCCGGAAAGGGGGGGGAGAAACCCGGCGGAAAACGGCATGGCTGTGGTTGTCAAAACCATTTGGTAGGTGCACCACCCAAATTTTAGTGCCTATTTTAGTGGGGATTGGGATGTTCACTGGGGGTACGGGCTTTTGACCCATGGCTACATTATGTCCCCATGTTCGCCTCCCGCCCTTGTCACACGGAACCTCACGTTCGGGACCCGGTCCCTTTAGAAGGAACATGGTCTTTCAGGTTCCGTGTGAATTGGTGGGAGGGGAATCGACTCCTCTTTGTTTTTATTGGAGGATGTTCTTGGCCCCCTGACAAAGAAGCTGCAGTTCGTTTTTCACCTTGTGGCATCCTCACGTGCGGCAGAATGGGATGAAAGGTGTAACAATTCGAACATTTTGATACACACAACAAGTTTCTCAACAACACTTGCAGTGGCACAACACTTCTCCATAGTGCAATTCTGCATCACCTTGATGATTCCCCACTGAACCCAGGGCTACCCCCCTATGAATAAACATGGGGTCAACAATACCCAATAAAATCGCACCTGAACCATGGTCATGGCTTATGTAGGCTTTACTATAGCCGCGGAACAAAAGAAAGCAAGGCATACCCAAGTGAGTGTTGGCCACTAACATGGTTAAGGTTTACGTAGGCCTTGGGATAACCCTTGCGAAAGCAGGTAATAGAACCACCTAACAATTTGGCGCAGTCACCGCCAAATCGCAGCCAGAGTCCAACTGGTGATGATGTTTCACGAACCCGAAATGGTGGACATCATTTGGGTGGAAGTTTATGTCCACCAGTTGGGAGGTTATTGCTCCTATATGCAATCTTTGCGCGGCGCGTGTAGTGGTTGTTGCTTTTTGGTTCGGTTCAAGTGTTTGCTTGCCAGGGGTCACGAAAACAGTACTCTACAGATGAACTTGGACACCAGCAATACGCTTTTTTTCAGAGGAATCCCCCAACAGTGGTACATGCTCCACCAGACCAAAACTGGGTGTTTGCTCCAACACCATTGTATATTTGAGAGTGCGCTAAGTGCCAACCAGAAACCGACATAATTTACTGTGCCCGTTTTCTGTGGTAGCAAGCGAACGAAACCACGTGGGCGTCGCTGGTTTTTTTCAGCGGGACCGGCCAGGTCTTCTCAGGGAAGTACGGAGATCTGGGCGCCACTGCGCCCCGGAAGCGAGAAGAAGATGGTTCCAGTGTCTAGAGCCCCCAGCTAGGTGCCTGTCTCACCCCTTGTTTGGTTGGGAGGGTTCCCCTACTAAAATAGACTACAGAAAAATGGTACCCTTATTCTAGCCTCTCTATTGGAGGACCTAGGTGAGCTTCCATTTGCTGAAGTGAACATGTTGTTGTTTTGTTCCCTGGTTGGGTTCTTGAATTGAATCGACTTCACTCTTGGACATCTTGTTGGCTATGTTTTTCCATTTGAATTGAATATCCCCCAGGCTGACCCCTCCAATGCAGGCCGGTTCCCGGGTCCTCCAACGTAGAACCGGACACTTGAAACCACGCATCGTCAAGGCCAAATCATCGTCAGCCTTAGGGATTGTTGCTTATTGTCCCAGGGCTCCTTAAAATTGATCTCCATTTTGCAACCATTTGAAACATGTGGCTTAAAAGATCTCCATTTTGTCGGCCCATTTGAAACAAGTTGCTTTTTCAATACCAAAATAAAGTTGGAAACCGCCATTTACAAGTTGCAATGTTCAGGTGTATAATGTAAGGATCCCTGTTTCCCCGGTTGGGTGTTAAAGGGAATCGAATTTTCACCATTGGACATCATTAATTGTGCAAGTTATTTTGTCCAGGGTTGGCTATCAGCCAACCGAGTCTCCGAGGTGTGGGAAATGTGGTTAGGCACGAGAGAAGCGAACAGGCGCATCCACTCACTTGTCCAAAGCGAATCGAGCCGATCTGACCTATTGGTTCTTCTGGCTTGCTTCATGGGTCACGGGCTCCGCTTGTATCGAAGGAGCCATGGAGGTGACAAAGTGGCTGTGGCTCAAAAAACCGGAATTCCAAAATGGGTTGCCCTGGGAAGTGGAAACATGGACCAACACCTGCGTAACCCCTCCTGTTTAATTTTGAGCCACACCCAAGTTTAAAGGATGATGCATGGTATCATTGAACGGGTTTCACTTGCAGACACCCGGCGCGTCCACTTCTGTCTTTTGTTGGCGAGTTGTTGACAAGTGGTGTTGGGTTTTCCTACAACGACTTCCGCAAAGAGAGTGCCAATTCGTTTGTTTCCGTTCCATGACCACGAAAGGACGTTTGGGTTGCGGAAACACCGGCTTGCTGCTTTTGGGGAGGCTGGGCCACCCCCATGAAAGAGCAGTTTCAATGTGGCCTGAAAAGGGGTTTGGTGCTCTCTGCCTGGGTGAACCCCCGTCGTTTGGAAGAAAAGCGTTCACGTGTTCTTCCAGGTACCCTCCCAGACATGGAACCTGAAAGCGCAGCCCTGCGGAACATGATCTGGGGTTCTTTGACAAGAGGGCAGTTTGTTAAACCTCGGCGCAGGTTTGTGTTGCAAACAATGCGTAAAGATAGAATTCAATGAGTACCCTCACAAAAAGACACGCATCTGGCTTCCTTTGGCGGCAAGTCAACATCACACATCTTCATTTGTTTGACTGCCTTGCCTGGGCAAAGGCAACTAGGCAGTGATTGGCCAGTTCCCACAAATCAATCACGAGTTAGCGGCGGAGTGGGGAGGGGGTTGTCAAAATAAGGGCCCTTTGTGGTATCCCCATAAAGAAAAACATGCGGCGGTCCGGGGGGTGGTACAAAATCCTTCCGAAAAGATTGGGGGAGAGGGCTTTGACGCCCTCGCTAGATTCCACGCACGGGGGCTATTTGTTTTATGTTTTGTCGCCAAAGCTTTTTGTTGCCAAAGCGCGCGAACAGTGCAACCCCGCCAAAACCCATTCTGGATGGTCCCCCTGTTGAATTCCCTTCAAGCGAGCTGAAAAAGGTGACTCAACAAAGGGTGGATGGATTAGGTTTCCCAGATTTTCCCCCGTCTAGCATCACCTTTTGGCCATTTGCGCAACTCTCCGGCTGACCTTTCAGGGTTTGCGGCCAAGGAGGCTGGTCAAGAACATGGGTAACCCCAACATGGCACCCAAAGGTAAATGGAGCCAAAGATGGTACCATCTGCGTAACTGCCCTAGCCGCGCCCAAGACTCGATGCATTTGTTATCATCGTTGGCACGTTCGGTGGCTGGAGTTCCCTTTCGAGCAGCCTCGGGACGGATTTGAAGGGCTCCTTTCGATGGATCTCGGGTTCGCTTCCTCTGGGATCGAAATGGCTTGCTGATTTTGGCTAAAGGAAGCCGCTAGACATCATCGCCAGTACTCAACACGCCAAAACCCTACCCTGAAAGATGTGCTTTTGTGCCTTTTGTTGGCCCAAGGGCCCACTCTCGAAGGAAGTTTGTGTCCTCTTAGTTTTCCTTCAAAACCGCAAAAAAAAGCCCAGGTGGCATCCCGAACGGTCCCGGAACCCTTGGAACCTTGTCGAGCCCTCAAAAAACGGGCTGGCCTTTTTGTTCGCCCTCCAAACGTGTTTCTTAACCCTCAAACTATTGACAAGTACTTATCCGTTTTGTTACTTAACCCTCTTGTTTCTTAACACTTCCTTTTCTTAACCCTCCAAACTTGTTTCTTTCTTTTTTTTCTTCGCCCCCAAGCTCTGTTTGGGAACCCTTTGCGGGAGCCTTGGTTTTCTAATCCTCAGACATCCATTCGTTTCAACCCCTCGCCTTGTTTTTGTTCACCCGCCGCCTTGTGTTTTTCACCACGGATCTTGTTCTGTTCACCCACGAGCGGCCCTTGTTTTTTTCTCTGATCCTCGGCCGGAGCTAAGCCACCGCAAGCGAACCGAGAACCCACCCTGAACCCGACCTACAGCAACCTTGAACCCAGCCCAAACTATCCCTGGGCCCGCCCGAAGCCAACCCTGAAAATTCAAGCCAAACCATAAACCCACCCTTACCCATCTTAAACCACCCCCACCCCCACCGTAGGCAAACCCTCAACCCACCCAAAACCAACCAAAACTGACCCGAAGCCGACCTGAAGCCCACCCCAAACCCACCCCAAACCTACCCCAATCCAACCAACCCAAAGCCACTTACACCCAGCCTAAACCAACCGTAAATCATGGCCAAGCCACCGCACGCCAACCCTAAACCAACCCGAGCCCCGCCCTAAACCCACCCTAAACCAACCGTTGCTCAGTGCAGTGGCTGTAGGCTTCGGGCACAGATTTGACAAAGGTGTAAGAGGGAAAGGCGGAGGGCTGGAAAAGGGCGAGGGTGAAAAAGAAGGGGGGGTTGAAAAAGAAAGGGGAAGGGTTTAAGTAAACAGAAGGGTTGACAAACAAAGGGAAGGGTTGAACCAAAAAAGTGCAAACACAGTTGGGAGGGTCCCAAAAAAGGTGTCTCCAAATAACAACACCGAAGAGCCAAGGTTGCGGAGATCCTTCTGCACGAGCACGGGGATTTCGAGGGCCACCTGCACAGGCCACGTCTGCTTCCGCTGAGCCATTTCCAATACGTGGAAGGGCAATGCTGGACCAGGGATTCTGATTCAAAAGCGAGATTTATATACATATATATATATATATATATCGCGAAGCGGTGTGTTTGTTGTTTGTTCCGCAGGTCTCTGTTGTTCAACAACCCTCGTCTATTTTTGAGAAAGCCCAACCCCGAAACCCGGAACCCGGAACCCCTGTCTTCCGCGTTTTCCCGCGCTTTCGCAGGGTTGCGGATCATTCCGCGCGCGCTTGGGCCCGCTTCGCGGTTTCCATCCGCTTTCGTTTGGGGGAAGCGGATGCGAGCGGTGGAGGCAGTTCCATGGCTCCTTGCGGGAGCCCATGCTGAAGCTGATCCACTTCCTGAGGCGCTGGCGCTCGGCCAGTGGGCTTCGTGTCGGTTTCGTCAGCTCGGCTTCGGTCGTGAGATATGTCTCCTTCCCAGGAGAGGCACCCCGGCCCGTTGCATTTGGTCAAGGACCTGAAAGGCAATTCTCCACAGCAAAACGTACCAGACACCAACGCCTTTTCTTATGTAGTTGACCTTAAAAGTTGGTTTTTTTTCCAAACCAAACAAGTACATGAAAGGGCACATTGATCGAATATTTCTGAGAGTTTGGGACAACATTGCCGAAAAGTGAAGGGAATCACCGCTGGTCTGGGAGATGGAAGCACACCCTGTGCAAAGTTGGAACTCACACGCCTCGACATGGACATAGAAGGTTACTCCACTGAAACTTGGGATTCAGTTGCCCAAAGCCAACCTTTTGACCTTTGGGTTGTCCATTTGTTTGTCAATGTGTAGTCACGGCGCCAAAAGGTGATCACCTTTATGTCTGGGCCCTTTGGGCAAGCGAGGGAGCTGGATGTGTGGCGAAACGTCACTCACCAAGTCTCATCAAGCGGTCCTCATGTTTTCCGGCAACGACTGAGAAGGGTTTATTGGTGAACTGTTTCCGTGTGTTCATTTACCGACCAGATATTCCTCCCCTGCAAATTAACATGGAAAAGGGGGTCCCCCCAACAAGGAATTTCCACCAATGGGTCGGTTTTCTGTGCTCCTTCCCCGTAGGAGAACTTGCCAACTTGCGATCGGATTTTGCGGCTTGCGGCTGGCTCTCGTGGACGCAGGTCAATGGAGTATGTGGATGCCAAGCAGGAGCTACTTGACGAGTAAGGGACGGGATGGAGCCATGTGTCAAAATTGGGGGACCCTTATAGATTGTGTTGTTCCTTTGGGTTTCCCGTTAAACCAAAGTGAACAGAGAGTCCTCAAAAGTACAAAACGTGGACAGCACAAAACCCTGAATATATATATATATAGAATATACATATATATAGTATACATATATAGATAGATAGATATGTATATGTAAGTCGCTCTGATTCTTGGGGATCCCATCTCAGAACTGATCTTTGACTTTCTGTTGAACAGCTTTGGAAACGGAGACACGCGAGGGTCCAGTGATATCGCAGTGGTCATATCCCAGGGGTCGCCTGATCGGTTTCCTCGTGGTTTCGATTGACCAGTTGCGAGCGGAGCCCAATGGCCAAACCACAAGGGTGGAAGATCTCACTTGTCCCAAGCAAATCAACCTTTTGACCCTTTGGTTTTCCTGGTTTGGTCCATTTTTAGCCGTGGGCCCAAAAGGTTAAGTTGATATGTCTGGGTCCTTGAAGCAACTGAGAGATAGGAAGAAGGTCCTCGTTTTTCCTTTTCCAGGGGCCCAATGTCTACGGAATGAGTTTCCTACTGTTGATCCAGCATCATGAAAGGTGAATCGCCTTGGCCCCTGCAAAGTTAGGTTTCAACCAGCTTTGGCCAGCCCAAAAGACAGCAAGTGGCTTCACGAGAAGCAAAGATGTGCAAGGACTGACAAGGCAGAGATTGGGCCAATGTTTGCCAAGAGGCGGATGACCGTAAGGATAGCCCCGTCCCTCTGGTCATCCTTGGCCTTCCCAAACCTCTTTTCAACCAGACCCCCGAAGCCCACAAGCAACCCAGAAGGCAGCCTCCAAGGCGACAAATCCTGCAAAACCAGGTCAGATGAAAAACATCAGAACCAAACACCCCACCAGCTTGCAACAGCTTCGCCATTCCGCCATTCCGCCATTCAGAACGACAGGCTAGTGGTCTTCGAGGAGCTTCAGGACGTCTTGGGCCAGTTCCCCTTCCAGTCACCCAGCGTCTTCAACTTCTACCTGGCAGACTTCAACCTCCCAGAGCCAGACCTCTCAGAGGTCCAACAAAAAAATGAGTCCGGAGGGAAAGAAAAGAAGGCAAGAGGCGGATTGGATGGTTGCAGTTTTTTTTCTTAAGTTGTTCTGGGTTGAAAGCATCACGTTTGGGTTGCCAATTCAGATTGACCTTCCTCTTGGGATGATGTTCGAAGGGGAATGCCGGGAGCAATGATGCGCCTATCTCAGAATAAAGAGCAGCTATTTTGAGAAACATCCATATTAGACCCAGGGGGGGCCATTTGACAGGATTCTTCAGAGTACAGTCGCCGAAGTCAACATTACACTCTTGCAACTGACCCTATCAGGATTTCAGACCCCAACCCTGACACCCAGTAAATTCCGCCCTTTGTGATTTGTTTAGAGGGGGTTCTTTTTCCCATCCACTGTGGTCTGTCAAGGACCTGCTAGCATTTGCTGAAAGAGAAGATGCGAAAATGAACCTACCCCTGTTGAGTGGGAGTTGCCGCAAGTCCATGCCACAAGTCCATTAGTTTCCAAAGGGGGGGTCCTTTGTCCACCACGTTGGATGTCCAAAACCGCCGTGCTTCTCAAGTTCAGAAAAGCTTGCTCCGTTTTGGAAGCACCGGTCTCGCAGGGCCAAAGGCCTAGGCCGTGATCGGAGGTCGGCTGCTTGATGTTCAATCGAGATTGATGACCCAGACACCAGTGCCCGTTGATACAGTTGTTCTTTTTGGAGGAGTGTCATTTTAAACCCCAGCGCCAAGAAATGAGTGCCATAGGCTCCCCACTGGGAGCCTGGGGCCGGGCCATTTTTGTCAGAACTCCTATCTCAAAACGGTGATTGTGTCCAAAGGAAACGGCCATCACATGTTTCGGGGACGCACCGCACACCTCCCCATTGCGGGTGTGACTATGTTGGGACCCTTGGTTTAAACCACCATATCCATGTACTTGAGGTTGGAAGAGTCTACTTGCTAAGGAGAAATGAGTGGGTTCACCCCGAGAACCGAGGAATCTTTGCAGTTTGCAGTTTGTGTTTTCCCACGGATCTAACAAATGTGGCTATGGGTCAAAACCAATGGTACCATTTTGGGGTAGGTGCGCCACTCATTTTAGAACCTATTTTAGTGGTTGGATTGGGATGTTCACTGGGGCTACGATTTGGCTTTTGCCCCACCGCCATGTGTCATAGAAAAGTCCAAAGCTTTGTTCCCAGAAGTTCAACGAGCGAACGCCTGGCCCAGGCCCGAGCCGGAGAATGCCAGCATGAACATGACAGGACGCTTTGGCTCTCGGACGAGCTTTGGCCTAGATATGGCTGTGGTGACGTCAAAACCGTTTCGGGATCCCATTTTGGGGGTAAATGGGTGCACCACCCATTTTAGAACCTCTTTCAGTGGGGGATTGGGATGTTCACTGTGGGTACGATTTTGATTTTGACCCACAGCCATATGAATAGCTTTTACCCGCCCGGCCACAGTGGCAGGGAACCCACAAATCGGATTTTGTCCTGATTTGGACAAGTTCCATCGATCCCAAAGGGAGCCTCCGCTCGGATGAAACTGGAGGGCTACTTTGGAGTGGCCCCATTGTTTACTATCAAAGTCACCTTTGAAGTGATAGGTAGGAATTGATGTTCAGTTGCTGACTGTCTTGTGACCCCCCCAAAGAAAAAAGACAAACACTGAAAACCCAAAGAATGAAAAGAACACGCAGAAACATGGGCCATGGGTATGGGTCAAATTGAAGCCACCACGGGTTCAGTCCATGTTTCCGCTCACCGGGGTTCCTTTTTCAGGGGTCCCTATATTTTTCAGTTGGGTGATTTGGCCCATGAAAGGTGAGTGTTTTTTGGTGGCGATGTTTTGAGGGGAAATACCCTCCCCCATACTAACATGGAAGCTCCCGAACGGACTTTTTTTGAAGACTTAGTTGCCTGCTGGGAGCTTCCTTCTGTTAGTCGGGAGTGTATAGGGAGCCCGGTTTTTGGTGAGCCAACTCCCCCCAGTCCCTTCCGGCCCGGGCTTTGGTTCCGGAGCCAGGAGGCCTGCCGGAGCCGGAACCGGAGGCGGAGGGACTGGTGGCGCCGGAGCTGCAGATTTTGATCCCCCCGCACTTCATCGGGTTCCTGAACGGCCGGGAGCCCCAGAGATGGCGGCCGCTCAGATTTGCGGCCTGCTTAAAGCGGAACACGAATCGAGCGATCGCGATCACCGGGTTTGTTGAGGCGTCATTTGTTTTTTGCGCAGAAGACCTACTTATTAAAAAAGGTTGGCTCGGGTGCTTAGAATGAGCGGGGGGTGCAGCAGCCCCCAACATGTAAGGAGTTGTCTCAAACTAGGAGAAGCCTCCAAACAGGCGGTTTCCATTTAGTTTCCCTGCAAGCAAAACCCAAGCAGGGAACGAACACCCATGTGTTACTTGGGGTGTCCGTGCTAGTTTGCAGAGATTTGAATTTGGAAAGGCGTGCGTCTCCCCCCATCCTTTCTCATGGGTTCAGGCCGAACCCACTTGGCTGAGACGCATGATGGTTCTGAACCCTAGTTTATATACTTATAAATATATATATATGTGTATATATTTATCCCCGGTCGATTTTACAGGGAATCTATCACTACTGGACAAGAAAATGGAAGTATATATCGACAGGCTCCCACCCAACCCATGAAGAGTTCTTAGAACCATCTTAGGCATGTCTATCAGATTCCATGATAACCCCAGTCTAAACATGTTGTGGATGATTGAATTCCATGTTTGAACACCAGGTTGACCCATTAAAGGTGAGTTTCGCTTAGCGGTGTTTTGTTTAGGTTGGATGTCCATGACAACCCCGTGCTTGAATTGAGCAGCCTTCAGGCAAATAAAAGAAACCCGGGAAAATCATCCACCGGCATGACCCGAGGCATGTCCTATGTATGTCCATGACAACCCCCTTCTTGGATTCAGCCGGCTTCTAAGAAACCAGGGTTCAACTGCCCCCTTCAGACAAGTAAAAGAAGCCAGGGAAACTCATCCACCGGCACCATCTAGGAATCCAGGTTCATCCACTGACCCCTTCAGGCAAATGACTCCAGGCAAATCCAGCGGCATCTGCGAAACCAGTCGGCGGAACCGACCTGAAGCTGACCGACCCCCGTCTCGGATTGAGCCTTCGGGCATCTGAGAAGCCAGGGTATCCCCTGGCTGGAGTTGAGTTGGAAAAACCCGCGCAGTCCACCAGCGAAATCCCAGCCCCTCATATTGAGCAGCCTGGCAAACAACAGAAACCAGGAACAGAAACTAGGGTTCAGCGGATCTGAGCAGGCATCTTGGGGGCTCCAGGGTTCATTCAGCGGCATCTAAGAAAGGGTTCATTTGACCCAAGGCATGTCCTCCATGATCAAGTACGGGGTGAACTACAAGTGCGACGCCGTGCGTGGCTTCGGGGAGCGTGCCAACCCCTACGTGGGCCTGGAGTCCCGGGACGTCTGCCCCATGGGGACCTTCCAGGTGCCTGACCTCGGGGAGAACGAGACGCTGGAGGCGGGGCCCAACCGTTCAACCGGGGGGGATGGTGGTCGATTGGGAGGCGCGGTATTTTGGTTTGGGTCAGGGTTGGTTTAGGGGTGGGCCTATTTTGCAGAGTGGTATTCTGGGGCTGGTCTGTTTTGTTTTGCTTTTCGGATGTAGGTTTAGTTGTGAAGGTTGGTTGGGGGGGAAATGAAAAAGAAGAATGCATGTTGTTGGGGGGGACCCCCCGCCCACTTTAACACATGGGTTTATGTTTTGGTCAGGACGCCGACTCTTTTTGGGGTCCAAATCTCTATTTTGAGACACACCCCGTTGACCCTGGTTGGTTCGAGCCCTTCAATGTTTTCTTATGGAGGGTGTTGAAGCGAAAGCAAAGGGAACCGACCACTTGGAGAAGTCCTTATTTCCAGACAGCTAGTCAAGACCCAAGCCCTAACGGAGGGCTGTTGGAAGTCGGGTGGGACCAATTGGGCGGCTTCGCATGTTTCCCGGTTACACTGGAATCCATCTCAGTGCTGGAAGCACTCGTTGATTTTTCTGCGACAGCCATTTTGCATGGCTTCCTCGGTGTTCAGTTTCCCGTTTTCGGAGGAAACCAGTTACTGGCGCTCACCGGGTTAAGAAACGGGTCTCTCCCGGTCCCTCGGATTTGGGTCCGGGGTGTCCCTGGGCTATCCGATCTGCTTGGAGACTCGAATGGATTGGTCTGTGCTTTTTGGGAAGCCCCGAAAGAGCGTCGTCCTCTTTCCGTGTCAGGTCACCCCAAGGGTACCCTCAAAAACAGACAGAGACCCGAAGGGTGGTTGTCCCTTGTCCCTTTTTGCTAACAAAACCGGACAAAAGGCCAGAGGAAGCGCACCCAGACAAACCGACGTTGGCCATAGATGTGGACTTTAAAAATCAAAACACGGCTTCCATTTGGTGAAAGTTTATTATTATTATTATTACTATTATTAGTATTTTCCCATGTTGGTTTTAAAGGGAATCGATTACACTAATGGAAATATGCTTGCTTTTTTTTTCAGGGGACTTAAGCAAATGGAGGACGGCGATCGTTGGGATGGAAACGCAGGATAAACAGAGCCCAGTGCTTCCAACTACCATTCTAGTGAGGAGAAGTTGAAACTCACCCCCCAAAAAGCAACTGCTTTTTCAAAATCCCAAGTACCGCCCAAAGAAAGAGTGATTGGGGGGTTCTAGCAAGGAGAACCGCCATTCAAGACCCAACACGAACACTCGAGTGACTTAGAGCGAGGGTAACCAGGATATCGAGGGAAATAGATCAAACACCGATAGCAAACTACTTTCTCATGTTGTTGCTTTTTCTTGTTCTTTTGTGGGGGGGTCTCCTAAAAGGTGAATTCGGTTCAAGCAACCAACTTGTTGAGGTTTGGATAGAGATCCTTTGAGTCACTGGGCGGGTCAAAATCAAGCCACCAGGAATTGGACTGCAGGTGTTGTCCTTTCCATGTACCAGGGCTTGCACCATTTTGGGGTTACCCCCGTGTTTCACCCGCCAAATCCAGACTAAACATATGGCCACGGGTCAAAATCCCGGTTAACCACTAAAATAGGCTCTAAAATGGGTGGTGAATTCACCACTCCCAACCAAAATGGGATCCCAAAACGGTTTTGACCACCACAGCCACACCTCACCTCACCTCACCTCACCTCACTCCCACACCACCCACCCCCCCCCACCATCCCACCATCCCCCCCACCACCACCCCCAACCACAGCCATATGTCTCCCCCAGAAAAAAAACGTGCTCCAAGCCAGGAGCTGGACGTGCTGCTCACCGGGGGCCGGCTCACTGAGGTGGCCAAGGAGGCGGCCAGGCGCGCGGCAGTTTTTGTTTGGAGCGAGAGAGCTGGGCCAAGCCTCGCTGGGCGGATGTCGGTCGCTTTTTGGTTGGTTGGTTGGGGCATTTTTTGCCAAGGGATGTTAGGACTGAATAACTTTTTGCCAACTCATGGGCTTTCCGTATTAAACCGCTAGAAGTTCAACTTTAAGCAGGGGAGCAAAAAGCAACGTGCCCTTTTTACCGTTTCTTTTTTGTTTGGGAGGGTTCCCCTACTGAATAGACTACACAAAAAAACTATCGGGTATCTTAGTCTAAGCTCTCTACTGGAGGACCTAGACCTGTTTGTGGTTGATATAAACAAGCAGCCCCGCCTGGTGTAAATAAAAACCCCTTGTCAAGGGAGGCGATTCCTAGATTTCCGGTGGAAAAGGCAAACCTTGGGTTAAAGGACACCCCATTTTCTGAGGGCCTTCAAAAACAACACCCCCATACACACACCCAGATCGCATTTTACGGGGATTCCCCTATGCACTGACACGGCCCCCTTCATTTGGCAGGCCCTCGTGTTTATTTTTCCCTAGGTCCCCTTCATTTGGCATCCCTCCTAGAAACCAGCAGGAAATTATTTTTTGGAAACTCGCCAAGTTCCCACCAAAATCAAGGGTTTCCTGTAGAACTTCCTGTTTTTATGGTTCTTGGAGTCCCGTGTCTTTGGGGTACCTGCGGCTTTCTGACTGGGCCTTAGGCGCGCCTACCGCACGGCCCCGGCGTCGGAGAAGATGAAGCGCGCGCAGACGGCGGCGCGGCTTTCAGATGTTGCGCCTCCCCAAACACGTGGGTTGCGTCCGTGTTTTCTACTTTTTTGGGGGGATCCGAGAAAAAATCCCATTGAAATCAACGACCAACAAGGGTGCCCCGTTTTTCAACCACGTATGGTTCCTCTCTACCTGTTTGACTCTCTACCTGTTTGACCTCCCTTCTGTTGTATGTTTAGCTGTTGGGCTGTTGTTTTGTTGAATGTGTTTCGCTAGCTGGGTGTTTAGTTTCCCCATCTAATCATGGCTGGTCTCTGGTGTGACCAAATCGCCCCCGGAGAGACCTTTGCAAAACAAAATGGCTTGACCTTGTCACCTACAAAAGGTCTGATCAAAGACAGGGCCATCTCTATCACAAGCCGAGGCAAAATCGTTCATTGCAAAAAACAACTTAACCATCCCAAGATAGCGGGCCACTTTTGCCTGCTTTGAGCAACCCATTTACATTGGGCTGCGTGCATTGGGCAGGGCCCAGACGGGCCAAAAAAAATGTGTTTCGCTCCTGGTTGTTTTTGTTTCTTTGTTTCCCTTGGCAAAAAGCCGGGAAAAAATCCTACCTGCCACTGGTCTACCTCAAAGGGGCGGTGTCCCTGGTCCCTCTCAGAAAATCCACCGCCGAACTGAGGCGGTGATGATGACTCCCGAGTTCAACACCTTCGGGGATCCCCTGCCCAAGGCGCGCTCGGTGAATGAGAGGATGAGGATAGCGGGTTGTGAACCCTGGTTTATATACTTATGTGTATACATACATATATATACATATATATATATATACATATATATATATACATACATATATATATATATATACATATCTCTCTCACTTCCTGGGTTGGTGGACTTTAAACTTTTTGGGTTTGGACCATTTTGGCAGTCAACTTGGGAAGTGAGTTATAAACCCGGGACCCGTAACCGCGGTAAGACTGAAAAAAACTCGCTTTTCAGCCTTTGTTCTTCCTGCAACCAGTGGCCTCCACAAGGGGCTGCCAAGGGAACGCTCCACGTGTTTGGCCACTTGGAAAGAGAAGAAGTCGAGGCCTAGGAACCCGCATGCGTGGTGCCGGCAAGAAGAAGGTGGCCCTTTTTGGGCCACGTACAGCGGGAAGAGCAGGGTAAGCATGTCTCTGGGTGAAACTTTTCAAGAGGTTTCCCTGAGAGGTTTCTCTCAACCCCAACCCGGGACACAAGAAAGACACCGCGCAAATGAGCAGCGAAGAGTATGACCAGGGTATCGGTTGTTGCTCCCCCTCTCGGTTAGGCAATATTGTCAGCACATGCTTTGAGGCGGTTTCCTTCCCCTCATGGTTACAATAGCTTCCTTCCAATATAGGTGTGTATTGTTTTTTTTTTTGCAAGGAACCCTTTTCAGGGGTTGTTTTGTAAAGGGGACACGAAAGGGGAGCCACTCATTTTGGGTCCCCCCCCCATTTTGAGGCACATGTCTTTCTGCCCAAGTCGAAGGTGTGCCTTTCTTCTCTGCTCAATCGGGAACCCTTGTCGGGGTTGCTTTTAAGGGACACCACACATTTTGGGGGTCCCCTGTCTCAAGACAAGCCCATATGAGGTTGATCAATTTCCTGGCTCCCAAATGACCATGGCTAACTTTTTACCATTTAGGGCTTGAAATCTCGTATCGTTTGTTGTGGGTTCCCCAATGGTCATCCCATGCATATCGGACCTTCTGATCAACCCCCACGTCTGTGTGCCCCAGTCGAAGGGTGTCCAGGTCCCCCAGCTAGGTGCCCTCTTGAACCCCTTCTTTGGGGGGAGGGTTCCCCCACTAAAATAGACAAAACCGACAGAAAAAAAGTCCTAACTTATTCTAACCTCTCACATCTAGAGGACCTACATGTAAACCCTTAGAGTGTGAAACATTTGACATTTTTGCTTATTGTGGTTTAGTGGTTGAAATCCAACCACTTAACTGCTAAAATTTGAATTTGTGCTCCCCTTCCAACGTCAACCAAGACCTAGGTGTGGCCCCTTCCCCGCCTTCTCCGCGTCGGTTCCTCCAGGCGGAGGCGAGGCCGGAGCTGAATGCGTCGCAGGCCTCGGCGCAGCTGCCGTACCGCGCCACCGTCTTCTTGTTCCTGGCCGCTGGGCCTAAAAAAAAGACGAGCTCCCCGTTCTTGGTTTTGTTTTTGTTTTGTTGGGGTGGGGGGGGGGTGGGGGGGGGGGGGTTCATCCCCGGATCCCTGTCTTGCCAGGATTCGCCTGGGTGTCCGTTTTTTTGGGGGTGAGCCTGGTGAAGAATAGATGGGATCCACTGGTTTAGATGGATTTTGTTCCATTTACCAGGGCCATCTATTTTTCAAAAAGGCCCCCTATGGCTGCGTGGTTGTTTTTCATCCCCGGATGCGTGTCTTGTGAGGATGCCCCTTTTTTTTGGGGGGGGGAGAGGTCCCGTTTTTTTTGTTTCATCCTCGGATCGGTGTTTTGTGAGGATTCTCCTTCCTGGGTTGTGGGAATATGGGCACATCTGGTCTCGGGGGCCACCCTCCCTTGGAACCAGGGCCGGGGCGTTTGCCTGACGGTTTTGCTTCGGGGGAAAAGAAGAAGCCGAGCTTTTCTTGGTTTAAACCTATTCGTGCCCAAGCCAGGGGCGGGTTATCCTCCCTTTTCGGTGCAACCACAAGTTGGGAAACCGAAATCCACGGAAACCGACGTACCCTCACCGCGCGGTGCAAGAAATGAGTGAGCACGCGTTTTGGTCGGGGCAGGTTCAACCGATGATGTTTCTTGTTGCTAGGGGTCCCTGAGTCTCCAACGAAAATCAAGCCTGCCGCCGGCTTCCCAAGGCCGGAGGGGCGGACACCTGGAACATGCTGGTGCCGCAGAACTGCGACCTTTACCAGGCACCTCTTGCAGTGTCAGTGTGTTTATTGTGTTGGACTTGTTTGTTTTTCGTCAAATTATGACCGTTGGACATTAGCAAAGTGTGTTTTCCAAAAAAATGGGGACAATGTTATTGGTGTGTTTCTCTTGATTGGCAGTGTCTCTCTCTGTGTGTGTGTGTGTTCGGAGCTTTCCGTGTTAGTTAGTTTGTTTGTTTGCATGTGTGTGTGTGTGTAACTGTCAACTTGCGTGTGCGTGTGTGCATCCGCGGACACCCCACACCCCCTCGGCTCAACCCCAGCACTCATTGAGCATTTCCGCACTCTGTGGGCTTCATGATGGGATCATCCGGATTTGTCGCTTTGGCGAAGTGGCTCAAAATGTTGTAAATGGCACCTTGTCAAATGGAAAGAAAGACTCAAACCTGCGGTAACCCCTATACTGTGGATGGACGAAATCCTACACCACCATTCAGAAACCCTGGTTTCTGATGATTCCCCTGTAAATACCAACAAACGATTTCTGGATTTCCTCCATGAAAAAAGTGAGCCACCCCCAAACCTTAAACTTCTGGCCACCAAGGGTATGGTTTCTCTAGCACTTCCAGGATCGATCCAGTTGCGATCACTTTTGTTCCCTCCACTTTACCCCAAAATCCAGAAACAGGGACTGAACAAAACCAGCAACTTGGCTATCTTGGTTCTCCTTGAAGTTTAGATCTCGGATCTGATCAAACCGTCGCAACTCGCTTTGGTGTCCCGTCCCCGGCCGGGCTTACCCTCATCGACGGACCAAGCCCTCACAGGAGTACGTGGACGTTCGCACGGACCTGCACTTGAACCCCAGCGATTTGATTGAGGCGTGGTGGAAATTCCAGCGTTTCAGGAGGCCACTTGCTGTATGCGTAGTTCTGTCATGGGAATGACAGAACTTGGGAGTCCGAAATTTGGAGCCATCTTGAAACCATGGTTGAAACCATCGCTTGTGGGGATTTACAGGAGAATCCTCGTTCCAGGGTTTCTGATCGGTGCTGCGAAATCAGTATCATACTCTGGGGTTCGCATTGCCATGGCACCGTGGTTTTTCCATGAGCGAATCGAGGTGAACGTTTCGGGCCAGCCCTGCGCCAAGTTCGGCATCCACGGCCTCCTGGACGAACTGCGAAACCGCCGGGTTAGGAAGGGGTTTACACCGAGTAAGCGCAACTCCGTGGGTAAGGGAGTGAGCAAGCGCAACGGAGGGAACTGTTTTTTTTCTTTTTTTTTCTTCTTTGTTTTTTTTTTTAGGTGCTACCAATTTCTGTGATAGCAATAAACCCCCCTTTTAAAGTGACAAAGTAAGTATAAGTATGGGATGGGAATCCTGCTTGGGTATGCCATGGAAGGACCGCATGATACCGCATGGATTCATAGGGATGGTCATCAACAACTGTTGGGTGAAAGTAGATGGCACAAGTCCGCCCGTTTGGTTTGGCCATCCCCCTTTACCCAGCAAAACATACTAGTTTTAGCTCACGGCGTCCTTAACGACCCCGTGGAGTTCTTTGTTTTTTGGACGTTCATCCCTGCGTTCATGCATCATGGTTCGGGGGGGGATGGGTGGGCGGGGGGGAGGGTGGGTGGGTGGGGGGGTATGATAAGCACACCCGCTCAACTGCTGCAGACCAGCCTGCTCTTTTACCGGATTACAAAATAGCATGGTTCTGGGGGGGGGGGGGTTGGGGGGGGGGGCATGATAAGCACACCCGCTCAACTGCTGCAGATGCGTCTTTCACCCCTGAGGCATTCACTGGCCCAACCTTTGGCTCCAGGACCATGGGTCATCATTTTGTTCTCGCTCTTTGTGTTGCGTACGTTTTGCTGCTGCGTGTCGCGTGTGCACCCAGCCCCATTGTTGACTCGTGGTTCCAGGCATTTTGGACGTGTGATCCGTTCTTGTTGGACGCTCACTTTGAAGTTTTCGCTGGTAGTTCGTCTGATCCTTTCGCGCATTTTGCGGCATCTGTTGGTGCGATATCTGCTCGAAGGACTTTGTCCTGGTGTCGGTTACCTGCTGCACTGCCGCGTCTTCGCGCTGCCTGGCTGACGCTCTCGCGCGCCCGCTCCCCGCTTACCCCGGCTTTGCGTGCTGCCTGTTTTGTTCTATCCCGACGTTTGTTGGTCATCCACTTCACTTCTGCACCATCCTCAAGCCAGTGTGGCGAGCTTGCCATGTCTGCCGACGAAGACGATATCTCGCCTGGCCATCTTAGATCCTTCTTGAAAAGAAGGAGGCCGGCAGCCTCAAGAAACGCGCGTGTGTTGGCCAGCAGCGCGAAGTGCTGCTATTCTCAGGCGATTTGGCCCTTTCTTGTCAAAGCCATGGTAAAAATGGAACAAAATAAACTTGGTGCGTGTCAACGGTGCAAAGAAATGTTGATAAAACACAGGAATTTTGGTAAACGTGCTTGGTCGCCATGGTCAAAAGCAGCGTGGTCATTAGCAACGCCGTGACCTAGTTTTAGGGGAATCCCGGAATCCTTTTTTTGTGGTTTTGAATGAAAACAACAATAGGACAGCCCCACATGTTGAAGGTCCCGTAAAAAAGACATCAACTTTCAGCCTGGTGTAAGCATTCCTAAGGGAAGCATGACCATGGCCCACTTGAGAGCTTGACCGTGGCACCACCTCGAAATGGAACTCCGGCTTGGGCCGGCTCGGCAAAACCGGCAGACGGGGTGGTTTCAGCGTAGTTTCCCCTTTTCTCACCACCGAAGAAAGGTGGGTACGGCTCAAAATGCAAGAGCAAGGGTTACGCAGGTTCTAGTTGTTGATTGGATTTAATGATCGAGGTGCCTCATTTTGTGGATTCCACTTTATTGAGCCAGAGCCAAGTGACAACTCACTTGTCCAAAGCCGGTTCGACTTTTTTGGCCTTTGAAGGGCAAGAAGTTCCCCCCCCCCCCTGCTGCCACTAAATTCGCACAGGGGGGCCCTGCAAGAGGAAACTGATCTTCCACCCACCCACATGGCCTTTGGAGGGTACCTGGAATTTTGACACCGAGGCTCCTATGGGTATTTGAAGCAGCTCTACGACGAGAAGGACTTAGCCTTCATGACGAACATGGGATCCCTGGTGGAGCCGCTGACCAAGGACCCAACGTGTGAGTCGCTCGGAGAGTCGGTGCGGTGAGTCAATACCGGCCCGGAGTTCAGCCTGAAGCAATGGCAAAAAAGGGAAAGCAACAAGACCTCACTCTTTCTCTTGGGGTCTGGATTGGGTTTGAAACCCTTTAAGATAATGGGCAGATAGCCCCCTAAACTCCGAACCAGGTTTGAAGCTTGTTTTGAGCCCGCTGTTTTATTTTGGGGGGTTCAAAAGGAAAGGACCTCTAACGAACCACCAAACCCAAACCAGTTGGGGGTAAGCTCGATGGACCTGACGTTCAAAAGATCGTGGCAGGGGCGCGCGAGGTGTGTCCGCAACACAACCAGTTGTCCGCTTTGGCCACCTCTACAGGGAAGAGTTGGGGGAGTGCGGGTCTCCTATGAACAGGATTCCCCAGTACAATTTGGTCAATCAAAGAGACTTCACTGTCTCTTGCAGGGCTCATTGGCTATTGAGGCCAAAGTTGGAGGATACAAGGGGGGTGGGGGGTCAAGGATCCTGTGCAGACAGGCTGGCTGCAGGAGCCACAGAGCCATCCTTTTGGTCTAGAATTTTGACGACTCCCTGCAAGCGCCAAAATATGCCAGAGCAATCATTTTGATCATGGAAGCAGGAATCTCCATTTGGCGCCCTTTGTTGTGGCTCCATCTCAATTTGCAGGAGTAGCTTTTCCGCCAAGCCATGAGGAAACTACCATTTCGTAGCTGTTGGGATGTCTGTAGCTTTTTTGGGGCTTCCAGATGAGAACTTGCAGGGGAGTAGAGGGATCGAAGCAGTAGCACAAGGGGCAAAACAAAAGCTTATCTCTTGTCTTTAAATTCATGACTTTGTGTAGTGTAGTACCACACATGCGACATTGACAGTTCTTGATGTTCCCAAACGTAAATCCAGGATGGGCAACATGTATGGGGGTGCCAACAGGGAAGCCACAAGGAAATCCTTCTCTCTCGATTTGGAGGCGTCCGATTGCTCCTGCGGATGGACGAAACCTGCACCGCACCACATAAGAAACAATGCCCCTGTAACTGCCAACAGACCATGGTTTCAATTCTGGTTTCATTAACCGTCGTGCGCTTTCTGGATTTCGCAAGACCATCCGCATGTTTTCGCCGCAAGGACAATACCCGCACTCCCCCTCCCTGTAAAAGGTGGCCGAAAAGCAAGCCTCTCTCTGGAGCCTTCCCAGTCCAAATGTTGTCCCCACATTAATCAACCCCAGTTTATTAATACGGGGATGTTCCCCTCCAAAAGTGATGATTCCCCACTAAACGCAGGGACACCCCTCTATCAATAAACTGAGGTTGATTAATGGGGGGTCAACACTATGAGTATACCAGCCTTCCATTTGCTTAAGAATCTGTTTGCTTTTCCGATGGCTTTTTCTTTTTTGCCAGGGGGCGCCTTGTTCCCACGCCAGGAGCAGTACCGCAGCAGCTCCAAGCAGACCTGCGTGGGTCTCTTCAGCCACTCGGACCAGCAGACGGGCGCCCAGACGCTGCAGTGCCAGACGCCCGGCAACACCCCCCGGGGCGCCGGCGGGCGCATGGCGGACGCCCTCAACGCCCAGAACCCCCCGGTGCAGGCCGAGAGTTCGGCTTTTTTGCGGTTCGGTGGCGCAGCTTTCATGGAAAAAAGGGGGAGATGTGGGTGGGTGAGTATATTTTGCATGGTTGAGAGCATTCCCCACTTTGGGCTAGGGGAACCAAAAGGAAACGACTCATGTTGTTGGCCGTACGGCCCGTGTGGGCGAGAAATCTGGATCTGGTTGCAGGGATTTCACCGATTCGGGGGTAAATTGAGCACGCCATGACGTAGGTCTTATACTTGGGGATCCCTTGTTTCAGGTTTTAGAATGCTAAAATTTACAGTTTTTGTGGGTGTTTCTCACGCTTCCAGCGCAAAAAAGTTGGTGCATTTTGAGGGGTTTTTGCATGGTAGGAAGTCCATGCAAACCCAGGCATTTGGGTCATGCTGAGCATGTCACTGAATTTGAGCGTCCCGAAGTCTAGCTGCACTCACCTGAAAGCAGCTCGCACCGCTCCGAGACCTGCCCCATTTCTTGGGCGCGCCTATGGGCCCCATGAACGATCAAAGTAACGCGTGCGGGCAACGTAGGGGAGCCCAAGAGCCTTCAAAATGGGCCATGGGTCAAGATCCAAATCGGAGCCCCAGTGAACATCCGGTTCAATCCACACTAAAATAGGCTCTAAAACGGGCGGTGCACCGAAAACCCCCCAAAAAATGGGATCCCAAACCGGTTTTGACAACCACAGCCATCCAAATCGGAGCCCAGTGAACATCCGGTTCAATCCACACTAAAATAGGCTCTAAAACGGGCGGTGCACCGAAAACCCCCCAAAAAATGGGATCCCAAAACGGTTTTGACAACCACAGCCATCCAAATCGGAGCCCAGTGAACATCCGGTTCAATCCACACTAAAATAGGCTCTAAAACGGGCGGTGCACCGAAAACCCCCCAAAAAATGGGATCCCAAAACGGTTTTGACAACCACAGCCATCCAAATCGGAGCCCAGTGAACATCCGGTTCAATGCCACACTAAAATAGGCTCTAAAACGGGCGGTGCACCGAAAACCCCCCAAAAAATGGGATCCCAAAACGGTTTTGACAACCACAGCCATCCAAATCGGAGCCCAGTGAACATCCGGTTCAATCCACACTAAAATAGGCTCTAAAACGGGCGGTGCACCGAAAACCCCCCAAAAAATGGGATCCCAAAACGGTTTTGACAACCACAGCCATCCAAATCGGAGCCCAGTGAACATCCGGTTCAATCCCCACTAAAATAGGCTCTAAAACGGGCGGTGCACCGAAAACCCCCCAAAAATGGGATCCCAAAACGGTTTTGACAACCACAGCCATCCAAATCGGAGCCCAGTGAACATCCGGTTCAATCCCCACTAAAATAGGCTCTAAAACGGGCGGTGCACCGAAAACCCCCCAAAAAATGGGATCCCAAAACGGTTTTGACAACCACAGCCATCCAAATCGGAGCCCAGTGAACATCCGGTTCAATCCCCACTAAAATAGGCTCTAAAACGGGCGGTGCACCGAAAACCCCGCAAAAATGGGATCCCAAAACGGTTTTGACAACCACAGCCATCCAAATCGGAGCCCAGTGAACATCCGGTTCAATCCCCACTAAAACAGTACCCCAAAATGGGACAGATACTTGGTGTCCCTGATTCCCCGGGTTCTACAAGTGGGATTGGCCAAAGGGACAAGGCGGTCCTAGCTTCTGTTGGGCGCTTTGGGTAGTCCCAGACGGGGTTTCTTCTTGGAACTTGTGGGAGTCGGAGTTAGGGGAAGAGCGAGCAACAAAAACCGGAGATGGCTACCGTACTAAGGGTTTGCATGGATGTGTCTTTTTTGGAGGGGACCCGCCAACATATTACTAAGGTGTTTCTTTGAGGGGACCCACCAACATGGCAAACCGGGGGTCCCTCGAAAAAGCCACCCCAGTGTTCACACCCCTGTGAGTGCTTACGTGGGCAACATGTTTGAATGGTGGCAGGAATGGGCAAAAGTTGACCTTTAACTTGAAGACAAAACAAAAGAGTTTTATCCTTCCATTGTTCATTTTTGGGGTCACAACCCCTGAAAAACCTTCGAAACCCTTCAAGATCCCTTGTTCGCCAACCCAAAAAAGACCGCCAACTCCAAACAGAGGAGAAAGAAGAACGACAAAGGAAACACCCCCCCTTGTGGAAAGCTCCCAAAAACACAAAGGCAACCCCTTGTGGAAACCCAAAATGAAAACACAACGGCAATCCCTTCCTTTGGATTTCCCAAACACGGAACCCACCTGCGGATTTCCCTGGGCTCTTCCCCACCCGAAGGCCCACCGTTTCGCGAGCCTCGCCCCGCGCAAGCCTCGCGCCTTGGAGGCGGCCAGCTTCTCGGTGGCCGGCAGCGCCATCTTCGCCCAGGGGGTGGTGACCAACCGGCAGATCGTGAGCGAGGAGGCGGGGAGGTTTCGGGGGGGTTGTTATGGGGATGTTCTGGGTAGCAAATCTATTTTTTGGTGACTCGCTGAGTGACTGAGGATTGCCGGAGTGACTGACTGACTGAGTGACTGGCTGAGTGAGTGACTGCCACTGACTGATTGACTAATTGACTCACTGGCTAGCTGGCTGACTCACAGACTGATTGATTCATTGATGGATGGATGGATGGATGGATGGATGGATGGATTGATTGATTGATTGATTGATTGATGGGGTTTTGCTGGCTGGGGTTTGGTTACTTGTATAAGCACAGATGCAACGAGGATCCAGGATACAACAAGCTTACCATGATGGTCATTGATGTGACCGGCCAGTTCTTGTTTCAGGTGTTGGCATTGTGAAATGTGAAGATGGATCCCACGGATCAAGTGCCGGAAACTTGATCTTTCTGAACCCCAACAGTGGGCAAATGATTGTTACCTTGTCCTTGACCAACATGATTCATGCTGGACAACAGGTTAGGTATAGGCTTGAACGTTGGCCAAGAGTCAGGTGCATTGGTGAGGATAGGTGCCTGGATGTGAACTACTTTTTGTGTCAATGATTTAGCTAGTTTGCAGGGCCGTTTGGTGCGCAAGCACCAGAAATGTGGACCAGGTTGCATGAACCCTTTCCGTTCCTTGGTGGTGCTCAAGCCCTTGATAGTGACTCTAGAGACCCACCCAAAGAAGTCTGATGCAGCGAGACATGACCAGGACCCTACCCACAAGGAGTTTTCACCATTGATGCTTTGGATGGTTGCGAATTCCATTTCGTACCACGAAATGAAAGGGGAATCAAATTATTCCGGTGGGTTTCTGAACAGTGGTGCGACATGAATTTCGCAACCATCCACAGTATGACCCGCCTGAATTGAAACGAGCTCACCACCACAACGAGCTTGCGGATCAGGAGACAAACAAGCTCAGGGGAAGTGTGCCCAGAATCTGATCTTGAAGCTTTGGGTTTGCAGACCGGAAAAGAGAAAACAGTTGTTGTTTTTAATGAGAACCCAACCAAAGTTTCAGAGATATTCCAGTTTGGCACATAAGGTTTCAGCGAAACAGAATCAACTTGGATGGGCCCAGGTCGCAAAAGGTGATCTGGCCCAAGCTCACTTCCCCATTTTGGGATTGCGAGCTTTGGCAAATCATTTTAGTGGTAAACAAAAGTCTATAGCATGATAGCTGACGGAGGTGTCCTGCGCAGGTTCCGTAAAAAGTGGAATCCTTTGGTTTTATGTTGGTGCGCTTTTGTGGGTTCCACTTGAGCAGCTCTAAAAGCCCCCCGTTGCATCACAAGAGTCATAACAAGGCCCCGCGCAAGCAAAACCCTGCACGGTGCTTACGCCGGCGTAAGCACTTTTTGGGAAGCATGTTGCGCAAGCACCTGCGTAAGCTCTTCTTCATGATTGCTTGCTAAGCTTTGCATTCATGCTCGGAAGAGTTGTTTCACACACGTGCGTATGTGTTGTTTGGTGGCTTGCCCGGAGACTTTGGCTGCAGGAAGACGTCTAAGACCGCATGTGCGCACCATTAATTAGATTGGGATCTCTTGAACCTCATGCTAGGTGCTGTTGCAACCTTTTTTAGGACAACAAAGCTAACCACTGATTTAGGAAAACTAAAGGGGCTCGGGCGCGTAAGCTCGCGTAAGCAGGCGCGTAAGTTTCGCGTAAGCTCGCCTAGCTCGGCTGCCCGCTAGCCCTCGCGATGGATGCCGCTACCGCATAACCCGTTTCTTGACTTGCAGTAAGAACAACAACGCCAAGCTGCTGAAGCTCAGGAGGGTAGTTCTTCGTCATCTTCTTTCTCAGAGTCATCCACATCATCTTGAGCAGTTCTGGCGGCTGCATAAGACAAGGAGCCCGCGTAAGCAATTCTACCCGAGTTTTGATTGTGACTCACTTTGAGAAGCTGTTGGGATCCGGCTTTTGCGCACCCGAAGGGTTTGCAAGGGCTGTATATAAACGAACATTTTCACGAGGGACCAGCAGAAACAAAACAAGTGAGCAACTCTATAAACCTCCCATGAATCCCTACGTCGGATCAAGTTGCTTATGCGCGAACTTGCGCTTTCCTTACGTGACCCATGTTTTAGCTTACGCGGCAGTCAGAAAGCATGTAAAGCTTACGCATCGCTCACACGTCGGCGTTTTGAGCGTTTCTCCTTAGTGAGGGACGATCCCCACCATAAATGATAGCTGCGGCCGCCTTCTTAGTTCTTTACATGGTTCTGGGTGAACCATTTGTGTACCGGGTTTTGAATATGACTCAGGTGCCATGTTGCCATGTTGCCAGGGCAACAAGCGTTTCGGGGAGTTTGAGCTCTGGCGGGAGACCATCTCCAACATCACCAAGCAGCAGCATGCCAACGTCTTCAGCGAGCAGTACACCAAGGCCCTGTTTCGCGGGGGTTCAAAACTCCCCACCACATAGACATGGAATTGGGGGAGGGGGCTTCTTTCCCCTGGATCCATGTATGGTTCCATTTTCCCTTGTATGGTTGGAAGACCGGATGAAACGCATTTCCATGGTTGTTGGGACACATGTTACATGTTTGCTTATTGCGGTCTAGTGGTTGAACTCCAAATCCACTGAACTGCCAAACAAATCAAGTTTCTCATTTTGGGCTCCCCAAACCCACCGGTCAACCCATTTTTGGCTCCCCAAACCCACCGGTCGACCGAGGATTTCTCCGAAACCGCCTCGGTAGGTCGTTTCGGCTTCGGTCGTTTCGGAGCTTCGGAACCGGTCGAAACCAGATCTTCCTGGACTCCTTGCGCGGCACCGAGGAGCTGGGCCGCGCCTTCGAGGAGCCGATGGGGTCGATGCGGCTGAGCCGTACTTCTGTTGGAAAAACCACCCGGTGGTCAAGGCGAAAAAAACGGGGGCGAGTCTTTTGGATGTTCAGAATCATCGGCTTTTGGAGAGTTTCGGAGTTTGAGAATCCGAGTTTTGGAGAGAGCCAAGGGATCTTCGAGGGACAGTGTTTGAATCTGTAGGCTTGGACTTGTTACGAGGTGAGTTGGGCTTCCGCTTTGGAAGCCCCAGGTTCGAGGACTTGAATCGACCAAGAAGTGGCTCATTTTGTTTGAGAAGCGCCCACTATCTAGGGGTACACCGAGAAAAATGGGCATTTTATGATTCGGCTTCATTATAAGGAAGCTTTGTAAGAGCCTTTAGAAGCTAGTGTAGAAAATGTAAAACCCTCAAACCCATGGAAATGTCTGATTCGGCTTCATCCTGTTTGAGGGTACTAGCTTAGGGTTCTGCCTACCTTTGAAAAAGGCTACTTGGTGTGCGTTGCGTGAGACCATCCGGCCTGCTTTTCCAGACAACAGGCACCGGGGGCGGGGGCGGTTCGACATACCCTGCAAAATCCAGGGAGAGCAAGCACAAAAGGCTATCCAAAGGCGCATCAACTCCTACCTACCTATCCACATCTTGGTTTTAAAAACAAAGCAGGTTTGGGATTGAAACCTGCGTTGATGCAGCGCAACTTTTCAAGTACCATTGCAGCTCAGGTGAAATTGTTTGCTAACGGTTTCTATTCAAAGCATAGACCATAGGATATGGCTGTGGTTGTCAAAACCAATTGGTAGTTGCACCACCCATTTGAGTCGGGATTTTAGTGGGGATTGGGATGTTCTCTGAGGGTACGTCTTTTGACCCATAGCCATATGTGAAAAGTATGGCCAGTACCCGCCTGAGCAAAGTTGCCAGGGGTTAAACTCCTCGAACGTGCAGGCCACAGCTTAGCGATCAAATGCAGAATCAGCAGTCCCTTCGCTTTTCCAGCTAGGGAAGACTAGTTGGAGCGCGACTCGCGAGGGGCGAGCAAGAACACCGTGCAACAACGAGTACGGACTGTGATGCGTGTTCACGCATTTTGCAGGCTTCTTATTTATGCATTGCGTGGATATTGCATGTATCAGGACAATCAGTGAAAACAGCCAACCATGGCGCACAAAGCTCGTGGAGCTTGTGAGCTTGTAAGCCCCAGATAGTATAAGCTGTAACGAAAACATAGTTGGTTACAACCAGCAGGTAGCAAGGAAAAGGCTCGGTGCGGGCAGGAAGTGGAGCTGGCGACCAACTACGACACAAGCAGCAAGCTCGCCAAGCAGCTCTCCCAGGCGCCATTTGGATGGTGTCCCGTTGGGTGTGGGTCAAAGCCCAGATTTGAGTCACCTAGGTCCCCCAGCTATGCCCCTTGCTCACCCCTTTTTTTGGTTGGGAGGGTTCCCCTACTAAAATAGACAGAAAAGAGTGGGTACCCTTATTCTAACCTCTCTACTGGCGGACCTAGTCACAAACAAAGCCCGGGTAAATGAAGGTTAGTAAGGGCCAGTCCCAGCCATAAATGGTTGCGGCCGCCTTCTCAATTCCTTGGCTCTGGGTTCACCATTTTGTTACCAGGTTTTGATTGTGACTCAGATACCCTTTTGCGATGTTGAACAGGAATCTGGGGGGTAGGAGGGGAGTAGCAGGGTTTTGACCCACGGCCAGTTTGAGCAATTTCTTGCTATAAATTTGGAAATGCTGATGAGGCAGATAATCTGTACCATAAATGTGTGCCGCGTTCTTCATTCTTTACATGGTTCCGGGTAGGCAATTTTAGCACTAGGTTTTGATTATGACTCAGATGGCTTGGGTTTGCATTGAGTCGTGTATCATTTCTGCCTATTCTATAGCGAGCTCACCGATTTGGGAGTATAATGAGCGGAAGCCATGACAAAGGTCCCTTCCTTGGGGATCTAATAATTTAGGTTTTCGGAAATGTGGTAAACTTTGCAGATGGTTTTGGGGATACCCTTTTGGGGAGGGGGTTTACCGTATGTGGGTCTCAAATGAACACCAACCGGAAACCATCCACTTCGACATGTATCCAGGTCCAGGAGCCCCTGTCTTTCAACTTGGGTTGGGTTGGGCCCTACATCCGCCAAGCAAACAAGCATGGGTGTCCTTTTTGGTCTTGCTTAAAAAATCGGGGACGATTCCTGGTTTAGATGGGGTTTATTCCATTTACCGCCATCCACTTTTCCATCAGGCCACCTATGCAAACAAGGGCGTTTTTTTTTTTTTTTTAACGGACTCGATGTTTCACAAGATGTCCAAAGCATGTCGCCCCTTTTAGCGTTTGGCTTTCCGGAATTGGAAATCGGTATGTCATATTTAACCTTTCGGTTTCCTTTTAAGCCATCCTGAAGAACACATGATGCCCTCCAAACAGATCATGTTTAGGGAACCCTCAGCATGGACGGTGCGTTGTCCCCTTTAAAACAAACCTGAATCCAACAAGAACCACCCCCATACTGTGGATGGAGGAAGTCCTCTTAGGCACCACCGTTGAAAGCCCAACGGAATGATTCGATTCCCCCACATAACTACCAACCAATGTTGTGGCTGCCGGTAGTTTCAAAGTGGTGCCCAAGAGGATGTCGTCCATTGACTTGGCTGTGGTTGTCAAAACCGTTTTGGGGTTTTTCGGTGCACCACCCATTTTTAGAGCCTATTTTACTGGGGCTTGGGATGTTCACCGGGAGGGTTTCCATGGATTTGGACCCATGGCCAGCTGAGGCACATCCACAAGGGGTGGGTTGCCTTCGTGTTTTTGGGGACTTTTCCACAAAGGGATGGGTTGCCTTTGTTTTTGTTGTCTCCTCTATCTGGATTTTGCCCCACACGTCATCCGAGGCCCCTGGAAAGATGGTTTCCTCTGGGTTTTTGATGGTTTCCTGGAAAGATTCGGATCCCTGGAAAGATGGTGTTTGATGGTGTTTGATGGTGTTTGATGGTGTTTGACGGTTTTTGACGGTTTTTGATGGTTTTTGATGGTTTTTGATGGTTTTTGATGGTTTTCGATGGTGTTTGATGGTTTTTGACGGTTTTTGATGGTTTTTGATGGTTTTTGACGGTTTTTGATGGTTTTTGATGGTTTCCATGAAATGGAAGGTACCCCTAGAAGAGTCTGAGCCATCGATCCGTTCGTTTTGTTTTTTTTCCCCGCTTCGGCTTCAGGTGGCGAAGCTGATGAAGGTCCGCGAGGTGCGCAAGGCGGAGAGGGACTTCTTCTTCGTGCAGGCGAGGAAGCCAAGCGATTTTTTCCAATAATTGTCCTTTCCTTTCTCTTGGTTTGTAAAGGGTGGCAAGCCCTTGGTTAGCTGCAAAGCCAGGTGAATGCTTATTGCTATTGGGTAACAGATCTTTAGACTTTAGCTTTTTGGTTGAAATCAAGTTATGGGTTTTCCGAAACCGCCAAACAAGTGAAGCTCACTTATTGCAGGGGGGTCAACAGCAACCAAGCTTTACAGATGGCGAGCCTGGTCCCCCAAAATCACCCGGGTACGTATGCTGGTGGTGCAAAAAGCGACGTGAAAGGAAATGGGGGGTTCATAGAACCACGGCGGTTTAAGGATTGTCATCCAATTTCGGTCAGCCATTCTGCTCTCATGGGGGCAATCCCCAAGGTCGGCGGCTGGGACATGCATTCCAACCTGCTCACCAGCCTCACCAACAAGTTTGCGGACATCAACTCGGCACTGGAGGGTTTTGTGGCTGAGATGAAGGCCCAGAACATTTGGCGCCTGAGCGTGAGATATCGCCAACTGATGTATGTTTTGCATGTTTACAGTATACATCGATAATATATATATATACATATATATATATATACATATATTGCAATATGATTTGTATATACACATAGAAGTACGTACGCGTACAAGTGGGTGTGTGGTCTTGAGGGTGCCCTTTTGCGGGTTTGAAGGGAAGCCAACAGAGCAACAACCTCTACCATTTCGGGGTTCCCCCCGGTTCGACGTTATCCATACTGTACTTCTCATTTGTAGTAGCAAAGGTTTTGTGTTGTCCCTCCTCAGGCGGTATACTGTTGATTTTGTTTGGTACGGATTGAGAAAGTCGGCAAAGGGGCCATCCCTGTAGTGACCTTTGTTCCCCGATCTCACTTCTCCACAGCGAATCTACCTGAAATGACTTGTTGGTTTGCCTTTGGCAACCACTAGTGATGGCTCCCAAAGTTTACTCCCCAGAGGTTCTCAGTTTTAGACAGGTCCAAACATATCCCTTTATACTCCCTTACCCGTATATTCCCTTCGTCGCGTTTGCTTTGGTGTTCATTCCAGGACCTTGATTTGCTGTTATATGTTGAGGTTCAATTATGGCCCTGAATTGGGACCCCCAAATGCCAAGTCACATGCATATGGGGTTTGTGCTTTTTGTTTCTGGTCCGGGATGGCTTTGTAAGAAGGAAGCTATTAACACGCATCAGATACGCATATATGACCACGTTAGACGGGAAAATGTTTTCTAGTTGGTTCTAGTTCTATATACGGTTTCGACATGGTTAGATACGTGTTTTGTTACTTAGTTGGTTCTAAATACACACTTGCCATAAGCTAATCTACCTTTGTGACCTTTTGGGTTTCTTCTAGGTCCATGTTTAGAAGTTTCCAAAAGGTGACCACCTACAGTTTGTGTCCGCACTGGGCAGAGACACATAGGACCCCCAAGATAGAGTTTGTGCTACTTGTGGTCTTCCTTGCCAACCTGAAAAGGGTAGCCTCCAAAAGTAGATACCCATACAGGCGTGTCTTTCTTGGAGGGTGCCCGTACCCCCTAAACAGTTGGTTTTAAACGAAAACCAAAAAGCCATTTTGGCGGGGGGGTGCCCTACAAAAGGTTCACCGCATGAAACTCCTTGGGCAAATGAAGGGTAGTTTTATATTAACCGTTGTATTAATTGGTGGGTTGAAGCTCAGGGACATACTTTGGATGGACGAAATCCTGCACCACTTTGAAACCAAACATTTTGTGGTTTTTACGTTGGGAAATCGGATCATTGCGGTTCTGAACGGTGCCTGAACGGTGGTGCGAAACAAGGATTTCCTCCAGCATGAACCCCGCCTGGAGAACCGAGCTCACCCGCGAGCTTGCGTATCAGGAGGTAAAACAGGCTCATGAAGGCCCCTTCCTAGGTAATGTTATATCAACCTTCGTGTTAGCCTTTGAATTGTGTGGCCCAGGGCATACATGGGTATGGGTCAAAATCCCGTACCTCCAGCGAGCATCCCAATCCCCGCTAAAATAGGTGCTAAAATGGGTGGTGCACTGAAAACCCCCCAAAATGGGATCCCGAAACGGTTTTGACAACCACAGCCACCTCACCTCACCTCACCTCACCTCACACTCTCACTCCCACACCACCCACCATCCCACCTCCCCCCCACACCCACCCTCCCCCCACCACCCACTCACCCCACCGTCCCCCCCGCCCCACTCACCCCCCCCCACCCACCATCCCATATGGCTCGTTGGAAGCTCCCAGGAACAGCGTGGCGCTGGCCAGCAGCTCGGAGTTCGCCCGCACACTGGACTCCAACGGCGGGGGCTCGGACCACGCCTGGGCGGGTCAGCACTTCGTGATCGGGGGCAAGGCGCGGAAGGGCGATGGTGGGCACGGTGGGTGGTGTGAGGAGTGGGGGAAAGGTGGGTGGTGTGGGAGTGTGGGAGGTAAGGTGAGGTGGCTTTGGGTCAGAACCAATGGTACCACTTTGGGGCAGGTGCACCACCCATTTTGGTTTGTCTTAGTGGGGATTGGGATGTTTACTGGGGGTACGAGCTTTTGACCCATGGCCAGGTGAGGTGAGGTGAGGTAAGGTGATGTGAGGTGAGGAGTGGGTCTGGTCTTTGAGGATTCGGCATTTAACAAACAACCAAGGATTTTCCTGTACGCCTGCGCTTTTTTGGAGCAAACACAAGCATGTGGTTGGACCCCCAAAATGGTGATTGTTCTTTTTGTGTCCCTTCAAAGCCACCAAAAACGGGGTTCCCTCAAAAAAACGACAGACCCATGTTGACCCCGGATCAATGAATTTGAATCCCCACTAAAAGGCGACACCCCCGCTAGGCATCAAACAGGGGTTTGCGAGCCCAAATGAGTCGGAGTTAGGATGTTTGCCACACAACAATGAGCAATCGCGCAAACGAGAGGTTTCCATGCACCTTTGGGGGCTTTTCCAAAACTTTATCATACTTTAGGATAGACTACATATGAGACAGAATCTGAAATATGCTTCTCGGGGTAAACGTCAACTCCAGATTAAGTCATAGTCGTGCATGAGCTTGCAAAACGCGCTCTACCAAAACAACCCACCCCTGCAGCTCATGATAGAGTTCCCCCATTTTTTGGACATGCCCCTTGCCGACCTAAAGTGAGTTTTGTCATCTACTTTTACCCCGGTGTAGTCCCCTTACAGCCCCTAGAGCTTCAAAGGAAAATCAATACCAGTAAGTCGGTTGCAAATGTATGAAGAAACAACCCACCCCTCAACTAAATATCCCCCACTAAAAGTGGTCAACCCCGAGAAGGTTCGCTGCAAAAGTGGAGGGTGTTGGTAGTCGAAATCTGTAACAACCAGACCCGAGTATCCTTTGAAGGGAAACCGGGCCCCAAAAGGAGGATGTTTGAGAAAAGTCACTACCGTGAAGCAAATCGAATCGACCTGAAATGACCTTTTGGTTTCCTGGTGTGGCAAGCATTTTTCGTCATGGGTCCTTGGGGCAACTGAAGGACCATTGGCCCAACTGAGGTGAGAGGGGGCAAGGTGCTGAACAAGTATCCATCCACTCTGAGCCTCGCAGCACTTCGCGCTTGGGTGTTGTTGGGTTCAGTTCTGCTGTTTCGTCCATGAAGTGTAGCTTGGGTTGACCTTGGCTTGGTTCGATCCAAGTTGATGGTTTGTTTTAAGTAGACATTGGGCGTGAGGATAGTAAGAGGCGTGGCACCCGCTGTTGAGCCTCGCCGCAGGTATGGCGTTGCGTAATCATTGGTTCCTGAGCAACAGTACCACCACTCACCAACAAGCATTCTCCACTTGGGTATGGGTCAAAATGAAACCACCAGGATATGGACCGCAGGTTTTGGTCCTTTTTTCCATTTACCAGTTCCATTTCGCCACACCCATTCTGCAGATTGTGTCTTTTTATTGGGATCTCTCAAAACCAGCGGCGCGTGTTCTTTTGGGTCGAAGGGTACTTGTCCATGTGTTCGCATGCGATGGGTATGTGGGTGTTGCAAAAAGTCGGGAAACCCATGGGCGGTTTCATGTTTCGCCTTAGCCAACACCGCTGGGTCCCCAATTTTGGGAAACACCCCCAGGGCAAGTCTCAGGTCTGGGGGGTTTTTCCAGTCGTTTTTTTTTTTTGGATTTTTTTTATTTAGGATCGGTTTGATTTGTTCACTGTATTTGTAACTCATCCAAAAGCCAGGGCACCAACGGAACCGCTCAAGCCGTCCCGTCTCCACAAGTCCGGCTAAAAGCCAGCCGAAGGGGGGGGGGGGGGGGGCACACTGCTTCGGTTCTCACTTCCTGAGTTGGTGGACTTTAAACTTTTTGGAAAGACCATTTTAGTGGTAAATAAAAAGTTCAGACTTTTTTTGGCCAGTCAACTTGGGAAGTGAGGGTTTGTGTGCGTCAGCAATTGAGATATCCAAAGCTCAGTGCAAACAAGCATGTTTCGATTGAGGGCTGTGGCGAAAAAGCTGGATCGCTGGGATATCCTGGTAGATAGCTGCATGTGCTTGCTTCCCTCCTTCGCATCCCATTTGAAGTACCTGGGGTCCATGGGCTGTGCACTGTGCGGTTTTCAGGTTGGTTCAAAGGGAACCCAAAGAAACTCCGAATTACATATGTTGGACTCCCCCTATTCTGACACAGACCCATTTGTGTCAAAATTGTGAACCCCCCCCCGCCCAAATGGCGGTTGTCCTGCTTTCTCGTAAAGCCAACCCAGAAAGAGTGCCCTCAGAAACACAGACCCATTTCCATGGATGCTCTTTGGTGTGACTTTAGCTCGTTCGGAGGGAGCTGAGCCGAGTTTCTGCCACGCTCTTTCAGTCCAAGGGAAACCAGCAGGAAACCCGTTGTCCGCTTGGGGGGGGGGGGCCGCCCAATGTTGCCGCATAAGGAAGGAGGGCGCCTACAATGACATCGGCCGGGGCCGCTTGATCCCCGAGTATCCCTGGGAAAGCATGTTGGTGCCCATCGCCGAGTGGATGGGTTTGAACCTGAGCCGCACTCGATCTGTAAGCCTGTGCTGTTTCTACCCTTGCGGGGCGGTTCAAAGGGAAGCCAAAAGGAAAACCACATGGGCAGGGTTGTGGGATCAAGGGGGTTTTCCCCACTTCTGTGATACAAGGGAATCCCCCTTTATGTGCAAAGCATAGTCTTTGGGAAGCCCTTTCTGTTGTATCACAGAAGTGGTCATTCACCACAGCCCTGCATGGGTGTGTCTTGTTTGGAGGCTATGTGTTCAAGGAAACCCACGAGGAACACCTCCAGTTTGAAGGGTCCACCGGTCCACCCACAGGTTTTGTGTTTGTTTTTCCCTGAAAAAAAGAGCACATCCTTAAACGGGGCTCCTTAAGAGATACATGTTGCCGCCCATGTTCCACCAAAATAAAGGGGACACCACCATGTACAAGGCAATGTTCAGGTGTATAATGTAAGGATCCCTGTTAGAGGAAGATGGATTGTTTTTAAAGCAGGGTAGCAAGAAGATGTCGAGACGATTTGACTGAAGTCTACGGCCTTGGGAGGGACATGGAAGGTTGCAAGGCCTGCCTTGAGGCTATTGACCTGGTGACTTGCTGCGAATTGCAAGAAAGACCTGCCTTCAACAGAACGGCTTCACAGCTGTAGTCCAGGAAAAAGAAACTTACGGAAAGCTGGGCACCGTGGACAAATACTGGTGAAACTGCCGTGAAACTGCCTTTTATTTGCGGTGAGCGAGCTGTCTGGGCGATTTTGACCTCTTGGGTCTCAGTGCACAGAGCCAAAGATGCGCACGCCCCTCCAGGCTGGCAGGTTCGAAAAAAGCTCGTTTCTTGCCCATGGGCCTGCAAATCTCCGGGCCTGCACACTTTCCATAATCATGTTGGTGCCGAGAGTCTTCGACTCAAGTGAGCGGCTGATTTTCCTTTGTTGGGGGGTCCTTACTTGGTTGCTATTTGGTTGGATTGTTTAGCTTGTGAAGCTGCAGGACCCACTTTCGAGTCACGAGTTCAGCTGTTTGCGCAGGGGGCAATAGCCAGGAATCTTGGGCTTTAAACTGTGCACCGTGCTCAGGAACACCGCTGATGGCGCGAGCATGACCCAGGTGTTTCCGAACTTTGCACGCTTCAATTCCTCCACTGTGCAAGGGGCTGACTTCTTGTTCAAGCCCTAGCACTGCCTAGGATTTTCAGAATTCAAGGGCCGTGAGTTTAGCCCGCCTCTTTTTTGATATGTTTTGTTCGGTTCAGCTAACCGTTGAGTAGTTGGGCTCTGCCCACCAGGCCATTGGAACAGCTCGAGCTGGGGGTCTTAACAGGCCCTCAAAAAGACACACCCGCATTCGGGCATGTAAAAGCATCGTGTTGACAAGCGTGGGAAGCATCGCATATCGCCCTGATGCGGCCTGGTGGGTATAAAGAGTACAGTCCTTGCATCAAATCTGGGCACAGGACGATCTACAGTGTACAGAGCCAGTTTGCTCGACTTGGATCATTTGAACCATATAGCACAATTCCACCCAGCAGACAACCCCGGCGATGTGGTGACAACGGCTCGTCGACTGAGGGTAAGTGTCAAGTCAACTCCTGGCTGGGCTTGGATATATTTGAGCGCTGTTGTGCCAGGTGTGGGCAGTGTTTTATTTGCCTGGGCAAATGACCACGTTCCTTTGCGGGCACTTGTTTTCCGCGCCCTTTCAAAGCAAAATTGACATCGCCGAGAGGGTCTGGGCCCAGCTTTTTACTGCCAGACCGAGCACGCCTGCATCCACAGACCTGCTGGCCACAAAGGCCGCAGGTCGTTTTGCGGGGCCCCGCGCATCGCGCGCATGGAAGTGGCGGCTTACAGCGCGGAAGAATAAATGGGCTCAACGACGAGGCGACTTTTGAAGAGAGAGATGAGATGAGATGAGATGGGTGGGTAAGTGGGTGTGTGTGCGTGTGTGTTTTTGAGGGTACCCGGGTACCCCCTTTTCGGTGGCCTTCAACGCCCTCGAAGAAAATGAACTCCCAACTCCCAAGTGCGGAGTTTGGCACAGGCTGGCCGCGTTCCAGTGTATTGAATCCTGAGCGGCCTTGTTTCCCCAAAGGTTCAGGGATCTGTCCCCGGTTTTGTTTGTTCGAAACGTTACCTTATGACCTTTGTTTGCCAATATTGGCAGATGTTCTTTTCAGTTGAGAAACTGGATTGAACTCTGTTTTGGTGGCGTTGATACACCCTGTTTATTAATGGGGGTGGGTGTCCCTGAGGTTAGGTGAATCATCACTTTTGGAGAGGCCCCTATACCAAACTGGGGTTGATGAATCTGGAGTCAACCTTAGTTCCTTTGAGGAATACAAGAATTTCCATTTGCTTTAGCATATGCTTTATTTTCCCCTGTTAGTTTTTTTGGAGATGTTCTATCACTTCTGGACATATTTGCAAATGGAGGCAAGGACATTGGGATCCTTATTCGAGGTTGAGGCGACCTGACCACATCTCCGAAGCAATGCGTTCTGATTTCTCCAGAACCTGAGGAGTGTGATCTGGACGGAGTGCTTTCGAAGTGATTCGGTTCATTCAACAGCAGGAGTTAGCAAGTGTTTGCAACACGCCTCTTCCAGAAATGAACACAGTTGTTCAAATGCGTGCAGAGTGGCTGGTGAATCAGGGCTGTTATTTTGAGCGGAAGTTTTGATGGTCCTTCAGACACTCCCAGGCGCGCACACAGACAGGCTTGCATATTGCTTGCCTCACTGCAACCCTTTCAACATGCGCAGTGCCAGTACTGTGTCCTTTTTCAAGCAACCTCGAAAAGAGGCATGCCCATATTCCAACCCCTTTCAGGAACAATTTGCCTTTGTGAGGGCCAGGGTTGGAGCAAAGCGTCTAAGTGTAGAGGCCCCTATGAAATTCTCAGAGATGCCTTGACTCCTCCCGCCGCGTGGATTTCTCCCCCCCCCTTGTATTCCGATACATCCATGGCCTGTGGTCGATTGGGTTGGACTCAAAGACAGGTTGGACTGGATCAAATCTCCGAAGGGGCAACATCTCTCGAAGCCTGAGGCTGGAGTCTGCAGCCCAACGCGCTTCGAACTTCAGCGAAGCAGGCCCTCGGGTCAACGTGGGGTTTGGGACTCTGGACTTGATCTAACTCTCTGAGTTCCTGGACCCTGTCTAGGTCCCCCAGTGCCCTTCTCTCCCCTTTGGGGGAGGGTTCCCCCACTAAAATAGACAACACCGAGAAAAAGGGTACCCTTACTCTAACCTCTCTACTGGAGCACCTAGCTATGCTTTTTTGGGGGGTGTTTAACAATTCTGGTGGCAAACAAACCTTGTTGGACTTTTTCCGAGGCTTTGGGGAGGCTTTCCGAGGCTTTGGGGAGGCAGGAGAAACGCCAGTGACTGTTGACGTGAGCCCCAAAATTGTTTTCTATGAGTGTTCAATTGAGCGGGTGGTTCGGGAAGCTTGGTTTTCGGGGTTGTAGAGAAGCCACGAAGCTTAGCAGAAGTGAATTGCTGGGCGCTGTTTGCAGCGGGTCAAGGACCGCCTCAAGGGATTTAGCCCCAAACTACCCTTGACCCACCCCAAACCCCCCAAACTCTGAATCCGCCCTACACCCACACTAAGCCCCCCCACCGCCCTAAAGCCACACTAAACCCACCCCAACCCCCCACACTAAACCCACCCGAATCCACACTAGACTCCACACGAAACCCACACCAAACCAACGCTAGACCCTAAACCCAGCCTTAACCAAGCCGAAACCCATATCAAGCACACTAAACTCATCCTAAGCCAACACTGAACTCACCCCAACCCCACACCAAACCCATCTTCAAATCCACGCCACGGTGTTTCTTTCATGCGGCGAGCATCGCGCCGGGCAAAGCCTCCGCTTCGGGCAAAACCTCCAGGGGAGAGCGCCATCTTTGCCACCCGGCGCCCAGAGAAGAAGAGCGCGGAGAAGGCCAGCATCTTGGCCCCTCGCCCGCACCGCGACCCGAAAACCGCGCGCGGGTTCGCGGGCGGGAAACCGGGGCGCGTCCTGGATGTGAAAAATCGAGCTCTAAAGCATCAGACTGCTGTTTCTTTGTTTGCAATCTAGGGCCTCCCTGGTGTTGCACAGAGGAATGCGTGAGTTCGGCCCCAGAACGCCATGTTGCGTGGCAGGAGTTCCTCTATATATATATATATATGTGTGTGTGTGTATGAGAGACCTCTAGGTAATATGTGTCCCTGCTGGCTTGGTGTCAAGGGAAGCATAGTTTAGTGTAAAGAGCATAGCCCGGGCATAGCTTGGTGTAAAGGGCATAGCCCGGCAGGTGTAGTTTGGTGTCAAGGGAAGCATAGCCTAGTGTAAGGGTCATAGCTTAGTTGGGTGTCAAGGAAAGCACAGTTGAATGTAAAGGGCATCGCCCGGGCATAGCTCAAAGTAAAGGGCGTAGCCTAGATTGGTGTGAAGCGAAGCATAGTTTAGTGTAAAGGGCATAGCCCGGGCATAGCCTAGTGTAAAGGGCATAGCCCGGCAGGCATAGCCTGGCAGGTGTACTTTGGTGTCAAGGAAAGCATAGCCTAGTGTAAGGGTCATAGCTTAGTTGGGTGTCAAGGAAAGCACAGTTGAGTGTAGAGGGCATAGCCCGGGCATAGCCCAAAGTAAAGGGCATAGCCTAGATTGGTGTGAAGCGAAGCATAGTTTAGTGTAAAGGGCATAGCCCGGGCATAGCCTGGTGTAAAGCGCATAGCCTAGATTGGTGTGAAGCGAAGCATAGTTTGTGTAAAGGGCATAGCCCGGGCATAGCCTGGTGTAAAGGGCATAGTCCGGCAGGCATATAGCCTGGCAGGTGTAGTTTGGTGCCAAGGAAAGCACAGTTGAGTGTAAAGGGCATAGCCCGGGCATAGCCCAAAGTAAAGGGCGTAGCCTAGATTGGGCATTCTACGATTCTAACAATTCCAACTTAGAATTGATGGATGTCTCGCCTGGCCAGCATTCCCTGACAATCATGTTTTCTGCAATTGTTAGGATTCTTAGAATCCTAGAAGCAACTCTAAGAATTCAATCCTAGAATCAATTCTAAGAATTCAATTAATTCCTACTGGAACTAGTAGAATTCTTGGTTGAATAATCACGACCCCTAGACCCCCAAAGAGGTACCCCAGAAGGGTGATGTGTAGCCATGTTGCGTGAGGTTGCGTTGTCGAATGCCAATGTGCATTTGGCTCAAGATTGAATTGCCACGAGTCACGCAGGAAGCGGTCGCCAAAAATTGTTTGACCACTAGCCTGCTTCCTTCCAACGTGAAGGACTGGTGGCCGATTGTGGAAGATATCTTTACTTCCCCTAGGCTGAGCGATCGCAAAGGTTCCTTGCTGCAAGAAGCAGTGCAACATGAAGAGTTCGTGGCGATCTCAATCGATGCCACAATGCGATGCTGTCTCTCAATTCTGGGCCAATGCCACCCACGTGCGCCGCAGGCGGACCGTTTACAGGCAGCCTTCGACGACGCTGCTGCTAAGCGAAAAGCACCTTGCTTCATTTAAAAGACATCCTTCTATTCTCTCTTTTGTTCTACTCTTGCTTTTCCTTTCAGTGACTGTTACAACTTGGCCTCTATCGGTTTCAGCTTATAAACTGATTTTACTAACCTGTGCCAGCACAGGTTTTGACTGTCCGCGGCAGAATCTACTGCTTCACGCCGTGCCCAGCGAAGCTGCTGAGGTTATTGTTACTGCGCTGGCAGAGCTGCCAGCCCATGCTCTGGCGCAAATTCAGTTCATTGCGGGCGACAGCCCTTCAAGTGCACTGGCCCGGCAGCTGCGACGAGTGCCCCAACCTTGTGATGCTCAGCCTAGATCCCGTGCACTTGGCCTTTGCGTGGGAGTTCTCAACTTGGAAAAAACACACACCTGGCAGCAAAGCGCTCCGAGCAGTTTCTTAGCAAGCTCAGTGTGCGGGATCCACAGGCAACAGCTGAGCATTGGGGCTGTGTGTTTGAGGGTACGGCGCCACCCGAGCTGACACCCAGAGAGCAGGCTCAACGTGACCGCATCAAGGACGGCGGCATGCCACTGCAAACAGCCAAGCAAACCCTTCACACTATGGACTACAGTGTGCCTTTTTATCTTTTGATGACAGGATGGAAATTGTCAAGGCATTTGCAGCTCTTTCGGCACTCTATCCAGAGGAAGTGGCAAAGGTGTCTCCGGGACCGAATTGGAAAGTTTGCGAACTCTTGTGGACCGCGACATCTCCAGACCGTCTCGAGTGGTACATGAACAACATTCGGTCCAGGCATTACATGGCTTTTGCTCAGCATTCTCTGCTTCACGTCGGAACAACAAGCAATGAATCGCTCCACCGAGAGATAAACTGCTGGTTCAACCAGACGCAGCAGATGCATCAGGCTGTTCTGGATCTCAAGCTGCTTGTGCTTCAGTATGGCAAGCTTCTATCTATCTCACAACGCGGCAATGTATCATCCCACTTCTTCTCAGCTCAACCAGGCCACGGTGCTCGCACGGGTTGCCAGCCTTGAGATGTGGACCTTAAGGCAATGGGAAAGCTGGTGCTCGATGAACACGGACGTCAATGGGATTGGGAAGGCAAGTCTCCCAATGAATCTGATGCGGCAAGAGCAGCAAAGACAAGTACGAGCTGCTCGTAAGACACCGGCAAGCTCATCGCCAAACTCGCAGACTCACCGTGCAAAAAGACGATCACCTGTCACGCTGCAAAGAAAAGACGGGGTGCGCGCGATGCGTCCCTGCCAAAGAACGCGCGTCCTCCGGTTCGAAAACGACCGGCAAGCTTACTCCCATGATGGCTATTGATGCAGGCTGTAGGCAAAATCCCGGTCAGCTCATTCCGTCATTGACCAATTCCAATAGGTTCGGATTGCGGCCGGCAAAAAAATCAGCGTTGCCAAGTTGCCAGCGTCCTTACCGAAGCATCAGAGGCTACGAATGGAGGGGGCGTCTTGCAAATATAAGAATATACTAGGGAGCTCGCTTCTTTCCCCCTAATTCCATTTTCCTTCCTCTCTTTCTTTCCTTCCTTCCTTCCTTCCCTCCTTCTCTTTCGTTCTTTCTTTCTGCGTTTTTCTCTCTGTCTCTCTCTCTCCCTCTCTCTTTCTATTTCTCTTTCTCTGTTTTTTCTCTTTCATTCTTTCTTATTTTGTTTCTTTTCTTCTCACAGCTTTTCCCATCTCCCTCGCTTTCCCTGCTCTCTCCCTTACAGGCTGCCAGTCGGCTTGACTAAGAGCGTGGAGTGAGATGCAGTAAGAGCTGGGCTCCTGTCCCGGTATGATGTTGAAGCATTTGCAAGGTTTGCCACGCTGACATATTTGGCTCAAGGAGAAAAAGGGCACTGATAGCATCATGTAGCCATATGCTAACTGTGGCGCACCTGCGCTCACAGACAGCCCGCCTCTTTTGTCCGTTTGTTTTCGCTTTCTGCACAAGGCCGGCGCCAGCAGCAGCAGCAAACAACTTTGCTCGAGAGCGTAGAGTGAGTTGCAGCAGGAGCCGAGGCTACTGGCCTAGGATGATGCTCAAGCATTTGCAAGGTTAGTCGTGTTGAGGTGTTTGGCTCAAGGAGAAAAGGCGCTGAAAAGAGATGCTACTTGTGGCACACTTGTACTCACAAGCAATGCACTTCTTTTGTGTCGGCGGCTGTGTCAACTTTCTGCACAGGGTTCAGCAGCAGCGATGCTAGTAGTAGCAAGCTCATTATTAAGAACAAAGATATATCAAACATGTTAATGTGGCAGGAAAGAACAACAACACTTTTATGTGGTCCCCCAACCGAAGAAGGAAAAAAAGAGGTTACTAAACAAATATGAGCCATTGAGTTTATGTGGACGGCCCGTCAGAAAATGTTAGAAGTAATGAACAGATTAGAAATACCAAAGGGAGGGAATTATAAATGCTTTTGTGTGCTCATAGTGCTAAAACAAGCAAGAAGGGTACGAACATGACATGGATAAGTCCAAAGCCGCAAAGTCGGAGATATTAATCTTGAAATTGATGTGCTTAATGTCGCCTTATGTTTTGGCCGCGGCGTCGCGCCACCAGATGACCGATGTAATGAAGGATAGGAAACCATAAGAACATCATGAAGTAATAGCTTTCTAAAGTACTTATAGGGCTAACATTACTTTAGCCGCGTGATTTGAAATAGAGCAACAAATTCTACATGTATGTATATATAACAGACGTCGGAAGGTGGAACAACATTGTTTTGGATTGATTGAACAAATTGTAGATATTAGTAAGAGTGTAAATATATTGAATGAACATATTGATGACATGTTTGAAAAGAAAGGAATAGGCAGATTAGTAGGCGGTCATCAAAAGAAGCATGAAAAGTATCGTGTAATGAGAGTTCTTGAAATACTGAATAACCTAAGCCCGAAAATTTTGCACACTACAAAATAGTTATGGACGAACTGTAAATATACATATATATTTATATATATAACTTAATAGTTCGAGTCAACATAATGCCAACAGTATGAATTGTTTGGAACTTTGATTTTGAACTACGCTGATTTTAATGAAGATAATTTGAACTCCAGTTGTAAAAGATCTGACAGGACTTAGTTTAACTCTGTTTAGAATTCTCGATTTTGCACAGTATGCAGCTTCACAAAACAATAGGAATACATATTTTTGGCTAATAGCATTGCATGAATGACAGGAAGTGCAGCATCCAAAGCTGGCAAAATACGAGTGGAACGCAAGCCTGATTTGGTCTAATGCTGATAAGACATGCACCTACACGCGCGCGCGTACGAACACACAACGCGTTTTTTTGGGTAGGCGGGTTTGTAAGTTTTCTGCACGAGGTCGCTCAGGCATTATCAAAAGCATGATCATAAGAAGGAAGAGCAGCAAGGACAAATGTTACTAAAAGGTCCCTGCCACATATATATATATATATATATTGTTGTTGCTCACTATGCGGAAGGACAGCAAGCCTGTTACCAAAGAGATTGTGGTCGTTGGGGAGCCCTCATTCAACATTGTGAGCTAAATGGCGGACCATGGCTGGTGTTGTTTCCTTCCGTTTGGTCCGCCAGGCAGTTGCAGGTGTTCTGAGCAGATCCCAACCTGCTGTGCGCCTGAACGAACAGACCGAATGGCTTCTACTTGCTTAAGAATATGTTGTAGTTTCCCTGTTGGTATTAGAGGGAATCTGCCAGACTGATACAAGCAAATGAAGGAAGGTGACCGGTGTTGAAAAGGGGGGGCACTTTGGTGTTCGATTGGTAGCCGTTCGGTTATAACCGACTCACTAAGTGGAATTGACCCTGTTTCTGTGCTAGCTATAGAAATGCTTGCTACCCTCGCCGGAGATCCAAGCACGTGGTGAACAATCGCCCAACTGGCAATGTCCCAAAAGGCAAAACCCGAGCTGAAATCTTGAGGTGTTTTGCCCAGAGGGTCCAAGTAATTACCTTCTGAGCAGGTACCAACTGACCCCTTTTTGCCCCCCAAAAGCCATCATACAATACTTGGAGCCTTTGGCGCCCTTTCCAAAGCCAGGGGTTTTTTTGATCACGGACAAGTCCGCTGGGGCTTTCGGACTGCGTCCAAATCTGAGGTCACCGCAGGGCAGAGCATTGGAGCGGGAAATGCGTGTGTTTGGGGTAGAGTGATCGAATGATCGAATGCCAGGTTTTTACTGCGCAGGGCTTTGAACTGTTGACACTGGCAAATGAGGTGTTTGGGGCTGTCCGGGTCATGCCACTGAGGACATGACCCAACCACTTGCGAGGCTGTGAGAAGCGGAGAGACGTTTTTGGTTGAAGTCGATTTACGTGCGGTTGTCACACATCGAGCCCCCGTTTGCATTTTCGTTTTAATTTTAGAAAGGCGGCCCAAGATGGCAAGGTGGCAGTGTGATTGAACATGCGGCCATATGTGACAAGCCCCCTCGGTGCGAAAACGTGCAAAGCTATGAAATCATGAAATCTGACCAAATGAAATCGCGTCCTCACCCAATGGTTTGCGATCGATTTTCAGCCTTGAAGCAAGGGAGTTCTGTCGAACCTTTCTGGGGTCCTGAATGGCCCGCAGGCAAAGCAATTTACTGGGTGCCAAATAGCAACCATATTTGCCATAAGTTTTATGTTTTTTTTAAACTCGTGTCTTTCCAGACCCCTCGATACCCCTGGCTCAACACCCGGTATAACAAAAACTATCTCATGACAGATGATAATCCTCTAGCAGAATGACTGGCAAATATGACGAGCTCACCTGGCGATGTGGATACGGGTCAAAATAAACCCACCAAAAGACCGCAGGTTTTAGTCTTTGGTTCCGTTTATCAGGGCTCATTTTGGGGTTACCGCATTTTTGACACACAGCCATGTGTGCGTGTGAACCAGCCAAAGATATATGTCTTCGATTTGCCCTGTCGCCACCTCCAAGTCCTGCCTCAATGCATGGAATGCTGGAAACAAACGTAGCATAGGATGTCCTTTTTGTTCAGTTGGGTCGCGAAATAAAGGGCCCGGATAGGCATTTGTTTAATCATGCACCAGGGAAACCCATCTATTTTCCTCAAAAGGACACCTACTGCGGATGGACGAAATCCTGCACCACTTTGTGCACATGAAAAGTAATTGTTTCAGGAAGTGGAATCATGATTCCAAGGCTTCTACGGTGTTGCAGGATTTTGTTCATCCACAGTATCAGTCGGGCTCCAAGCAAGTAAGTTTGCAGAGTGTTTGCCAGGCAGGGCTGCTATGGCTTCCAAAGAGTCATAAGCCCCCAATGAGAGCTAAGTTGACCACTGGGTTAACGTTTCGTAGACTCTTACATCTGTTTGACTAAAATGATGATGGTAGCAAAAAGGCGAGGTTTATTGTTGAAAGTTGGTTGGCCAGTCACCGGAAACCAATGCTTTGGATTGGTTTAGATGTAAATCCTATGGTTGCACATTGACAAAGCTTGGAACTACACCTGCAGATCAACATGGAACCCCAAGTACCCTCATTTGCAGAAGCTTCTTTGGGGGGACCCCGTTTTCGTGCTTCCATCTTAATCTTCAGAAGTTCCTCTCCAGGAGCTGCGGGTGTTCGGAACTAGCCAAAAACATCTCCGCCAGGGAGCGCTCGGACGAGTCTTCGGATCAGCTGCAGGCGCTGTTGGCTCATTTGGGCAGCTCGGCAGCGATCTAAGATCTTGGCTTCCAGCCATCCGGTTCCTGAGCTTTTGGCCTTTCAGTGTTCAGTGGTGGTTTAGTGGCGGGGTTTTTCCATTTCACCCAGAAGTTCTTAACTTTCTATCGGTCGATGGTCCATTCTTTCCAAGCATCGTTCTGTTCAAGAACCGGCTCCGTTTCCGCGGGGGTTTGGGTGATTTTTTGTTGAGAAGGAAGGCCCTCAGAAAGAGGATCTTGGCTCCCGAAGGCCAGCCGGTTCAAATAGTGTGATTAGCCATGGTTAACTTCATCATCAGGGACGTCGCGGTAGTGACCAACCTGTGATGTTTGGCTCAAGTTTGCGGGTCCGTCGCGCCTCGGATGAGCGTCGCCGGGTCCCCGCGTCGATCACCTTCGTGTCGGTGGAGAAAGAGACATCGGCCCGGGGCAGATTGGTGGGGTCCGCCCGTGCGGTTCATCGTCGATCAAGGTTGCGGGTACTTGTTTACTTGTTTTGGTTTTTCCCTTTTGGTTGTTGTTCTCTGGTGTGTGGGAAACCCTGATCTTTGGGACCGGGGATTGGTTTGCTTTTGGGGAACCTTTCTTTTGTGGCTTGTTTACCCCAACTTACCCATTGCCTGGGCACAGGCTCGTGCCCGAATCACAGGTTATCAGCCGTAGGACTTTCCTACGCGCTTGAGACCATCAACTACAAGCTCTATGTCGACCCCACGATCTCGAAGGAGCGTCGTGGATGAGGAGGCCATCCTAGGGGGCCTCCGCTCAGGTGAGGACCTACCGGACTACGACTACGAGGATTTCGAAGCAGGTTCGACAGGTCAGGACCGCAGGGGTGAAGATCCCGGTAGGGACACACCCAGGAGCCGTGGCAGGTACACCGACGATGGAGACGATCGCATTTTCCGTCAGGCCACTGATGATGAGCAGACACGAAGGGTTCGCTCCGATAGGAGCGGCTCTGAATCAGGTCACAGGCGCGGACAATTCGACTTCATCAGCATGGCGATGAACATGGCCCGCCCTCATTCGGACGACCCGGAGGCCATGCCGATCCGACCCCCGAGATCTCTTGTTCCAGGTGAATCGCAGGTCTCGGACGAGTTTGAGAACAGGCCGCAGGGACCAGGTACTATGGTTTTGGCTCCGGGAGGTATCTCGGGTCGATCCACTGGTTCTCAAAATCCAGGTCAGTTTGATGAGGATGAGGAGAGGAAATTCACGGGTTTCGGATACGATGCTCTGTTGAAGTCGACCGCAGGCTGGGGCAGTAGCTCAAAGCAGGGATCTGATGCCGATAGGCCCAACCCTGTAGCTGCCGAGCTTGAGTTTGATAATGATGAAGATTATGCCGCATTTGCGGATCGTCGTGATGAAGAAGAGGATCAGTCGCGCCGGAACGCTAGAATCCGTGCTGCCGCGAGGCCCAGGAGCCTCTCTCGTGGAGCTGCCAGGGACCTTCATGATGACAGGGACGCCCGGAGAGGGATAGCCGGGAAGTTCTCAGGGGATTGGAGGCCATCCATGACCGGGAGGGACCGATAGGTCCCCCAGTGGTTGGTGATACCCCGAATGTTCCCCCTTTTCCCAATATTACATTTGGAGGTCCGCTGCATCAGAGAGACGAGAACTCGAACCGGGTTACTGGTTCGCCGAGGATCACTGAACGGGCTGCCGATGTCGTTGGGACAGGTGCAAGAGATGGTCGGCTTGCCGATGCACTCGGAATCGAAGATCGTCCGTCGATCGCTAGCCCGTTAGGGCGAGATACCAGTGACCTTGAAACGCTAAGGTCTAGCAACGAGTTCACACCTCAATGGGGCTCGACCGCCAGGGAACGTAGTGCTTCTGCGAAGAGGCCGTCACCCCTGGCCATTGAGACCGATAGGTCGAAGGCGAGGAGGGCTAGCCCCTCACCAATGGGTTCAACTCCGAAGGATGAGGAGATGCCTGATCCTGCTGATGTTCACATTCACTCTACTTCCGAGTCTCGTGCATCCAACATTGATCCCCGATCTGGCGATAGCCGGAGAAGGGGATCTACCCCTAGCAGGCCACCCAGGATAGGTGAAGGTCCTGTAGGCGACCCCAGAAGACTTGCTAAAGCTAGTGGGGCTCCTGAGAGGATCGAGATATCGACTCCTCCAGCACACAGGTCCCATTCTTCCGGTGAGTCAGGTGACGCCAGGGCAAAGGAGGTGTTTGATTTACACATCCAGGAGATGCTCGAGAGGGGTGAGGTGTCTAGTTCAGTCGCGAAAGCGTTCCATATCTTTGCTGACCAAATCAGGTTACTGAACGGTCAGGTGGGTTCCATGCGAAAGGAGTGGAACGACGAGAGTCAGCAGGCGAAGGACAGGGTCAACCGTTTGGCGACTGAGGTTGCGACTCAATCTGATGCCGGTAGGATGCGAATGATAGTTCAACGGTTTGCCAGCGAAGTTATTCCTGACAGCAAGGCCATTGTGAGGCAAGCCATCGATGAACAGGCTGAAGTCGTGGATCAGAGGATCAATCTGCTTTCCCACGAGGTTCATGAATCTGTTAAGGACAATGAGGTCGCAACTGATCAGCTTCGTCAGATGATTCAAGAGAATCGTGAGGCCACCCACAGGAGCCATGCTGCTTCCGAGGATGAGATCCTTAAGGACTTGGACAAGCTTGAGGGGCGGATGTTCTCGGTAGAGAAAACCGTTGGGATGCGGACGCCAGCAGGTGAATGGAATTTGAATCCTGCTGCGCAACCGCCCGATAGGGCTACCAGCAGTGGGGCAAACGCGAGTTTCAGGGAGTTGAACCTGAAGCTCGAGAAGGCTCTTCTTGAACACGAGAAGTTTGCTAAGTGGGCCTCCGAATCTATTGGTGGCATTAATGAAGAACAAATCATTCTTGCTAATCGAATGTCGAGGCTGCAAAGTGGGAGGGGGTCCCAGGCGATCGATAGACCATCAGGGCCTGTGTCCCCGCAGGACTGGCATGAAGCAATTGACGAAGTCAATCAAAAGGTCCAGGATCTATCTCGCGGAGTTCAACGCCACCATGGGGATCATGACGATGTCCTCGCGAGGTTTGAGACCTTGAAGTCCCGTGTTGAGCAGTACGAAGCGAGCTCTGGAATTCTGAATCAAGTTCTTGATGACATCAGAAGGCAGATCCGCAACCTCCCTGCAAACAGTGATCAAGCGCGGTCTGCCGTTAGGCGTGAACTCGATTCATTTCGGAACACGCTTGAAGGCGCAGTGCGGAGAATCTCTACTGTCGAGAGTAACGTGCGTACTCTTAATGGAATGAACAACAGAATCATGGCTCAGCTCTATGAAATTGAAGGTCATGTTGATGAGGCTGCTGGCATTATTCAGGGTGTCCAGGAAAATCAGGTAGATCCTCCACAGCCCAGAGAAAGACGGAACGTTGGATACAATGCTTTTGCGGGGCAGGGACATAGGATCAGGTCTCCGACGCCCACTCCTGGAGAAGGCGACGGTCGGGGTACTGACCTTCCGGTAAGACCGGGCAGGGGTGTTGCCTTGACTGATCACGTTTTGCCAAATGTGCCCGATAGGGTCGATCCTTCTCGTGCAAACAGGCATCCCGTTCATCCCGATAGGGAGAGGGCTGACAGCAGAAGCAGAAGAGCTCGGGGACTGCCTGACAGGTCACATTCTCCGCCAGGGCGTGTGAGGGATGGCCCCCGCGCGCGCGCAAGGGGGAACGTTTCAATTTCCCCCAACAGGGATGTGGGTAGGAATAGGAGTCCGAGGCCTGCTGCCGTCCCCGATAGGGGATCTGAGGTCCGGAATCAGCAATCGAGAGGGGGCAGGACGATCCGCGATGGCGGGAGTGTCTCTCCGAACCCTAACCGTAATTCTGGAGGTGATAGGGTGAGTGGGGCCCATGCTGAAACCCAGAGTCCTGGCGATAGCTGGAGGACCCCTGGGAGCAGAGCTCGTGCTGATATCCAGAGTCCTGGTGAAAGCTGGAGGACCCCTGGAACTCCATCCGATCGTGGACAGGCCTCGGCACCGGCCGCAAGAGGAGCTCCCGGTACCGAGGTGCGCCAAAGATCTGTGCCCTCGATGAACCCAACGACCGTAGGCACCCGGACGCTGAATTCTCGTGTGTTACGTGCAATCGTGAGTTTTGCAGGCTTTGCCGGGGCGAGGATAGGGACTGCTGCAATTGTCACTTCTTGAAGATGAAATGTTGGGCGTGTCGTAAAAGTGCCCAGGAGGTCCCTATGTATTCCTGCACGGAGTGTGCGAACCACATCTGTGAGGATCACAGTCATTTTGGCAGTGATGGCCTCGAGCGATCTGAAGCTGGACCGCCCCCTCCTCCTCCTCCTGGGGGAGGAGGTGGGCAAGGCGGACCACCCGGCCAAGGTGGGGGCGGAAGTGGTGGTCATGGACATGCTCCATTTCCACCACCAGGTTCTGGACATCCCAGCGGAGGCCAAGGTCTCGCCGAACCTCCTGAAGGCCCGAGTGGTGGGGCTCCTACCGGGGGATACCCTGGTGGAGCACCCGGGTTCTATGGTAGTGCTGCTGACACTCATGGAGCTGGGAACAACCAGTGTGGTTCCAGTTTCTATGGTCCTGCCTACGGAGGTGGCGTTAGCCACCAAGGGGTTGGTGCTGGCGTTAGTCAGCCCAACGCTGCCGCAGGTTACCCCTCGAGTGTCGCGAGCAGTGGTAACCTTGGGCCAGGTCTTAGCCTTGGCTACAGCGTAAATGGGGCCGTTAGGCAGGGAGATGGTGGTCTTCTCCCTGAAGCCTTGAGGGGAGATGATGGACGGGACAAGTGCACTAAGTGTAGCAGGATCCCTGAGCCTGGTTTCCCTCTTGTTCCTTGCGTTGGTTGTGGAATGAGGGCGTGTGAAGTTTGCTGCCCTATGCCTGCTAGGCTGTGTGAAAGTTGCAGGACTACCTCATGTACCCCGATAGGGGCTCTGATTTCCACCGTTGTCGATAAGGATCGGTTCCATCATAAGTGCAACACG